AGGTTGTTTAAAATATGATTCTACAAACTAGCCTGCCTTTACAATTGGCTTAACACCAGAACCTGTAAACCAGCATATCATCTCTCAATTATTTCCAGAATCAAAGAATCGGCCTTGCTTAAATCTTCACCCAGCGCCAGTAAAACGTAGCCAAGTTTTTCATTGGGATACTTCTGCTGGGAACTTAGCAGTGCGCAGGAAAAACACTAGACATGATTGGAAAAGCAGAAACCGTCCAGAACGTCCCGACAAGTTGGAGTGCCTTGAATTATCTGTGCCGCCATCTCATCGTCGATTTTAAGCACTGCATGTGACATGAATTTGATTATAGGGTAAATGTCAGATAAGATCGTCCCAGCTCAAAACGAGGCATTTTAAAGAGACAAATGTAGAAGAACAAATTTGCCATGACAATCTTTTTAGAGCACTCCAGACCAGAATGATTAGTGGAACGCTCCTCCGATTCAATCTTTCTCTCGCCTTAACCTTTAGCTCATAACTCTGCTCTGATCCCTGAGGGATGAGACCAGGACCACGCGACTCTTGACCCCGAGAGAGGACAGCGTTTGATGAACGACCGGGGAAGGTCAGACCCCTGATTGGTATTCAACCTCCTCCATCTGAGACCGCTGAACCAAAACGCCAGAGTGTGTCCCCAGGAGCGTAAATTACCATGGTGACTTTGATAGATCCACAACACTGGCGGATACTGAACTTTCACTGACGGGATGGAGTGCGAGCGTAGGCAGGGGCAGAGCCGCTGGTAATCTGTCACCCAGGGGCTTTTTTGACAACCTCGCAGTGTCACGGTCTCATGTACGCTCGGGGTTGATGGATGAATAACCCCGCTGGACGCTCCACAGGATACTTGGCAAGGTGTGATGGAACTGGAGCTCATTTCTACCACCACCCTATGTTTCTGCATTATGTCTCCTCCTTCACCTCCACGCACACTCTGTCTTGCTTATGCATAACACACAGAGGGGTCACTGGTGGTGCTGAAAAGTAAAGTGGGGGGATCTCTGACCTTTAAGGGGTGTCTGGAGATGCTTACCAGACAGCAACAACTGAGAATGAATAAGGGAGGCGAGCTGTGCAGTGTCCAGTGTTTTAATCCACAGAATATCTACACATACCTTGCATATCACAGATTTCAACATGTGGACGAATAATTAATATCGGTTTTGACAGAACTGTTGCAGGAGCCAGAAACTACCTGTCCAGTTCCACAGCTGTGGTGCTGAACTTTAACATTATTATTCTCAAGAGCTAAAATGTGTGGCACTCGTTTTTTGTGGATATGAAAGAACTTAAGGCCAGGAATATGATTAAAGCATTCTTTTGAGATTAATCTATATCGGTGTTTCTTAACTTTCTGGTTCAGTTACATTTCATTGTTGATATTCAACACAGGCAAAAAATGAAAGCTAAATCAGGAAATGAGTATTACTTTGTGTAAGAAAAATCCATGAACCTAAACGATGAGTTGTAGGGCAGAAATGATCATTGATTGACTATTGATTGCTGACACAGCTTTTCTCAGTTTGATATCATTGTAAACGGAATGTCTTCTCTGTCTGTGGGTCAGACAAAGCAAGACATTTGAAGTAGTCACCTTGGAAACAGATTATCCACTAAATGACTTATCGAATAAAAATCTAAAATAATGTGCAAATTAATTATGGATGCCTTTCAGATTTGTCTTGGAAATCTAGTTGCTCCTGACCCCAGATATAACCACTGGTTAATCTTACTCATGTATATTTGTATTAATAGCCAGGATATTGCTTATTATACTGTATTCAAGACGTATTAAGAGGCATAAACACTTGTACCTAAAATGAAACAGGCTTTTGTAAGTGAACGTTTCTTATGCTGGTCTTTGTTTTCAACTGTGCAGTACATGAGGTCAGCAGAGTGTTGCCCAGAATTAGGCCTGTCACGATAATTTATTTTGTTGGAAGATACATTTTCCCGGGAATTATTGCGATAAACGATAATATTGTCGGCACCGTTGTAAGACCATTTTAGACCACTGACATAATGATAATTTATAATAATAATTCAAGTACATCCTTTCAAACAGAACTTTTTATTGAACATTCAACATTGCAAATGAAATGTGAAATAATATTCAAATATATAAATTATATAAAATAAATAAAACAAATACATTTAAAGGTGGGGTAGGTAATTTTGGAGAAACCGGCTCGAGTGCGCTAGAATTTGAAAATACAGCCGGAAAAAATCTGCCACTTCCTTACAGAGCCCCTCCTCCAACACACACGAACACGCACATGACCAATGAGGGCACGAGATAAGTTTGTGCACAGATGGAAGGCTGACAGGCAGGTAGGCCATCCAGTTATTTTAGCCGGGCCGGCTAAAATGATTGGTCGTGCTTTTTACAGTATTACGAATTACGGATTTTTTGTCAAAGCACTTAAGATATTCATTGCTATCGGGATGTTAAGAGCATTCCATGGAATATAACAAAAAGTGCATCTCGAGCCAGTTTCTCAAACTTACCTACCCCACCTTTAATTATAACAAATTAATTAAAATCACACACAACCAAAACAATCAATTAAATAGACGCTGGAAAACTCTCATATATATATATATATAAATAAATAAATAAATATGAGCACACATTGTCTCACAAGCAAAAAAAACCTCCTTAAAACAACAGTCAAGTGTACAGTCCACTGTCCATGCAAAGACCCAGATGCCTCAAAAGGCCATATCCAAATCTGTATTTCAAAGATTTCGAGCAAGGAACACCAACATGTTTGCATTGTCGGGCAAATGCATCTTTGATTGTAAACTGTCGGGAAGGTGGGGGCTCTCCATCTCCAGCTGCCGTGTTTGCTACCAGCTGGGAAAACGGAATGGGTAGGTTGTGTTTCAGGTGCAGTTTAAGGTTGGTCGTATTGCTAGCTTTTGTTGCTACCTTTTTAAAACAAATGCGACACACCGCCCGGCTCATTCAAGTCCGTAGGTTCGCCTCGTTGATTTGGCTTAAATCCTAAATATTCCCACACCGGAGATGTGGTATTAGGTTTTGCAACCACTTCCATTTAACTTCAAATTCCCCTCGAGTAAGTCACACGTTGTCTCCTGCTTGTCTCTATATTATTAATTTGGCTGCTACACTGCTGCACGCGGAGTGTCCTGACCTGGCTGTGTCATGGGCTGTGTGTGAAAATGGCGAAAATGCTGGTCACATCCTTATGTAAACAAACACGCATGTAAACGGCAATTTATCGAGCTCAGAAAAGTTATCGAGTCCATTTTTATTTATCGTACGATAAGTCAATGTATTGATTATCGCGACAGGCCTACCCAGAATGCCCCTGCAAACAGAGGAGTGCTGACATGTTTATTCAGCTGTTTGCAAAATGAAACTCCCGGTTTAAATTAGCTTTAATTCCCCCAGGGTTCTGGGCGTTGTTATAGCAGGCATGTGTGCTTCATCACAACACAAAGAGCATCTGCAGCACTGAGCGAGGCTGCTGTCAGGACACACCGTGTTCAACTTCACCTCTGTGGACATGGACCATGTGGAGGGCGCTTTATATCACGTTTCCACACAAAATAACCTCTAAGCATGTCCCTGAACGCTACATGCACAACTTCAGGGACAAGGCGATTAAGAGCAGAGGTGGAAGAGGTACAGATGTGTTACTTAAGTAAAGGTAGAAATACTAGTGTCAGAATACGTTGTTACAGGAAAAAGTCCTGCATACAAAATCTTACTTGAGTAGGAGTACAAAGGTATTGCATCAAAATAAGTAACAAAATTAAAAGGTACTTATTGTGCGTAGTGTTCCATTTAAGAATCATACATATTACTTATCTGGATTATTATCATCCAAGCGTGTGTTCATCACTGCTGGTAAAGGTGGAGCTAAATTTACTTTATATAGTACTACTGGATATATTCTAATTATATATCAAAGTGTATGTATTAGTTTGTTTATATTTGGTATTAGCTTATAATCATGATCTGGAAAGTAACTAATTTTGTCAAATACATTTAGTGGAGTAAAGGAAATATCAGCTTCCAAAATGTGGTGGAGTAGAAGTATAAAGTAGCATAACATAAAAATACTTAAGTAAAGTACGTGTACCCGAAGAGGTGGAAGAAGTACTTGTACTCAAGTAAAAGTAGAAGTAACAAGTAAAGTTTACTTATAACTTACTTATAACAGAGTATAGGAATACTCTGGTATAAGTAAACTGGAATACTCTGTTATAAGTAAACTTCCTGCATTGCAAAGTAAAAATTAAGTAAATAAAGTATTAGCAGCATCAAAATATACTTAAAGTACCAAAATGTGTCATTCTGCAGATTGGCCCATTTCAGAATAATATATATGATATGTTTTATAATTATTGATCATCAAAGTGTTATCAAAGCTGGTAAAGGTGCAGCTAGTTTTAATGACTTTGTATACTGCAGGGTAGCTTGTGAATTTACTCCAGGTGGAACAAAAGTCTGATTTAAGACTTGATTATATTTCACATCATTAATCCAAATCTGCTAAATAAATGTAATGGAGTAAAAGTACACGATTCACCTCTGGATAGTAGTGAAATAGAAGTGCAAAGCAGCAACACATTGTTACTTTACAGCACTGAAATTCCCTGAATGAATGATGTTACCCTTTCAACTTCAGGGACAAGACGATTAAGAGCAATATTAACTTCATAATAAACAGGAATCCAAGTTATAGGAGCACGATTCCAGCCATGTTCTGGTTCTATTACTACAATTGCACGCATGTCTCAGTACTAACCCTTCCTATCCCTACCGTCCTGCTTTTAACTACATCCTTAGAATAATCAGTGATTTATGACAGGGACAAAAGCACATGCAGACATGCGAGCAGGCGGACCCCCACCCCCGCTCCCGCGCGGAGCTTACAGAGGGAGATGACAAGTGGAGGGTCTGATGGGGGTTGGGGGGGGGGGTCGATGGCAACGGTGAAACCTACCTGTCATCGTAGCAGAAATCAGCGTCCAGCGTGTTCAGATAGAGACCCAAAGCCACGGCGGTGCACAGCAGCTCCGTGATCATCTCTCCAGACCGAAGTGGGAGAGGAGCTGCCTTATGAAATGACTGAAATCGGGTCCTCCCCCCCACCCCCTTCTCTGTTATTGTGATCTCAATGGAGCCGCTCGCATGGCATTTCCCCGTGGCACGCAAAGTGTGTCAAAGTTAGCCATATTCCCTGTGAGCCATGGCACTGAGAGCCGGGTGAGAGGTGCCGGGAGGGGACGCTACAGCCGGGTCTGGCTCCTCGCTGTCCGCATTCTGTGCTGCGGTGTTCCGCTGTGAGCATCTCTCCGCCTCAGCAGTGGAGAGAGCCGAGCCGAGAGACGCATGGGGTTTTCAGAGAGGCTGCGCATGCGCACTGCTCTCTGCACTGGAGGAACAAATGTAGGCAGTGATGGAGGAAAGTGATGGTGTATGCATCGCTGACGACTACTGTAGGGAGTAACTAAATACATTTACTCAAGTACTGTATTTATATTCAATGTTGAGGTACTTTACTTGAGTATTTGGTACTTTGTATATTATACTTCACAATTCTGAGGTAAATATGTCCGTATTTCACATCATCGTAATGGGGTAGAAGTACAAAGCAGTAGAGTATGTAACTCAAAATTGTACTTAAGTAGAGTACTCGAGTACATTTACTTAGTTACTTTACACCACTGATAATGATACCTTTTATAGTGTTTTATTTTTTAGGTTTTATTAATACATTGACATGAACAAAATGGTCACTTTATGTAGATCTTAAGTTACAATCAAAGAAATGTCTTGGTCATAAACAAAAAATAACTAAACCATTAATGATTTAAAGAGTAAAACATATTATTTACCTTAACTGAAATATAAAAATATTCACAATGTCTAAATTTGTGTACAAATTATGACAGTACACATGAGGAAATCGTAGCCTATAAAACATAGGATTATTGTACACCTTTTGTAGGGCACATGGGAAAATGCTTTCTAATTCTAACCCTATCTTACAGACAATAATGACCTCCGATAGAAGATAAATATTTGATGACTGGTTCAGTAATAAACTCTCACTCTGAATACCTATATAAAATATTGTGTTAGTACATTTAAAGAAGTTACAGAATGGCTAATGGGGGGCAGCAGATTAAATGCTGAGCTGTCCTGGTATCACATTATCTCATTCTGACCCCAAATTAAGAATATTGATTTATTTGCTGTACACCGCCCCACTGTCTCCATGGAGAGTCTGAACTGAGAGAGTGGGTGTGATGGATGAACTGTTGTGCCTCGCCCTATGGTGACGGTGCATATGGCCGTCAGGTTGGAAACGTGCATCCCGCTGACTACCAGCTGGACCAACGCCTGTCTCTCAGTCGGGGCTCCGGGTTAAGAAGTGCAGTGCAGAGCTGCAAAGAGTAAAACAGATGGTGCGGAGTGAAGGGTATCAGCCGGAGAGGGGTGAGACAGAAACAGAACCTTACAGGGCAGAAAGAAGTCATTTGTAACAGAGGCACCGAGCGCCCCTGACTCTGAGAAACTCTTGACCTTGACCTCGAACAACCTGTTGGATTATTTAGCAAGGCATGCTGCTGTGTTTTTGTACCTGCTTCCTTTTCTTTAGCATTCATCAAAGTCCGGCAGTAACAAATGATAGCGTGTGTTTGGGTTGTAGAAATAGAAATACACTTAGTCCTTTTGACAGTGGTGCAAAGTGATCGATGAGTACATTTACTCAAGTACTGTTCTTGGGTACTATTTTAAGGTACTTGTACTTTACTTTAGTATTTCAAAGTTTTGCTACTTTGTACTTTTACTCCACTACAATTCAGAGGTAAATGGTGTACTTTTACTCCACTACATTTATTGAATACCTTTAGTTACTTTACAGATTTTGATTAATGATATGAAATATAAGCAACTCTTAAATCAGACTTTAGTTACACCTGGAGTATACACTGAAAAAACTGAAATGTTGACTTTAATTAAATGTATTATGTAAACAAACTTTACAGAACTGTATTAGGTTAGTTGAAAGCAATGATATTAAGTTGAACCTATTTGAACTTAATAGTATTGCTTTCATCTAACCTAATACAGTTACTTGAAATCTGTTGACATAATACATTTTATTAAAATCAACGTTTCAGTTTTTTCAGTGTACAAAGTCATTAAAACTAGCTGAACATTTACCAGCTTTGATAACACTTTATTGCATCAATAATTATTATCAAAACATATCATATACAGTGCATCCGGAAAGTATTCATACCCCTTCACTTTTTCCACAATGTGTTATGTTACAGCCATATTTCAAAATTGATTAAATTCATTTGTTTTCTCAACATTCTAGACGCAATACCCCATAATGACAAAGTTAAAAAAGTTTTTAAATCATTTTTGCAAATGAATTAAAAATAAAAAAATAAAATATCACATACACAAGTATTCACACCCTTTACTCAATACGTTGTTGAAGTACCTTTGGCAGCAATTACAGCCTCAAGTCTTCTGAGTATGATGCTACTGTACAAGCTTGGCACACCTATCTTTGGGCAGTTTCTCCCATTCTTCTTTGCAGATCATCTCAAGCTCCATCAGCTTGGATGGGGAGCGTCGGTGCACAGCCATTTTCAGATATCTCCAGAGATATTCAATCGGGTTCAAGTCTGGGCTCTGGCTGGGCCACTCAAGGACATTCACAGACTTGTCCCGAAGCCACTCCTTTGTTATCGTGGCTGTGTGCTTAGGGTCATTGTCCTGTTGAAAGGTGAACCTTTGCCCCAGTCTGAGGTCCAGAGCGCTCTGGGGCAGGTTTTCATTAAGGATCTCCATGTACATTGCTGCATTGATCTTTCCCTTGATCCTGACTAGTCTCCCAGTTCCTGCTGCTGAAAAACCTCCCCACAGCATGATGCTGCCACCACCAGGCTTCACTGTAGGGATGGTGTTGGCCAGGTGATGAGCGGTGCCTGAGTTCCTCCAGACATGATGCTTGGCATTCAGGCCGAAGAGATCAATTTTGATTTAATCAGACCAGACTATTTGTTTTTCTCATGATCTGAGAGTCCTCTAGGTGCTCCATGTGGGCTTTCATGTGCCTTTGAGGAGTGGCTTCCTTCTGGCCACTCTACCATAAGGCCTGATTGGTGGAGTGCTGCACAGATGGTTGTCCTTCTAGAAGGTTCACCCATCTCCACAGAGGAACACTGGAGCTCTGTCCAAGTGACCATCGGGTTCTTGGTCACCTCTCTGACTAAGGCCCTTCTCCCCCATTGCTCAGTTTGGTTTGGGCAGCAAGCTCTAGGAAGAGCCGTGGTGGTTTCAAACATCTTCCATTTGCAAATGATGGAGAGCACTGTGCTCGTTGGGACGTTCAATGCTGCAGACATTTTTCTGTACCCTTCCCCAGATCTGTGCCTTGATACAATCCTGTCTCTGATGTCTACAGTCAATTCCTTGGACCTCATGACTTGGTTTGTGCTCTGATGTGCACTGTCAACTGTGGGACCTCATATAGACAGGTGTGTTCCTTTCCAAGTCATGTCAAATCTATTTAATTTATCACAGGTGGACTCCAATCAAGTTATAGATACATTTCAAGGATGATCAGTGGAAATTGAGCTCAATTTTCAGTGTCATAGCAAAGGGTGTGAATACTTATGTATGTGATATTTTCATTTGATTATTTTTAACACGTTTGCAAAAAATTCTTTAAAAACGTTTTCACTTTGTCATTATGGGGTATTATGTGTGGAATATTGAGAAACAAAATGAATTTAATCCATTTTAAAATAAGGCTGTAACATAACAAAATGTGAAAAAAGTTAAGGTGTATGAATACTTTCCAGATGCACTGTATATTATTCTGAAATGGACCAATCTGCACAATGACTAATTTTACTTTTGGTACTTTAAGTATATTTTGATGCTAATGCTTTTCTACTTTTACTTGAGTAACATTTTGATTGCAGGACGTTTGCTTGAGTATTCCTCCACTCTTGTTCTTCCACTTTTTCATAAGTACAAGACCTCTGCCTTTCGACACATGCCACCTATAAGACACCGCCTTCATGTTGTAGGATTTGTTAGTTTCGCAGAGTTTTAGCCCAAAGTTATAACAAAATAACAAAAATAAACCGCACAGGAAAACACAAAGCATTCAATATGCACACTGTGGCGTTGCGTTGCCCCATGGAGACAAGGGGTGCTCTGTACAGTCAAAGTGATTAAGGGATTAGCTATAGGAATAGAGGGGGAAATGTTCCTGTAGAGAGTATAAACAGGCCCAGGGCAAAACAAACACATTACAGGGAGAAAAGTGTTTACTCCCTCTGACTGATCACCTGCTCCAACCTCACCGTGAAGTGGCCTAATGAATACATTGCTTGCTCTTTAGGTGTAAACAGGCAACAGTCCCAAATGAAACACCCTTTCTTGGTTTTGGAGGAAAGATTCTAAAGGGCCATTTAAGAGCTTCTGTAAACCATTGGGTGTATTTACATTTTTTAGTTCTTCCTATTTGTTTGTTATTTTAATATATAAAAAACATTCTCTAAAACCAGTCTTTATGCTAAGCTAAACGACTGCAGCTTATTTAACACACACAGGAGTGGTATCAATCTGCTTATGTAATTTGTGGCTAGAAAGTTAGAAAAGCATACTCAAAATGTCGAGCTATTCCCTAAAGCACCATTATGCATTGTGCTAGTGTTATTTTGCAGAATGTCCTAATGGCATGGTTTTATATGCAATGTTTCTTTAAAGATTACAAGATAATGCTCCTGTTAAGTTCACACATCCAATTGAAGAGACAAAACTGACCAACAGGAAAACAACAAACTGTATCTCCGTCAACGCTGTTATTAAGAGGTTTCCTCTCCCTTTAAATTATACAAAGCAAGTAATTTCCCTGTGCCATTTACTCCGGAACCACTGCCTCCTCACCCCTGCAGATACAAATCACGCAGGAAACAGATAATCACAGCTGGAAAGACCTCGCTCTCACAGAAATAGCACACCCATGGTATTAATATCAACATTGAAGCTTGGCAACCCTCAACGTGAAGAGACATCACAGCCAATCAAACACACCCTGGTTTGTGGAAAACTTGCAGGGGTGTCACCTCTTCTTCTACTTTGCAAAATCAGATTTGAAACCTTGAGGCTTGATGATTGTTATGGTTTGGCTCTGAATTAAGTAGCATAATGATTGCTATTTTAGGTTTTAAACCACACTAATGACGGACTGTATAATGGCTTTAATCGAGGCTCAAAGGGTCAGCATTGTTGGAGAAAAGATGGAGCATAATAGAGCATAAAGAGAATAATATACTTTAAATATTACACATCATAACCTTTAACTCCTGCAGATCATATGCCATTTGCTATAATTATTATTATTGTGTTCATTACATTGTATGTGTTTTGTAGCTGCCCTGTACAGTAGATGGGATTATAAAGTGAGGGATACTTAACCGGAACTGAGTATATTAAAAGCTTTTGTATTCATATTATTTATTATAGAGTTCAGCGATTCTGTAAAATAAATCAAATGGACACACCTCAAAGCATTTTGCCACCTCAGAAAAGTCTTTAAACTCAATGAAAGTCAAGGATACTAGTTTATTCTACATGACAGGAAAATTATATTGTTATAAATTCTTAATCTGTGTGGTGTTCCACTTCAGTTTCCCCCGTCACATCCATTAAACATTGCAGTTTGTGCCAAATACTATACAAGAAATGTATTTTGCAGCATTCACTGTAAGAGTCTCAATAGTAAGAAAGATTATTAGCTTCAGGCAAAAGGGTATTTTATTTATTTCGCATTTGAAGATTGAAGTGATAATGTTCATCATGAAGTTGAAATGCCACTTTGCTGATGAAGGAAATACATTGGGAATAAGTGTTAAGAATAAATCAAGACATTTTGATTTGTATTTAAAATAGTTGTCATCCTCATATTTGTTTCTACTTATGCAACAAACCTTATATCACAGCTAACAGGATATTGCAAGACTCAGAATTCAAATTCTTCAAACAGGTTGTTAGATCTAGGCAACATGCAATACAAAAGAAAGCAAGTTCTAATCACATAAATTAGGACCGGGGAATGAAGCATTGCATTATAGGTTGAAGAATACTTCGTCCAAGCCACACATAACAGTGCTTCTAGTTTTCTCTGGCTGTTTTCTCAGATTGTACAGATGTTTGAGATTCATCTAATTTGAGATTCATCTGGATAACATTCCCAAAGAATGGGCAGGATTAATGGAAAATATGAATCAGCGGTGCAGTGGTATTGTTGTTGGATACTTCATGACGCTGTTTCAAGTCCGTTCTCCATCAAGTGTTTCCTGAGGGTGACTTTGTTTGAGGCTCTGAATAAAACATTTACACATCTTGACACGGCTGTTTACACGTCCACAGATTCCTCTCTGACAGGTGTAAAAATGCATTTAGTAAAAGTGTCTCTTCTGAGAATTAATCCGCAGTGAGTTGAGGTGATAACAGCAGATTTTAATCAGATACAAGCTGTGTGTGCCCAGCTCCACGTCCAGCCAAATCTCACTCTTTCACACAAGCAGGGCATCTGGCAGTGACTGAAGGGGCACGACGATGGCGGCCAGGACTACTTCCTGGCATCCTTCTTTATGATGGCTGCATGCCTGGCGTCATAGAAAAAAAAATCTAGTTTTTGCATTGGGATAGTTAAAACTGGACACCATGATGATCATGCTCAGATGGAAGACATTACACTGAAAATAATGAAACGTTGACTTTAATTAAAAGTATTATGTCAACAGATTTCACACAACTGTATTAGGTTAGTTGGAAGCAATAATATTAAGTTAACCTAATATTTGTTTTATTTGAACTTAATAATATTACTTTCATCTAACCTAAGACAATACATTTAATTCAAGTCAACGTTTCAGTTTATCAGTGTAGGATGGTGTGTATGAGAGTTGATGTAGAAGTTATGGTGGTGTTTTTTGGTTTGTGATGTTGCATCAGATCTTTGATTGACTTATTCATCATTGCCAATTTTTTAAATAACTCAATTTTAATACTTTTTTCTAATGTGGAATCTTGATAAAGCCTGCTACTTCTCCAAATGTTGTCTTTCATTATTTTTTAGTTTGATTGAGGAGAACGGCCATTCTTTCACTCAACATCCACCGGCTGAGAGACCGGCAAATGTAGGTACCTTCCTGTTCATAAAGTTGGATGAACCTTGGGAGGATTTCTCACCTCAAGGAAGGTAGCAGGAACTTGAATCCTATCCAAACACTACCGTGAGAAACGTTGATCACAGCAAAGTGCCGTGTGTTTGACGCACTCTTTTCACTTCCCCTCCACTTCCCCTCCACTTCCTCTCATTCCTATCTTGCAATGTAAAGTCATCTGAGCAGGGATTGGCTTTCATGATTCCCCATGCACACTATTTCTGTCTCCAGTCCTTCATCACATCCCGCATCCCGTTTTCCTGCCTTAAGTGCAATACAAGGAAATTGTATTTCACCTATTGCTTTGAGACTTGATCGTTTTTGCTGCAGTTTGTTTGTGTGTATTGGCAGCATGCTGTTAATCATGTCATTTTTCTTGTCTTCCCTGTGGGCACATGAAAGAGAGATGTGCCAGGGTGTGTTTATATATACATATATGCACACTAGCATGCGTGCAAGCATCAAGGACGGGACCAGTAGGCAGGACGTGAGTCACTCGGCCACAACATAACCGAGCATCATTTGTATCCCACAACAAGCGGCGTCACATTTTGAATTGCCTGCATTCGTGTAAGTCCGGTAAGGCCGACAAAGCAGGCTGTCAGTAAGAACCACAGAGCCGGATCCAAACATGGTCCAGACACAGCAGAGAGACTCACCATCTGTCTTTATCGACACAAAAATAAAACTTTGGGACAGTTTCACCGCGGAAATGTTGACAGACCTGGGTACAGTAAGCAATAATAGAAGCCATGGAAGATGTGTTAGCAGGAAGTGTTTTGTACCAGTAGTGGGAAAGTGTTGTATTCCCTTTGTTTCAGGCTTATTTTATTGTAAAGGGGGTCCAAAATGTTGAGCTTTAATAATGTAAACGCGTTACATGCACAGCTGCTATGACAGAGACACACAATATGACATAATGAATGTTTATTATAAAAGAGATAACTTTTTTTGTATAATGTACAGAGGTGGGAAGTAGTAGAGTACAACTACTTTGTTACTGTACTTAAGTACATTTTTCTGGTATCAGTACTTTACTCCACTACCTATTTTTCTAATGACTTTTTACTTTTACTTCTTACATTGGTTACTTTAGTTTGAATGTGTGTTTGGTGGCGTGATCATTATTATTTAGAGTCATTGCGTGCCTATTGATTTGAACACGATCCGTGTATCCATCATTTCCTGGTCTTCTCTAAAGAAGAGGGACCAATGAAAACGTTGTCATGTTGCCGTTGTTCAGCATGGAAACATTCATTAGCTAACAATGACATTATTGTTCTTTTAATATAAAGGGAGGTCAGGTACTCTTTAAAACAGATGGGAGTTATGGGTACATTTCGAAGCCCATACTTCTTAACTTTTACTTGAGTATTGAAGTTTAGTCAGTACTTCTACTTTTACCAGAGTATTTTTAAACACGATTATCTGTACTTCTACTTGAGTAAAGGATGTGTGTACGCTTGCCATCTCTGATAATGTACTAGTAGTAGTGCGGCATAATAGCATACCTTAACTTGTAGCATAAAGGAATAACCAAACCACTTTTAAATAATTTGATCTAATAGGTCCCCTAAATACTCAATTTCCCTCCTTCAGTGCAAACCTAACTATCATAATTCATGTGTGTACTCAAGCCTATAACATTTGTTATCAACGTGTAAGCAGAGACTGATTTATTAAATGAGCCAGCACAAAGAAAACAGAAGTAAAACGGGGTCAAGGGCGCCTCTTGCCTTGTCTATCTTCCCCTGCTTCCTCTCATTCGGAAGCCTAGAAATGGCGTTTCCAGACCTGTCAACAAAGCTTTCCTAAATCCCACAATGCCCCTGGCTCCCTGAACGGTCCTAAAAAACAAGCGTTTTCTTAAGAGTCCCGAAACATAAAAACAAAAGGCTGAGATGGATACAATCAAATGCGACTGGACTGACAGTTTTTCCAGGTGTTGTGAGCATGTGTTTTCGTGAGGAAGCACACAGTCAAGGACTAAACGTCAAAAGTACTGAAGATTTATTTTTCATCGAAAACAGTAAAAGAATATAAAACAAAACAAGATGTTGCTGTAAGAAAAACAGAGGCTGCATGAACACGAAAAGAACACATACATAACACAGCCACTCAAGTGTGATTGCTGATATAATCACGTGTAATCATGACCTCGCCAGCAGCGATTTATAATCATCATCAAGATGAAATTGTGTCTTTCTAATTCTTCAGCCCAACGACAGCATAGCATCTCGGTGACAGGAGGGGATCAAAGAGTTGCACCAGAGCAGAGAATGATAAATCCTCCTGCAGGACACAAAGAACAAAAACAATAAGAAACAAAAGAAGATGATAAAAAACACATGGACATCACAACCTTGACTCTCCTCCCAGTTTGCCTCTCTATGATGTTCTCCCAATAAAAGATGTCTCTATTGAATCCCCAGAGAAGAAACATCTGTGCAAATATTGTGTCAGGTGGACTCCTGTTCATGTGTACGACAAGTGTGTCTTTCTTGATGGCTAGCTCCTACGTTGTAGGACATTTTGGAATAGTAACAAGACTATATGCTACTTATGCAACTACTATTTGGCTGACTTCCTTAATAAGTGAAGCTGGACACAAACAGTGCTTTGATTGGTGATGAGCTGATTCTAATTGAATTAGTATTGATTTTGAATTGTATTTAGATCTAGCTAGCAGTGGTGATCTTTAGGGTAACTATAGCTATTGGTCCCAGTTTGTTGAAACTTTGGTAGTTTACCAAGTGGGACATTTTGAATTTTTTTTATTTTGGGAATGCCAACATCAGTATACTAAAATGCTTAAAATGACAATACTAACTTTTTGATGTTTAGCATGATTAAAATCTTAGTTATCCTAGCATGTTAGCATGCTAACATCAGCATACTATAATGCTAAAAAAGGCAATGATTCAAGATTTTTCAAGATTCAAAGCATTATATTATATGTTATCATCATAACATATGCTAACATTGTTCAGGCTTATCAGATATAATGTTAACTATGTTCACATCTCGGTTGTCCTAGCTTGTTAGCATGCTAACTGCAGGTATATTGACCACATGATGGTTGTATTGTTAAAAGGCAAACTAGTGCTTTTTGGACCTCTGTGATTACGGTCCTGTTTACATGTTGTAACACGCATGTCCCGAGTTCACTGAAAAAAAAAATGTAACAATGACTTTGATTAAATGTATTATGTCAACAGATAATTATATTAGGTTAGTTGAAAGCATTAGTATTAAGTTGAACCCTATTATTTTGTATTCAAATGTAATATTATTGCTTTCAAATACAATTATGATTAATGTGTTGCCATAATATATTTATTTAAGTCAACGTTTCAATTTCTTTTCAGTGTTGCAATGGCAGGGTAAAGCAAATAAACAACACAGTGGTGTCATACCCTTGCAAAATATTCCCTATTTTAACATATACTGTTTGGTGCTTTTACTTTTCAGCAGACATCCCGTCACAGTGTAGACTTGCTTAATAAGTGCATCAGTGTTTGACTTTCAACACTTCACCTAGGGCCTGAAGACTTTATGAAAACATACAGAAATATACAGTATGTTTCTGGATAATAATCACGGCTCAGAACCTGATCAGTGTGTGTTTATATCCTTTAAGGCTGAACATGCTTCAGCACACTTATCATCACATGGATCATATTCACATCTATCACCTCCTTTTCCCCCTCTGCTCCTCCTTGGGGGAGATCCCTCAAAGCTGACCAGCGCTTTGTACAGTACGTTATATCATTTGATTACATGACCCTAGTAAGGAAGTCCATCTGACACACAGCCATGCATGTAATCACAGGTTCAAAGCTTGTACATATCTCATCACAGTGACTCAGGCTACAGATTAGGATGTTGAGTTTGGCTGCAGATGCACAAGACGTTAAATTGCAAGCTGGCTTTAATTTAGCCGACACCTATATTATTGTCGGTGGAGTTTAATTTAAAAAAAAAGGTGGGAGATCTCAGCTGAGATTTCTGCGTCTTCGCTTTCATCATCTGAAGAAGTTTTAAATCCTAATCAAGGAACTGTACGAGCACATTTTAAAGATGATTCCAGATGAACAAAGAGAGTGAGTGAGGAATGCGTGTCCCTAGGGTGCTTGTGAAAATCACTGTTAGTTCAATTATGACTCAATAGCCGCGTTCACACCAAGTACTTTCCTGTACTTAGTTCCGGCACTCAGAGCCCCGGCGCTTTTTACCCCAGGGCACTTAGTACAGATCGCGTTCACACCGGAGTACTTTTCCCTGAGGGAAGATTACGCAAATGAGCCGCTGACGTCACTTCTTCTTCTTCTGCTTTGGCTTTACTGGCAGGCCACAAACCACTTCACGGCGAGTACAGTAGGTGGCGGTATGCACCTTAAAGTTGTTTTCAATCCGCTGCAAAACAAGAGAAGAAGAAGAAGAAAAACTTCCCGCGTATACTGCAACGCCCACCCACTCGCTGTACATTAGGCGTCTGTTGTTTACCTTCCGACCTCAGACATGATGGAGATGGAGTCGACTGAAGTTGTGCTGTTTGTGCTCATGTTATACAGCTTTGTAACTGAGTTAATGCAGCCTGAGCAACTTGCGTACAATAACAAAACAAGCCGAGCACGAGTGGTGGTGGAGAACGCTTTTGGCAGAGTGAAGGGCAGGTGGCGGTGCTTGATGAAAAGAAACGACTGCAAGATGGACAAGATCAAAATCCAGGTGGCAGCATGTTGCATATTACATAACCTTTGTGAAAGTAATGATGAGTACAGGGACGAATGGACTGCCTTACCGGCGACCCAGCTTTATGAGGCATCTGAATAGCGTGTAAATTGTACATTGTAAACATTTTGACAATAAAGCTGATCTTTTGTACAGTGCTTTTGTTTCTCTCTTTTATTTTCCAGTCAAGACAGGCAACATTACAATAGTGTACAGTGTGGCAATATAATAACAATAAACTGTGCCAGGTGTGTTGTATGCACAGTAAATATGCTCAGCAGCAAACCCACCTTTATTATATATATATCTTCCTGAGACCCACTGCATCCGTCTGCCATAAACACTATGGAAACATACATGTTAGTTTCGGCCCATAGTGGACTCCATTTTGTGTTGTGTAAAATGGGGGGGGGAATTAAAAGTTTGCAAATCCCCATGTCCTCCTCAGAGGACAATCATAAAAACATTTAGTTTTAGGTCAAATAATATTTAAAATTATATAAATTATCATATTTGTGTATGTGCCCCTGCCATTCCTCCACAAGGTTGCAACATTGATGATAAATAAATGACAAATAAAGCTTTGCCAGTTTATAACCGATGAAACATGATGGTATCAGAATAATCACTTACATGTGATGTATAGGATGCTACACAGGTCACTAAAGATAAAGTGTCAGGAGAAATAAGCAAGATACAGGATCTGTTTAACAGTAAATAGAAGTTCACATTTTTTATGTAAATAAAATAGAAGTTGTACATGTAAATTAACATTATCAATATAAAATAAAGTGTCAGTTGTATCAAGACTATATAATAACAGTAATAACAATAATATAAAATGAACTGGTGAGCATCTTGTCCTCCGTTTCCTGGGCCTTGGTGAACAGCACCATCTGATCCCCGTGCATCGACTCTTTCACCACGGCACGCCGGTCCTCCAACGCCTGGACGGTGTCAAAGAAATTCGCATCCCGTGTCCGCTTTCCTAAGAGGGGAAAATAAGCAAGATACAAGATCTGTTTAGTCGCCATGTAGTTTTACAACATACTAGGAATGTTTTTTTTGTATTTTCACAAATAGAATTAAGGTTTCACAAATCTGAAACTGTGTTATAAAGAATCTTTTGACTCTGGGATAATCCAGTCCAGATTTGATGAGTCTAGGTATAGTGGTTTTAGATCAGGACCTGGTCTAATGTGGTCTACATGTAAAAAAAGCACTGAAATCTCCCTTTTTTGTATTTTTACAAATAGAATTAAGGTTTCACAAATCTGAAACTGTGTTATAAAGAATGTTTAGACCCTCTGGGATAATCCAGTCCAAATAAATCGGCTATGCAGCGATTTAAGAGGTTCAAACACGGAGGATTGTTCCTTTTTGAAGAGTGCTTCATGTATGCTTGAACTTTGTTTAATGTTGTTGAGGCAAGTTTTCTTACCGGAAGTCATGTGACCTCTAGCCCGGATGTTTACAATGTTTGTGAGAGAGTAAAAAGGCGCGAACATTTGTAAATGCCGGTCTAGGCGAATACGTTTTCACGCTGTTTCATAATTGTACCAAGAAGGAAATAAACATGATTGTGAACATCAGTTCGATGCGTAACGTTCTTTCAAGACAAAGTTACAGTGTGTGTACCTTTGCGTTTGGTTGCTGGTAAGGGGGATGACCAAGCGCTGTGATCTAGAATGCAAAGCTCGCTTGTTTCCAATCCCGAGAGTTGTCCATCCTCGCCTGAAACAGACGATTAGTGCCATGAGTTAGTGAAGCAAATTACAGAAACACTGCACAGTTATTCACAAGTCAAAACGTTTTCATAGCGGCCGAGAATATCTAGCTAGCTAGATGTAGCTAGCTCGGGGCCGGTGTTAGCCTATTCAGCCTAGCATGGCTAGCTTGATATACTGAGCAAATAAAAGTACATCTGAGACCATTATTGTGCAGATTAAAACCCCAGTGCATGTAGTTGATTTTACCTTCGTCGTGGTCGTCATCGTTGGCCACTGAATCCGCCGTTTGTAGTCCTGCCTGAGTTTCTTTATTTTTAGCCGGTGTGCCGTGGGGCTGTGCACGATTCCCAGGTCGAGTGAAAGCTACTGAACTGGCTTCAGTAGCATTCCCTGGGTCGCGTCCTCGGCGTAGATCTCCAGAAGCGCCGACACCTCCTCATCATTTCTTGATGCTTGCCATAACTGCTTTCAAAAACAAACTACTCTCCGTCGGTGCGCTGGGTTTTTGTAGCGAGGAAAAACAATGGCGGCTCTACACAACATTTTCACAGTTGTACGGGGCGTGGTTTGCAATTCGCCTAGCCAATCAGCACTGGGGCACTTTTTACCCACAGGAAAGTACGATCTCTCAGCGGGCACTAAAAATGGGGGTAAAAGTTCCCGAGATTAAGTACGATTTTTGGTGTGAACGCGACATAACGGAACTAAACGCGAAAAGTACGGTGAAAAGTACTCCGGTGTGAACGCGGCTAGAGTTACTTGTTTTTTTCTAGTTTGTTCAATTTCTCTTTGTTTTCTCAGAGTCAGTTTAAAGGTCCCATGACATGGCCATTTCTACTGGTCATAATTCCATTGTTGAGGTCTACTAGAATAGATTTACATTGTGCAATTTTCCAAACTCACATTGGTTTCTCATACAGCATCTCTGTATAGTATGTGTATTCACTCTCTGTCCTAAACAGCTTGTTGGAGCTCCTGCCCCCCCCTCCCTGTGAGCCCACTGTGCTCTGATGAGTCCACCACCGTTACAGCGGAACATCAGTGATTATGTGTTACAATGGCGTTAGCAACCAGAAAATGACACCAGTAAGGACAAACAGATGAGAATGCTGCGTGGGGTCTGGGTGCCGTGTTGGCGGGACGTTGCGAGGCTCGCTGCTGCGAGGAGCGGACAGTGTGAGCTGGCTTACTGGTGTGGTTTCCTGGTTGCTGCGTGGGGTCGGCGAGACAGCGAGACAAGGTTCTTTATTGTCAATCTGACATAGCTACAGAGTAATTATGTAGTTGAAAATCTTATGTCACAGGCTTCTCCAACAATGCAACATAATAACATAATAACAATAAGAGCAAGAGCAATACAAAAAGAAAAATAGTTATAAAATAAAGTGATGATGTGGAATAGTGCAGTACAAGTCTATATACAAGTTATTGGAATGATATATATATATTAGGTATTAGATACATAATACTGAGTAGCAGATGAATGTTTTGAAGTTGTTTCAACAGTTCAATTTTTTAACAGTCTCACTGCCCGCGGGAAGAAACTGTCTCCGAATCTTCTTGTCCTTGCCAGGATGCTGCGGTAACGTCTGCCAGACGGCAACAGAAAGAACAGTTTGTGGCTGGGGTGATGGGGGTCTTTGATAATCCGTAGTGATTTCTTCCTGAGCCGCTGGGAGTAAAGGTGCTCCATGGATGGCAGCTCCGTCCTGGTGATGTGCTGTGCAGTTTTCACCACCCTCTGTAAAGCCTTACGATCGAGGTCGGTGCAGCTGCCGTACCAGGCCGTCATGCTGCCAGTCAGGATACTCTCTATGGTGCACCTGTCGAAGTTGCAGAGTATCCTGGAATCCATTTTGAACCTCCTCAACCTGCGGAGGAAGAAGAGCCGCTGTCGAGCTTTCTTGGTGATGGTGGTGGTGTGAAGAGACCATGTCAGGTCCTCAGTGATGTGGACCCCAAGGAACCTGAAGCTTTTGACTCTCTCCACCGTAGTCCCATTGATGGCGATGGGGGCGTGTCCCTCTCCCTGCTGCTTCCTGTAATCCACAATCAGCTCCTTTGTTTTGCTGATGTTGAGATGGAGGTTGTTATCCTGGCACCAAGATGTCAGGTTTTCGACCTCCTCTCTGTACGCCGTCTCGTCATCGTCTGTGATCTGGCCGATGACGGTCGTGTCATCAGCAAACTTCACGATGGTGTTGGAGCTGTGTGTGGCCACGCAGTCGTGGGTGAACAGGGAGTAGAGGAGAGGGCTGAGCACGCAGCCTTGAGGGGCACCGGTGTTGAGAATCAGGGTGGAGGATGTGATGTTTCCCACCCGCACTGCCTGGGGTCTGCCCGTCAAGAAGTTCAGGATCCAGTCACAGAGGGCGCTGTTGAGCCCGAGGTCTCTGTGCTTGATGGCCAGCTTGGAGGGCACAATGGTATTGAATGCTGAACTGTAGTCAATGAACAGCATTCTCACATATGTGTTCCTGTTCTTCGGGTCCAGGTGTGAGAGGGCAGTGTGGAGGGTGAGGGCTATGGCGTCGTCTGTGGACCTGTTTGCTCTGTAGGCAAAGAGACACAGCGAAACCCAGCCCGAAACCAGCCCGAGCACACACACAGACTCACAGCCTCGCCGCGTCCCGCCGTCTCAGGCTGAGAAATCCGCGGAGCTGCAGCTGAGAAAATAATGTGTGTGTGTGAGGAACACACACACCAATCCGCGGACTTAACGTAACGGCTCCGCGGACGTAACGTAACGACTCCGCCAATTGGTCCATTTGGGTATGGTTACGTCGCCATACCCAGGAAGAAAAAAATGGAAAATGAAAAATCTCCAACGAGGCGTTCTGGGGCAGCATAGACAGGTCTTTTCTGTGTTAGAGTTTTACTCGCTACAGGGTGTACTTTGAGGGTTTTTGACTCTGCAGGCCGTTTACATGCAGAAAAAGCTACATAACACACAAGGGGACGGGTAATAACCGGAAAAGCATGACATGGGACCTTTAAGATTTGAAGTGATAAAACGTATACAAAATAAAAGATTTCCACTTATGGCTTGGCTATTTCCACTAAATAAAAGCAATTTTGAGATCAAAATAATTGTTATTTTAAACCAGATTTTTTGGATTTGCTGGAAAGAGTTCCTTTTTTTAAACCAGCATTTTGAAGACACACCTGTTTATTTCTTTATTTCTAACCTCCCCTGCCTCTTCTTGGCTTTGTGTTTATTCAGTATGACTTCCTTTTAGAGTCTTACTCTATTTTCAGGTTTCCAGGTTCCAGGTTGTGCTTAAGGGGAGTCAAACATGGGAGCAGAGCCGCACCTTTAAAAATAAATAATTCCTATTATTTTTGAATGATTTATGAGAGTGTCCCGACTGAGTTTACCTGTTCTTTCAGGTAGCAGAGGCGGTCAAGGAGAATCAGACCTTCAATACAGGGAGCCAGGGTCACCTTCAACTGCACAGAAATAATGACATGAGATGACTTTGAATATAAATTGGTTGATTTCATTTCACATCAGTGCTTTTGACAAGGTTATAAGTCTGTCTGGTACAAAACTGCTTATTTTTATACTCCCAAAATTGAGACTACAAATTCCCACCATGACAAGTGTCTTGCCAGTAGCTGGTGGGCAATCCCCAAAAAACATGTTTTACTGCTTTATGTCATGAAAGAAAATTGGTATGTTGGGTGACACCACCATTAGTGGCCTCATCTCATCTGAAACCACAGGCTGGTCCCATTCTGTACAATCATCCTCGCAGACTACAATGATCTCACTTAATGCTTCTTGGCATTATTCATCCTATTTCACAAGACTAACAGATTTCCGTGCCTACCAGTCCAGTTAAAATGTTATCGATGACTTACCAAATTAAAAGCATGCATTTCGGCCATTCGCGGTTTGTATGTGTCGTGGTAATCCTGGATGTCCCTGTCCGAGAGCTGTGAGAAAGAGAGTATTGTGCAAGTGAGTCAGAATATAAGGGCATATAAAAAGGGGAATAAAAGTGAGACATGTAGGGAACATTTGAAAAGGAGTTTAAGTAGGAGAGAAAGAGGTTTATGACTTTTGGAGTTGTATGTGACGGCGCACAGACAGAAATACATCATCCTTATTCCCATGGATACGCAGCTCTGCCAGATGAGCTCAACATCCTGGTTTCTGGCAACATCTTAATCCCACCACCTGTGTAGTTCCTTAAGTTTACACAATTTATATGAATATATATGAATTGATGGGTAAACACCAATGAGGAAATATATTCTCTCTATCCGGCCAAAATATGGAACATTTCCCCCGGAGTGCAGTGTTTTTCCACAATTTGTTTCTAGAAGGTGTTGTAAGACAAAAATATTTTTATTTTATTTTAAAATACCTTTGATTCATCCAATTCCAGTCTGAGTAGAGCTCGGTGAACATAGTCCACGAAGGACTTTGCCTTGGAGTAGACATTCCCAACTCGCTTTTCACTGCAGAGCAAACAAGTCATACATTTACCATTTATCAGTCCCTGAACGTCTCAGTGAAGTAAACAACTTCCACTCCTTTACTCACATGTCGTTTGCATTTTTTTGCTTTTAAATCAAAGTTTAGCAATCAGAATTGAACACTTCTAAAAGGAGTGAACAGTGATGAATAAGCGCTCTTAGAGAAAAGTAATGGATATTCCATCCTGATCTGATCTAGTCATCACACTGAAGGTCACTGAGCACATTCGATAAAGGTTAAGTGGAATCTGCGAGACACTTCTTTAGTTCATTTCACTTAATAAGAGGACAGCAAGATCATAATCCGTCAACAAATTCAACTAAAATGCCTGAAAATAAGGAATCAAAATAAAAGCTAACGACCCGCCTAATCTGCCATTTATTTCTTATTTTTAAAAGGTACTATATTACCAGAAAAATATAGATTTTATAAATATTAAAGCCTTGAAAGGGTGCAATTAATGTTTTTTACATTATCGAATAATGTGCCCATTTTCCTTATTTGGTTTTCAGTCTATAAAATATAAAGAAGTTTATAACCTTAAAAACACCGAGGAAGAAGAAGAAACATTTCCTTTCTGGTTCAGAGAAAATAAAAAATAAATCTGTGACGTACTTAATACATTTCCTTTGGTCTGTTACACTTTTAACAATCTCATGTTTATTTTAGCTGTATATGTTTAAAACAACCATAAATAACTAAACTATGTGGACACTGTGAAATAATACCCAGAAAATGTTTAATAGCTTTACACTTGCTGTCATTTTTCATATGAAAGTGATGGCAGATGTAAAGCGTTGTTACCTTTTGAAGGAGCTGTAGTGATCCCTCAGAATAACATGAAGGACGGCTCGGTAAAACAGAGACTCCATCTGAATCTGCACACAAGATCAAAGATAACTTGATTCAACATCATGCAGTTTACTTTAAATTCCCCTTACGATTCACTCAGCGTCTGTATGAACAGTTGATAAATAACTCCTGACACTTTCCAAGCCTGATGCAAGACTAGCAGGCAATCAAGCCAGATTCAGACCCCAGTTCCAACAAGAAATCAATCTAGTGATTGCATTAATATTTATAAACATTCCATATTAATGGCTGGTGGTATCATGTAGCAAGCGTTTTGCCCCGAGCTCCATTTGAAATAAATACACTGCAGTCAATCACGGACTTAAAACAATAGCAGAATCAATGTGCTGATTGTTTTAGATCATTATGAAGATAACACAGTCTTGAGTGATTGTGAACACCCATATTTGATATTTTAAATAATGTGATGGATTTGTTTTGATGGGTGGGGAGTGAGAATAGAAAGAGATTTGAGCCTCATTGTTGTGCGATGATGACTTTTATTTTATATTTTTAATAAATACGGATGTCCTACTTACCCCTTGGCCGAGTGAAACTCTTTCGAGGGCCTGTTTTTGGAGAAAATTGTGAAGCGTTGAAACAAAAATATTTATTGGGAAAAACTGAGCTATAGCCACAGTAATACAAAGTAAAAAACACTCATCCACAAGCCTTACAGTGACTAAAAAGACTGTCTGGAGATCATGTGTTTCTCTAGGAAAGCTGCTGCTGTGCACATTTTTTGTGCTGTCATCAAAACTCACCAAACACGCTGACATCCTGGCATTTCTGCCGCAGAACCAGGAGCCTTGGCGGAGGTACTGACTCAGAGGGAAGCCACACACACCGTGCAAACACTCTGGGAGGGAACACACAGAGATAATAGCACTGAAATGACAGATCAGCTTATCGAACAACAGCAATCAGTGAGTTTGCATTTTAAATATTTGCCTGGCTACTGAAAAAGAGAGCAGGAGTAGGAAACACATTAATTCATAAGGACTTCTATCCTTTTCTTTCACTGCGACAGTCTTAAAGGGCTCTAAACTGGAATTAAAACTACTGAGGTTTTTAACTTGTTTATGTGTCAAAAAGCCGCTTAAAAGGAAATGTTCTTGCGCAGAGGTAAATGAAAAAGGAGATTGATACCACTTTCATATTTGTCTGTGTAATCTGAAGCTGCTGTTAGCCAGGAAACAGTTACGGGCCGTCCACACAGCAGCGTTAAAAAATCTTGAAACGCTTCTGCCCATTCACTTTGAATGGGGTGACGTCACTTTCCCTCACTTTTCGCCGAACTGCATTGTGATTTTCAGGATTTTCAGGATTCAAAAGTTGAGCAATGTTCAACTTTTGAGGCTGAGGTGGAAGCGTCAGCCAATCAAATCCCGTGTACGCAAATCTGACAGTTCAAGCTCTAGCCAATCAAATGGCGTGTATGCTGGGAGAGACATACCGCAGGTCATTTCCTCATATTCCAAAAAATGGAGGAGAAATTAGCGGTAGGGAATCACCCGGTGCTTTATGACCAGTCCCTATTTACCTACCGGGATATAAACCGGAGGAGCCAGGCATGGAGGGAGGTGGCAGAGACAGTGGTATGTTTTCGCCTGTTTGGGGAGTTTATATCCAGTTTACTTCAAACTTTTTTGCTTCGTATGTCGGGGGCGGGAGATTCATGTGATTGGTTGTTGGTGCCTTGCTCGCAAAAAATCCCCAAGCTTCAGATACGCCCACCTCCAAGATTTTTTTTTAACGCTGCTGTGTGGACGGTCCGTTAGCGTAGCCTAGCATAACGTTTGGAACAACAGGGGAAACGGTTAGCTAAATTCACCAGGCTAGCTGTTTCCCCTTGTTTATATTCTTCGTGCTAGGCTACGCTAACTGTCTCCTGGCTAACGTTTTTCCCAGAATCTCAAGCTTCTTCTTTAATATGCTTAAAGTGTATGGTTAGAACCTTTATAGGATAAAACTCATCTCTCCTTAAAAAAACTTTAAAAGTTTGAATACCTAAATGCTGGAGCAAATGTGAAGCACCTTTCTAACCATAGCAGAGCTGAAGACACACACACACACACACACACACACACACACACACACACACACACACACACACACACACACACACACACACACACACACACACACACACACACACACACACACACACACACACACACACACACACACACACACACACACACACACCACACACACACACACACCACACACACACACACACACACACACACACACACACACACACACACACACACACACACACACACACACACACACACACACACACACACACACACACACACACACACACACACACACACAACACACACACACACCCACCCCCTTTGGGAGGGTACTGAGTGTGACTTCTTGACAGCCAGCCATCCTTTTCATGTCATTTCTAAAGGGGTCAGTGGCTGAGGCCAAGGCGCAGTGAATCCAGAGGGACACGGTCAAAGGAAGCAGTAATAACATGTGCAGCTGCTAGCAAACAGCCTGGGACACGCTAACATGTTAGCAATCATGTTAGCTTCCCTTCTGCAGCGGCACATGGCCTACTGACACAGAGTTTACCCTCGGAGGCAATTAAAGTGGACAGGCCTTTCCTCCTGCTGATTACAGTACGTACACAGAGATGTTTATAGAAGCTGGTCTCGTGTTCACATCTGAAGTGGCCACATACATGCAACCCCATTCAAAAAGGCAAATATTTCTGAAGTCCTTGTGTTCGATTGTACACTTTGTGTAGAGACATTCTGGCTCCAGACCGGAGACGCCTGAATGTGCTTAAGATGTTTATGTCAACAGAATGATTTTTGGAGTCCTTATTCCACATAAGGCATTAAACAAGGATGATGCATTTAAGGATAATACCATGGGGGGGGGGGGGAAACAAGGGCCAGTGCCCCTATAACACTGAGCTTGGACCCCCCTGTGGCTCCCCTCCAAAATAAATAATTATGATAATGCAATTTCTGATAGTAAAATAAAATGTAACTTAGACATTGACTAAAGTTCTCTTACAAAAAAAAAACACAAATTATTGTATTTATTGTTTTTCTTTGGGCTCTGACTTCATACTTAATCACGATTCGTACCGTAACATGGCAATTTTGTCTTTGTAGCGCGTTAAATGTGCTCCTCTCATAAAATAACTGCCCCCAGCGCGGCCCCCCCAGTAAAATTGGTCTAGAACAGCGACTTGATGATACCAAAGTGACTCACATAACTAGCTTTCTATAATGAAGCTTTTCAGCTCTGCAGCTCTTTTTGAGAGTGAGGTAGCCACCACAGGAGCTGGCCAGCATCCCAGACTGCACTGTAAGGGGAGAGAAAGTGTGTGTCGGTGTGATTGCCATTTGTTCACTTCTTTAAAGCATAAAGCCGTAACTTGAGAAACGAGCATGGATGGGAGTGTTTTCAATCAGCTGTTGTGATATCATTTTCCGCTGGCTCTTGGCTGAAGCTGCGTCGGGCCGAGATGACGTGAGGATCGAAGGTCACGCCGTTAACAAGAGATGACGGGACACCGTATCCACTGTAGTGACGGCTCTCCCTAAGGATTTACAGAGGCTGCAGTCACAGCATGAGGACACATGTAGACAATTACATACCCCGTTAAACTCAGCGGTGAAGAAGCGAGGATGACATCAATGTATGGTCCTGTGTTTTGTCACCTGAATTAACCTCAGGTGTAGAGGATGACATACCATCTCCTCAGTTTGAAAGGCTAGTTAAATAACTAAGAGTATACAACATGCTGGTTTCAGAATAAATCAAAGTTAAAAAAAGCTATTTTCAGCAGGCATAAACAGCAATCCTTATTACATAAATCCACACTAATGGGTTTAACAGAGCCCAACTCAATCTCCAGAAGTGTAACTTGGCTGAGTCTCCAGGCTCTCAGTGGAACATTTGACTTGTTTACTATAAAATATGGCTATTAGTGTTTATGTGGGAAGCTAATATTTCATTTCAGATTGGATCAGAGATATAGAATGAGCTCTGCAGGTGTCTGAGATGGGTTTATGGGACATGTGTGGGAGAAAGAGATACAAATAGAGAGAAAGGCTGAGATATACGTACAATGGACACTCCACCATCGTTCCTGTCCCCAATAAGACAAAAATCACCAGCCTCAACGACTACCGCCCAGTAGCACTCACCTCCATCATAATGAAGTGCTTTGAGCGGTTAGTCAAAACCTTCATCACCTCCTCCCTCCCTGACTCTCTGGACCCCCTGCAGTTTCCCTACAGAGCAAACAGGTCCACAGACGACGCCCTCACCATCCACACTGCCCTCTCACACCTGGACCAGAGGAACACATATGTGAGAATGCTGTTCATTGACTACAGTTCAGCCTTCAATACCATTGTGCCCTCCAAGCCAGGCTCAACAGCGCCCTCTGTGACTGGATCCTGAACTTCCTGACGGGCAGACCCCAGGCAGTGCGGGTGGGAAACATCACATCCTCCACCCTGATCCTCAACACCGGAGCCCCTCAAGGCTGCATGCTCAGCCCTCTCCTCTACTCCCTGTTCACACACAGCTCCAACACCATCGTGAAGTTTGCCGACAACACGACCGTCATCGGCCAGATCACCGACGGCGACGAGATGGCGTACAGAGAGGAGGTCGAAAACCTGACATCTTGGTGCCAGGATAACAACCTCCATCTCAACATCAGCAAAACCAAGGAGCTGATTGTGGATTACAGGAAGCAGCAGGGAGAGGGACACGCCCCCATCGCCATCAATGGGACTACGGTGGAGAGAGTCAGCAGCTTCAGGTTCCTCGGTGTCCACATCACTGAGGACCTGACATGGACTCTTCACACCACCACCATCACCAAAAAAGCTTGACAGCGGCTCTTCTTCCTCCGCAGGCTGAGGAGGTTCAACATGGACTCGAGGATACTCTGCAACTTCTACAGGTGCACCATAGAGAGTATCCTGACTGGCTGCATCACGGCCTGGTACGGCAGCTGCACCGCCCTCAATCGTATGGCTTTATAGAGGGTGGTGAAAACTGACCCCCATCACCCCAGCCACAAACTGTTCTGTCTGCTGCCGTCTGGCAGGCGTTAACGCAGCATCCGGACTAAAACCACCAGACTCAGGGACAGTTTCATCCCACAGGCAATAAGACTGTTAAACACCTGAACTGTTGAAGCAAAATCTGTTAAACACCTGAACAGTTGAAACAACATCCATAATATTCATCTGGCTGCTACATAAAAAATATTTTTAAATTATTTATCTATTTACCTAATATATCCTATTTCAATAACTTGCATATAGACTCTTATTGCACTATTTCAAAATTATTTTTCTTTTTGTATTACTATTTACTTGCACTATATTTTTTCTGTTTATCTGTGTTTTGTGTTGCCCTGTTGGAGAAGCCTGTGACACAAGATTTTCATCGGCATAACTACACTGTAGCTATGTTCGTATGACTAAATAAAGAACCTTGAACCTTGATATGAGTGCTGTCTCTCTGTGTGTGTGTGTGTGTGTGTGTGTGTGTGTGTGTGTGTGTGTGTGTGTGTGCGTGCGTGCGTGCGTACGTGCGTGCGTGCGTGCATGTGTGTGTGTGAGGTTACCCTGTCCAGCAGGGTCAAACTCCTCAGACAGCAGGTGATAGCAGCAGCCCACGCTACAGACTGCGGACAGCTCCGGTTTAGCCACAAACATCCTCAGGGTGCTGGGAGCCAAGTCGCCACACGTGTGCAGGCCGACCATGACCGCATCCTGGAATTTGAAGAAAGCACGCAGGGAAAGGAGAGAACAGAAGAAGAAAAAGAGGGGAGGGGTGGTGATCGATGGTTAAGTTTATTGATGATGACGCGCTGCGGATTTGGCACCGAGATAACGCCCCACACTTGTTCCAGCAATGCAACCTCCAGCTGCTGTGGTAGACTCGTAATTTCATGAGCGCCAGTGGGAATCGTGCAGCTATATGCAACCACTAAATATTTTCTGATCTTTTTTTATACTTTGGATTTGCTCACCTCCAGCTCGTCGATAAGCTCTCGGAGCTCAGTTTCCGCAGTAACATAAGAAGTGAGAGGGGAAAACATCTCGTTGGCACTGGTTCTGTTCTGAGCTTTCCTCTCCAGGCTCTCCCTCTTCCTCCTCTCCCTCTCCTCATCAGTGAGCTGGCTGGAGGGAACTCTGGGGGATGAAGGCTGCATCACATCCACTGATAGGGCACTAAGGAAGAAGTCCTGTTCTTGGTTTGGCTCTGAATCCCTTTCTTTTTCCTCCTCTTGTGACAACCCTACCCCGTCTACATGTGAAGAATCCTCGTCTCCCTCCACTCCAGGTTTTATTTCTTCTGACACCTCCTGAGGTGAATGTGCAGCCTTTCCTTGTGCCCTCGCTGCCTTGTTGTGTTTCTGGTACGCCCTGGAGAACTTCTTCAGCTTCCTGTTCCTCTCCTGGGCTCCGTGGGTGTTGGAGCTGGAGGAGTCGATGCCGTAGACTTGGAGGCCGTACTGCAGGGAGAGGAAGGAGCTCAGGTAGCCTTTCCCTGAGCCTACATCTATCACCTGGGGGGGAGAGGAACGATGGAAGAAGAAATATAAGCAAAGCTCAGGCTACTAAGATAAACTTCCTCCTGTTGAGGGTTCAAGTCTGTCCTTAAAGATCTCCTATCATGCTATTTTTAGGCACATATTATGAGTCTCAGATATATAAAAATATATAAAAAACATATCTATGATGTGTTTTGCTCAAAATACCAAACAGATCATGCGTTTTAGACATCCCTCAAATCCCTCTGTTTAAGCCCTGTTAGAGAATGGCTGATTATCTGCTGGCCCCGCCCCGTTTTGAGCACAGCAAGGCACACTGTGAGTTCTGTGACGAGCTGTCTGCTCTGCTCAGATGCAGCTAAACGCTGCCGTGATTAAACGCCATATCATGATCCAAACACATCAAGGATTATTTCTGAAACAATATGGAACTCAAATGCTTTTTTTCTTGCGGGTTTACTACAAGGTGATTTCCTTTTTTTTTAATTTCCTGCTTTTTTACACATACTCTCTCCAGTACAGGTTAGCTCTGAGTGTTAGCGATGCTTGCTAATGTAAACACAGATCATATTACGTCCAAAACACGTTGCGCATTGTTTCTGATAGTGACGTTTCTGATAGGGCCGTGGGCGTAAAGCCAGCCCACATTTCCGATATTACGTCATATTGGCAGCAAATCTGGATCAGCTCCGTTGTACCCACGTTTTTAGAGGTTTGGGTACGGAGGAAAAGAGAAAGAGTTTTGTTTTCTGACACTTTGTGAGTTCCCTTACACACCGGGGACACATATTTATGTATAAAAGACATCAAAAAGTGCATTTTGCATGATAGGACACCTTTAACATGGCCTTTTAGGGTATTCATTTAAACTTTTAAAATGTAACTTGACCTGTTTCACTCCACAGTGCTGGGCCAGACAGGCCACCACCTCAGACATGGATTGGACCTCATGAGATTTCTTGGAATTCATAAACTCATCTGTCTCCATCTCAGCACCTAGGTTAGGAAGAACAAATGTTTTTTAGCCATACATACCCAAAATGTTTCCTAAATAATTTTCATGACATGAAACAATGTGTTCAGACATACCCATGGCTGCTGCTGGAGCTCTGGACTCAGCCCTGCTCTCTCTGAGGGCCTGCAGCAGCTCGTCCCTGCTCATACACACTCCAAGGCCAGGGAGGGAGTGAGCTCTGGCGGCCCGCAACAGTTCACAAGCATCCACCAGCCGGTCTGTTTCATTGCAGAACCCGAATGTGGTCTTGGATTGATCTATCAAGGAAGACAGACACATAAATAAATGTAATATTATAGGATAGTTAGGGTTTTAGGCAACACCCCTAATGCAATTCATCATTTGAGAAATTATACAGTAGGATGAATAACCTGGCAACCCAAAACTTAAGTTAAATCAGTAGTAAATCATTTATCAACCACTATTAGTGATTTCATTTGTTACAACTTTCAAAACCTGAATACATGATGCCTTATGAGATATTGGCCTCCATAATGATTCTCTACAAGCTTAATATGAAAAGTGTATTTGTTTACCCTTTGCTCTGTGTTGTGGCTCCCTCTGCTGGTCACTGCCGTCATTACAGGAGCTAAATGTTGACAGGACCTCCTGAGGTGGCACGGCCGTGAATCGGTTCCACGCGTCCTGAGTGTAAAACTCCACAGTGTGAGCATTAGCGATGTTCAGAGTTATAGATAGAAACTGCTTAACTTCATCTATACGACGTTGTATTTCCGTCAGGCAGTATGAGGAGGATGACATATTAAAAAGCTCTCTAAAGACAGCCCGAGTGAAGCATGAAGTGTTCCTGCATGTACGCACAGGCAAAAGTAGTAGAAAATACTCTTCGATGGCTTTATAATAAAATGTGAACTATAACCCTTTTTAAAATATGACGAGCAAACATAAAAGGGAATACATTTAACGTTTGCACAATATGTTGCAATTTTAGTCAAGCCAAGCGGCACGTTATAAAAAGTAAAATAACGAATACCCTCATTTGGCATGTTATTAACACAATGTTATTGATTTAACTTTAAAACTAATTATATTCAAGCATGTCAGCCCGTTCGGTAAAAACATGCAGCTGAGTACACTTTTCCACCATGTAACAAATATAGGAATGTCCTAATATTAAATGAATCACCTCAAGAATCAAGATATTTTGGATCGAAATCGAATTCTCCACGATTGATTGTTCATGACTGGCACGTGTACGTCATCACATCGCGTCTTTAACACAAGTCGCATGCAGCCTAAACTTAACCCGCATGAGTTTTGTAAACATTTCACTTTTCCTGGCAAGTTCTAACTGAAATGGCACCGACAGATTACAAAAAAAAGGATAATAAGTTTGTGGCGAAAGCTGGTAACTGGAAGAAACCACAAAATACCCTACATGGTGTCAAGAAGAGGAAATGGGTCCCCGACAACAAAGTATTTGAAGGCAGTGTTAAAGAAGGTACGCTTTTAGCTAGTACACTTACAGGTAGAACGAGACAGTAATGATATAATTATTGGGGGTTTAGTTAATTCACCCACATGCAAACACTACACATGCATATACATGTTTTTAGAGAAACATTATACTCTTTCATATTCTTAAAATGTTTGTGGATATTATGTAAAATATATTCATTATAAACTCTAATTCAATTGTTTAATTTGAATTAAAAGAAATCTCACCACTCTCCATTTAAATAAATTGTCATCTTAATAATTCTTGCTACGCCTTTTGTCTCCAGGACAAGGGTTTGCTTTAAAAAGAAAGGAAAAAGTCAAACATGAGTACAACAAACTGCTGCGTAAGGAGAAAAGGAGGACCCCTGCGTCCAAAGCTCTCTACAAAGAGGAGTACCCCGAACACCTCCGGCATCTATACGTGGCCGAGGCAGAGAAACTGAGGAACGAGGCCTGGGCCCATCGCCTTAACAGGACCAAGCAGAGACTGTTAGGGCAGGAGAAAAGAGAAGAGACAGCTGAACATGATGCTCCTGCTGAAGCCGAAGCTGCTGAACCAGTTCCAGAAGATGCTGGTGGATCTGAGCAGACAGATGCTGGACCTGTGAACTCTGAACCAGCAGCATCCTCGGAGAAAGACGGGTAAGAAAACATCTGAACACTCGGCTCTATAACAAATCACCTCTGGCAGGCAGAGAACTCTCTGCTCCATAGTTTCTCTTGGAATAAAATCACACTGTACATTTTAGATTTAGATTTTCAGTTTAATATTTAATATTCCATCCGTCACATACTTATGTATATAAAATACCTTGCTTTATATCTTGTTATTGCTAATTTGTAAATTCAACATGTATATTTTCTACTTTCTTGTTTATTTCTTGTCTTTTAATTTGTATTGTACAATGCCATGTCTTTTTATGCTGCTGCAACACAAACATTTCCCAAATTGGGATCAATAAAGTACTATCTTATCTTAATGCATAGTGCTGACATTAAGTGAGCAGTAACACCTGCATTTGTGAGATATTAAGTAGTTAAAGGTCCCATGACATGCTTTTCCGGTTATTACCTGTCCCCTTGTGTGTTATGTAGCGCTTTCTGCATGTAAACGGTCTGCAAAGTCAGGCAGCTGCAGCTCCGCGGATTTCTCAGCCTGAGACGGCGGGACGCTGTGAGTCTGTGTGTAAGCACACAGACTCACAGCCAGGCTGCGGGTGTGTGCTCGGGCTGGGTTTTGCTGTGTCTCGCTGTCTCGCCGACCCCACGCAGCAACCAGGAAACCACACCAGTAAGCCAGCTCACACTGTCCGCTCCTCGCAGCAGCGAGCCTCAAAACGTCCCGCCAACACGGCACCCAGACCCCACGCAGCATTCTCATCTGTTTGTCCTTACTGGTGTCATTTTCTGGTTGCTAACGCCATTGTAACACATAATCACTGATGTTCCGCTGTAACGGTGGTGGACTCATCAGAACAGAGTGGGCGAGCTGACCAATCAGAGCACACTGGGCTCATAGGGAGGGGGGGCAGGAGCTCCAACAAGCCGTTTAGGACAGAGAGTGAATACACATACTATACAGAGATGCTGTATGAGAAACCAATGTGATTTTGGAACATTGAACAATGTAAATCTATTCTAGTAGACCTCAACAATGGAATTATGATCAATAGAAATGGCCAAGACATGGGACCTTTTAAATAACAGTATTTGACACTAAATTTGCCTTTATAATCTGTTTTAGTCTTCCAATGAGCAACCGCATGAGGAAGAAAATGCAGAAAAAGACGTCCTACGAGAAGACAAAAGAGGAATTTGAGACGGTAGAAGAAAAACGGAAAAAGAAGAAAGAGGTGAAAGAAGTTTTATGTTAATAATGACTCAACATAGTTTAAGTATTTTGTTTTTTATGACTTCAATTCAAAAGCAGTCTGACGTTCTACTGATGGGTTGTCTTTTTCTTCTCATTTCTTATTCTTTTGTATGTATTCCAGGAGTTCCTGACAGACAAGCAGCAGAGAGACGAAGCCATCAAGAAGTACAAACAGAAAAAGGAGGAGACTTTTCAGATACTCAGCAAAAAGACCAAAAAAGGACAGCCCAATCTGAACTTACAAATGGAGTATTTGCTTCAAAAGATCACTCAAGGAGCTGGGAAATGAGTCAAGAGATCTCAACGAAGAATATATGGGACCCTGCCTGTATTTGATTGCGCGATTTAAAAAAAAAAAAAAAAAAAAAAAAAAACAGAATATCCGAGGACGACCAGGATTGAACTTTTCACACAAAAATATCTCTTTTCAGTGCTGATTTATGTTTAGAGTGGTGATCTGTTCTTTTTTCAGTATTTTGCCCCAGGAATTAAACTGTTCATTTTTAATATCAGACCACAAGGTGGCATTGTAAAACATGAGGAGAAGGGAAAATGTGCTTATGTAAGATATTATTACACAATAAATGTTTTATCTTTCTGTAACGTGTTGTTAATTTCATATGGCAAAGACATTTCAGTTGTAGCTTTTACCATGACGTAAAATCATCATTCACTAATCAGTCATTTAGGTTTAACCTTTAAAAATGTAAATCCATACTCAACTTCAGTAAACTGCAAGTGGCTGCTTTTACAGTAGTCATAAATCCTGTATAAACAATTAAATTAAGTGTTATTAGACTGCTATTGTCATGATTACAGACACAAACCTGTTGCATACATGTAGCCCACTGAGAGATCTCCCCCCCCCCCCCCCCCCCCCTCTCTCTCGCTGTGGGACGCAGGCTGAAAAGCCTCCAGCAGCTTCCTCATGACATCACATGGTCACAGAGTGACTTCTGTAACGTTCATCTGAGGCAAGACTTCCTAAACACCGAGCGCAGCCGCTGCTCTGTTGACACTCAGAGCGGAAAAAAGGGCTTCACTTCTGCTCCTCATTTGTCAAAAGGTAAGACTTCTTCTGTTTCTGGTTTATTTAAAGACGCCATTTGTAGGTAACCGCAAAGTATTTTAAAAGCTGCATATGTAGTTAAGTTGAGAGGTTTTGGAGCAGAAAGAGTTTCCCACAATAAGGTATTGTTTTAAAGAAAGGCTGCAACCTTTTATGTTTTAAAATTACATATTTAGTGGAGTATAACAGATTTAGACAGTAATCTTAAACAGCAGAGGGTCACATACTTGAGATCTGTGCTTTATTCTTTTTCAAGAAGTCTTTTGAGGATACAAAGGGGAGTGTATGGTTCTTATGTTCAATTTACAGTAAAAAAACACTTTCCCATCACAACAGTTAAGAAAACATATTTTGCCTTCAAAATAACATGTCTGTTTCTTACCCCGGCTCTTAACACTGCAGAAAAGACAGTACAGCTGTGAAATGGTGGTGGGAAAACAAGAATGGCGTGTGTTGTGTGGTACATTACAGCTCTAAATTCAGCCGCCTCTCGGTAACGGCTCCTGCAGGCATTATGCTGTCATGTGTTCTGTATGGCGGGGTCTTAACATAATCCTTTACACTGTGTTTACATACCTTTGTGAGTTGTTCCTGGCTTATAAGAAAAGGGAAGTACTGTATAGGTGTAACAAGTGATGCACTGTTGCATTCCTGTTCTGATCACTTGTGTCTCAAAAATGTCTTCTGTATTTCTGCTGTTCTCTCACAGGAGCCAGTTCTCAGATTAAACCACACAGTTATCAGTGATCTCACCATCTGATGCTACGTCCTGTCTCCGTCGTCATGGCGACTGTGCAAGCCCCACAGCTTTGTATACAGGGCCAGTGAGGAGGCCTGATGTCCTGTTCCCCTTGTGACTGCCAGTGAAATACATGCTGCGTACACCCCGCGCTGCTCCCTAAAGTTTCTGACATGGAGGAGGAGGGCCGGGTGAACGGCTTCGGCCTGAGCCTAGGGAGGAGGCGCTCGGACTGGGGCAGCATCGCCCTGCTGGACAAGACCAAGGAGTTCTTCCAGACCTGCGACGTGGAGGGCAAAGGCTTCATTAGCCGCACAGACATGAGGGTTAGAGATCAGGCTGTGTGTGTTGTTAAAGTGTGTGTCAGCTTGAGGTTGGATGGAGAGACTGAAGTTAAAACATGTAAATCAGAGTTGGGAAGTCCATTTGTTCAAGTACTGCACTTAAGTGCAACTTTGAGGTTATTTGACTTTGAATACGTACATTGCCCTGATAATACTTTTTTACTTTTACTTAAGTAAGATTTGGAATGCAGGAATCTTTATTAAAATGTATTATTATAATGTCCATAAAAGGACATCAAAAAAATCCATCCCAGTTTATCAGTTAAAATGTTGTCAGTTCAAAAACAGAAAAGCAAGACCTCTACATATTTCAGAGGCTTAAAACTGTGTTTTCTGACATTTTTACACAAAGAATTCCGTGAAGGATTATCAAATAGTAAATCTGTTGATCTGACTAATCTACTAGTCGTCGCTGTTGAAAGTCTAAGCTTTCTAGTGTATCAGGAGAGATATTGATGGCATGATTTCCAAGGTGCAACACAGGATTATATTCTTCAAGATAAATCTGCTGGACACTTTCGTTACTGATTTTATATTTCCTTTAAAGCACAAACTATTTGTTTATGGAAGTTTGTTTTCAGTGTCACACTCAACCTTTAAAGTCTCTTATTCTTTTTTGAAAATGTAATGCTGCTCTGCGAATGCATTAATAATAATAATAATAATAATGGGTTTAATTTATAACGCACTTCATATCTGAGTTAAGATCCCAAAGTGCTACAAGCATTTAGCATTAAGCCTCCATTAGGAAGAACAATAGGTCAAGGAGACATTTACCTGGGCCTAGTTCAGTGTCCAGTGGTGCTGTAATGACAGTGAACGGGAAGCGGGAAACACTCTGTCACTGTGCCGTCCTCGCGGCTCAATTCTGGTTGTTTTTTTCCTAACCTTTGCTAAAGGAGCACTTCACCCACTCAACACACACGGACAGTGGCAGAGAAGCACCATTGATGGAAATGTTTAGGTTCACCTCATTCCCTCTCTCACACACACACACACACACAAATCATCTTACTGGCGGTAACAACACACACGCGCCTCTTCAAAGCGCTAACAGTGTCCGAGCTGTCAGTTAAATAGGACAGGACTCTTGTGAGCGTCAGGCCTTTTGTTGCTGTTGTTTGTGTTCAGGGTTTCTAAGTAGAGCTCTCTTCAGTGACACGTAAAAAACAACTCTGCTCCAGTGTTCACTATCAAAACAGAGCTGGAGGATTACAATCACTTTTACAGGCAGAGGTGGAGAACTACTCAGATCTTGTACTTACTGTGAGTGAAAGTAGAAGTACCAGAGTGTAGGAATACTCTTTTAAAAAGTAAAATTGCTATATTCACTGTTCAAGTAAAAGTACAAAAGTATTAGCATCACAATATACCTAAAGTATCAAAAGTAAAAGTAGTCATTGTGCAGATTGGTCCATTTCAGAATAATATATATGATATGTTTTATAATGATTGATCATTAGTGTTATCAAAGCTGGTAAAGGTGCAGCTAGTTTGAATGACTTTGTATACTGCAGGGTAGCTTGTGAATTTACTCCAGGTGGAACTAAAGTCTCATTTAAGAGTTGATTATATTTCACATCATTCATCCACATCTGTGAAGTAACTAAATACATGTAGTGGAGTAAAAGTACACAATTTACCTCTGAAATGTAGTGGAGTAGAAGTACAAAGTAGCGAAAAATGGAAATACTCAAGTAAGCACATGTACCTCAAAAATTGTACCTAAGTTCAGTACTTGAGTAAGTCTACTTAGTTACTTTACACTACTGTTTATAGGTGACATTTATTGAATCTAACTCCCAACCACGTCCAACTTAATATTTGCGCTGCTGATACTCCCTGCTGAGTTTAGTATGGCAGCATTTGAACATCGTGTGTGTGTGTGTGTGTGTGTGTGTGTGTGTGTGTGTGTGTGTGTGTGTGTGTGTGTGTGTGTGTGTGTGTGTGTGTGTGTGTGTGTGTGTGTGTGTGTGTGTGTGTGTGTGTGTGTGTGTGTGTGTGTGTGTGTGTGTGTGTGTGTGTGTGTGTGTGTGTGTGTTCCTGCAGAGGCTCCACAGACAGCTGCCTCTGTCTGCAGAGGAGCTGGAGGACGTGTTCGACTCTCTGGATACGGACCACACGGGTTACCTCACGCTGGAGGCATTCTCCTCTGGATTCAGTAGGTCTCCTGCCCTCTAACGCTTCTATCTGTATACAGCTTACTTTGATCTTACACTATTTTAGCTCTTAATGCTTCGGCACCCTCATATCTCACCGATTCACTCTAGTTGTATGTCCCTGGACGAGCCCTGAGGTCCTCTTCAAATGGCTTTTTAAATAATCCTAAAGTCCCTGTCTATCTATTATAATATGTTCTCATGCTGCATGCATGCAAAAAGATGTTACTGTTCGACCTGAAGTTAATTTCTTGTTTTTTGCTTTGATTTGTGTGCCATGTTGCGAAAAATACTATACAAATAAAGCTTTATTATTATCTTTCAAATGACAATCAAATATGAGTCCAGAAGGTAACTCAGAAGGTCGTTCTCAGAGAAAATGACATGCTGTTTCCCATGCTGCTGCAACACATGAATACATCCTCTGTGGGTTTCTCTCAGGTCAGTTCCTGCATGGCCGGAGGATCTCTGTGACTGATGAGCAGAATCCGGCCCTCGGCCACGGCATTAGGGCCAAAGAAGCCCTCTATCAGAGCCAATGGGAAGCCAAGCTGTCGGGGGTTGATAGTGAAGAGGAGGGACACTTCTGTATGCTGCTGGAGAGCCTGGGGGCCAGTAACGTATTTGAGGAGTGAGTGCAATCCCTGTGTGGTTTTCTTTGGTGTGTTTCAGCAAAGATAATTCCTTCTTGACACATGAATACCCTTCTGCTCCCCCCCCCCCCCCCCCCCCTCCAGTCCAGGTGAGGTGCGCAGTCTCTGGGCTCAGCTCCGGCGGGATGAGCCTCACCTTCTGTCCAATTTCGAGGAGTTCCTGACCAGGGTCACACACCAGATCAAAGAAGCCCACCAGGAGAAGAAGGAGATGGAGAGCGCCCTGCAGAGGTAGTGCCAGTGGTGTACATTTACTTAAAGGGGACCTATCATGCAAAATGCACTTTTGTACATCTTTTATACATGAATATGTGTCCCCGGTGTTCCAGGGAACTCACCAAGTGTCAGAAAACACAACCCTCTCTATTTTCCTCCATACCCAAATCTCTAAAAAAGGGGATGCAACGGATCTGATAAAAACTGATCCAGATTTGAACACTGTCCTGACGTCAGGACGGTGGCGCTACGGCTATTGGGCCAACTCCACCAATCAGGAGGAGACAGCCACGGCCATTGCCGTTCGAAAGCGCTGGAGACGCTGTAGTACATATGCCAGGCCTGTAAGTGGCGCTGTAGTCTGCCACAAAAGCAGCAAAGAAGACTTCCCGCCCATAGTTACCATGGTTACCCTTCTGTTTATTCTCCGCTGTGGCTTTTTTTCTCCCTCCCCGAGGCAAGCGTTTGCAGCTCAATGCAATCCCTCCCCGTCGAGGCAAGCACTGTAATTCTCTCCGGTTAGTCCACCAGCAGATGACAAACACCCACCTCTCCGCCTCTTCCAAGGAACGAGGGGACCGTGCGGCAGAGTTTCAGTTTCAGTTTCTTTCGCCGGTCAAGATGTCCGTTAAAGTTTAAATCTTCCGGACAAAATTAGAAAAGTGCCGGTCAAAGGTCTTCTTTGTTATTTATTGAGCTTTAAAACAAATGAATAACGACTCTATATAATAAAACACCGAGGACGGAGATCTCTTTTTCTCCCCCTCTTCTGACAGCCCAGCAGCTGATCAGAGCACGTCTCCCCTCTCCTGCAGGGGGGCGTGGTCAGCAGAATCAGACCTGTAGACAGCAAACAGCACATAGAGCGAAATGAGGCATGGCTAAAATGCATGATCTGTTTGGTATTTTGAAAACAGAAACGTATAAATATACCTTATATAGGTATGGCCCTACAATATATCATTTAAATATAGCAGGATAGGTCCACTTTAAGCCAAATCTGGAGTACTTCTCACACCACTGGGCAGTACACACATGTACTTGTAGCTCAAAAAGAGAGAGAATTCCCTTCAGCTGTGGAGGGACAGAAGGAAAAAGGTTATGCAGGAAAGAGAGAATGGAAACACTGGGATACAATTGTGTAGTGTAGTGTATTTACCGCAGCAGTGAGGATTCTGGGTTGAAAAGTCCACATTTCTCAATTGGTTCCCACACTCTAAGTGTTTAAGTACTGTACTTTATGTACCATGTGAAGCTAACGTTCTCCTAGTCGCCAAAATAATCTGTGTGTGTGTGTGTGTGTGTGTGTGTGTGTGTGTGTGTGTGTGTGTGTGTGTGTGTGTGTGTGTGTGTGTGTGTGTGTGTGTGTGTGTGTGTGTGTGTGTGTGTGTGTGTGTGTGTTTATATCCCTACCCCACGTTGGTCCTGCAGCCTGCATGCAACATGTTTGCCTGGATTTACTTGTAATTCTCCAAAGTACAACCCTTTCATCCATGTCAAATGACCAGTAATCTGGGGGCCCGCTCTGAAGTCCCCCCACCTCCTGCTGCTGGGCAAATCCATTCAGACTGTGCATTAGAGGAAATTAAAAGTGATACGCATTTTGTTTTTATAGATTCACCAGCAGCATCTTGGAAAGCATTATACAACATTTACAAACTGCAGTGTACTAAGAATATGTGATTTCTACAACCTGCATACTTTCCCCCTGGCACAACAGCTTGTTATTCCTCTAGATTTGACTAATCAGCTGTTTGGGTCTTAGCAACTGTTAGAGTGAAGTAAACACCTCTCCGTACTCTTTTGAAAATGAAGCTGAGTTGCTGCGTGTCTGCAGGTTTGTGTGTTGAGTATTTTCACGTAAGCCGGCCTGAGACAACAATGGCGCTCTGTTCCTAGATATTGTATTATGTCATTGATTCAACGTTATAATTGTAATGTCTTTACTGTCCCCGTGCAGGAAGTCTGCAACACATGACAGTGAGATCCGGTATTTATACGAAGAGATGGAGGCGCAGATAAAAAATGAGAAGGACAGGCTGATACTGAAGGTGGAGCTCAGACACACACACCTCTTTTAGCAACAATAGAACAAAATAGCAGATATTTAAAGTCCCACTCCACTCAAAAATGTGTTTTCTTTATTTCTTCACTTGATTCCTTGGCCTTCACACTGCGGAATGGTTTATTTGTGAAGGGTATTTTACTCATGTCACTTCTCATCACCATATGACCTTTAACCTTTCTTCCTGGTCGAGCAGGACTCTGAGCGTCTTCAGCTGCGCAGCGTCGACCTGGAGCACCAGCTGTCTTCAAAAGAGAAAGAGCTGGAACATATTTTCCAGAAGCAGAAAAGGGTGAGTTCATGTTTTAACCCATGAGTCAAGATAGATTAGCATCTCTTCAAACGGCTCGTTAAACAGACCTTTGGAATTATGTCCAATATAAATAATTAAGAGAAAAAAAGATGGATTCTATTCTTGCGAAAACAAACTTTTTTTTCAAATATTTCATATACTTTAAAACTTAAAAACATGAAAAGATAGATTATATCAAATATAATATGAAATATATTTCATGGAAAAGTTATTATTTTCTCTTAAAGAGGAAAACAAATATGTTAATGTTAATAAATAATGATATAAAAGAAAAACCTCTGGAGAAGAAGTTTAAAATAAATATTAAACATACGGCACACGTTTTTTGTTTCAAATGAGCAAGATGCAGTGTGTATTTACTGCCAATATTCCTGATACTTTGTAAAATAAGGAATTTTAAATATATATTTTTCCATAAATCAAAACAAAGTTTATTCATATAGCATCATTAGGGGCGTTCACACCAAGTACTTTTCCCAGTGTAGTAATATCACAAACACGTTTGTCTCTGGGCTTTACTGATTAACAAACATAGATGACAGTGTGAGAGATAATTAAAATGACAAGAAAATTATAAAAGACATGATAGAATGCGAAATACAAATAAAACGAAATAAAATACATCAAAAACAGGTCAGAATGTATGTGGTTTTGCTACAGTGTATGGTATTAATCCTTCCCTCCAGCTAACATGTGCTGCAGGGAGGGATTTAAAGAGCCGCCACACGGTTCCCTCTCCTCTGCAGACACTCTCTAAGTACTCTCACCCGGCATTAGTGCATTTCATTCCTGTGAACATTCCCCTCTCCCTCTCTCAGTTAGAGCTCCAGTGCCGAGAGCTGAACAGCGAGAAGCAGGAGAGCCACGTGGAGAACGTCAAGCTGAAGATGACCAACGACGAGCTGTCCCGAGCGCTAGAGAACACCAGCCAGGAGCTGGGGCTGGCCCAGGATCAGCTGGGCCTGCTGCAGGAGCAGGCCGCCCAGCTGCAGCAGGAGAAGGAGATGTGGGTACACCTCCAACACATGACTGAGTATCGTTTTTTAACATTCATTTAAAGGTCTAATATGTTGCATTTTCACATTAGACCTATGTTTTCACATTTTTGGTCGCGTGCAATGGCATCTTCTCCCCTTTGAGCTTGTGTCAGTTTCGTGGTTTTTAATGCCAGCAGCTGTCATAATATCTAAATCAGAATCAGAATTGGTTTTATTACCAATTAGGTTTACATGTGTGAAGAATTTGCTTTAAATGGTGCATACAAAGACACAGAAAGAATAATACGTAGCAAAAAATAGCAGTTTTTCTAAAGCTAATTTAAAGCAGTTGCGAAAAATTTAAAATAAAGACAATACAAAATACAAATAAGTGAGAAACTTAGTACAGTCAAATATAGTAAAAATTGCCCTTATAACCAGTTTTAACCGACGTTTTTACAACCGATGTTTAGATCTTGGTTGTTTTCATCATAACCAGATGAAGGATTTTAGTTATCAGAGAAACAAGCAGAGCTAACATTAGCGGATGGCTAGCAGCGTGGACAGGAGACAATGATTCTTAACTTAAAACTGCTCTATTTAGGGTTTTAACTTATCAGATTATTAAATTGAGGAAACATGGGTCGTGATCCCACGCTACTTCACGACGCTACCAAATGCTGTCTTTTGTTATTGTTTTGATTTTGAGCCCCCTAGTGGCAGAAAATGTCATAGTGTGCTTTAAAAAGTGTTTCCTTAGATGTACTTCTACAACATATAAAGTTTGTTGTTATTTCTTGTTTCAGGGAAATGTACAGAGTAACTGAGGGACTGCAGAGAGAGAAGCAGAGCCTCATGAAGCAGCTTGACCTCCTCAGGTATAATCACTTCATCCCATGAACACATCTGGGTTCTACTTTTACTTTTTTGCATTTGGTTAAAGCAAGTTTTGCAGAAACAAAGGTGCTGCTTATGCTTCTTTATGCATACTTTTTGCACAGCAGGTTTAATTGTTCTCATTCATTTCTCTTTTCAATCTTCACAGAGAGATGAACAAACATTTAAAAGATGAGCGAGACATATGCCGAGGCGTGGTGAGTATACATTTCATCGAATTGCATTGCTGCAGCATCTGTCATGGCAACGCCTGATGGATAAAATACCCATCTAACACCAAGATACTTCCCATCTGTTTCAATAAGCCTCGAACGTCCCTCAGAAAGAAGCAGAAACAGAGAGCGGGCCTCAACAATATGTTCGATGACAGCAGCCAGCCGCCCAAAAGGTGATTCATTTATCTTCCAAACACTCGAACACTAATCATCTGGGACAAAGAAGAAATTCCTGCCTCAAAAAAGACGATAACAATGGCAATTATTAAACAAATTACAAGGAATTGGCAAAAAGATAATAACTTAATAACTCACAATGGAAGAGTCTAGTAGATGACATTTATGGAATGGAGAAAATCACCATGAGAATCAGAAACCAAGTTCATATCTTTGATGAAAGATGGGGAAATTATTAGAAGACATTTATAATGACCAGGTGGTAAGATCTGCCAATGAATGTACGTATGAATATTAATGTTGTATCCATTATGTTTAAGCTATATCTTATAAGTTAATTACAATTTATGTTTTTTTTTTTAACCTAATTTCTAAATTGTTAATGTATGTATCTATCTGTGTTTATTTGATTGTGTATGCCTAACTCTAAAGAGGAAAAACAGAGGATATCTGATTCCGTACCCAATCATCTGAAGTAACTGTTCTGTGACTACAATCAGAAACATGTGAGTGCTTTGGCCTCCGTATATTGACCCAGCATACCCTCTGTTTCTCCTCTGTTCTCTAAAGAGCCCCACTGTTTGTGGACGGGTCCTACCAGTCTCTGGAGGCCTTGCCTATAGAGCTCCTTCAAATCGTGTTTGTTGCTTCCTCCTCCTGTAGCGAGGACGACACCCCTAGCCCCCCTTCCACTGTAAGCACCTCAACATTTCAACGCCCCGCAGGGAGGAAAAACTTTGGCTTAGCTAACGGTTACGCCCACCCCGCTCCACCCAAAGCACACGACGTGAAGGCAAAGGCCAAAAAATCACCCGGCAAGATGGCCGCCACAAAGCGAGTTACGGGGAAAGAGAGGGAAAGAGCAAAGAGAGTGGACATCAAGAAGAAGACGGGGATGGAGGACGAGGTTTTGGACGCCCCCCCGGACGGGTGGCCCCTCCGGAGGGTCATCTCCATCGAGGAGGACCACCTGCCCCACCTGCTCCTCGGGGGGCCTCAACCTTTACTGCACCAGCTCAGTGAGGAAGAGGACGAGGAGGAGGAGGAGGAGGAGGAGGATGAGGATGAGGAACCTCAGAGGGACATTGAAACTAGTGTTGTCATAGGAGAAGGCCTCTCCGCCAGCCCATCCTCAAATCCTGTGTCAGCAGTAGCATCAGTGAGGAAATCCCGCTTTACCCGCGCCAAAAATACGCCAATGTCTCCAAGAGGACAGCCCGTGGGGAAGGAGACCCAGCAAGTATGTCCACTTTACTACTTTACCCCTTTAGACATCTTGAAAAGTCTTAAAGTTGCTATTTTTGAATTTAAGCTCATACTTTGGCTCGTCTTTAGATTTATAGTAGGTTTTGGGCTTCGTCCAGTTAGTCCAGTTCTTTTTTTTTCCTGTAATGTTTTAATTGGTTCTCCTTATGTGACCTGTACTAAAGAAAGTAACAGGATAAAAGAAGTACATGAAACAGAACATATTAAGCTCAGTTAGAGACAGAAACATCTGTGGAGACAATATGTAAATGTTATAGTACCACAATCTAAAAATACTCCGTAAAAGTCCTGCATTCAGAATATTACTTAAAGTGGACCTATCATGCTATATTTGAATACTATAGTGTAGGACCATACCTATATAAGGCATATTTATACTTTTTCTTTTCAAAATACCAAACAGGTCATGCATTTTAGCCATGCCTCATTTTGCTTAATTTGACATTTTTTTAGCTCTGTTTTTGCAAGGGCAGATTCTATGAGAACAGCACCATCTACTGGCCTGGCATATGTACTACAGCGTCTCCAGCGCTTTCGAACGGCAATGGCCGTGGCTGTCTCCTCCTGATTGGTGGAGTTGGCTCAATAGCCGTAGCGCCACTGTCCTGACGTCAGGACAGTGTTCAAATCTGGATCAGTTTTTATCAGATCCGTTGCAGCCCCTTTTTTAGAGATTTGGGTATGGAGGAAAATAGAGAGGGTTGAGTTTTCTGACACTTGGTGAGTTCCCTGGAACACCGGGGACACATATTCATGTATAAAAGACGTACAAAAGTGCATTTTGCATGATAGGTCCCCTTTAAGTAAAAGTACAATAGTATTACATAGAATAGGAGGATGAAACCCTCTTTAATTGTCACACATACATTCTACTTATGTGCAATGCCTTGTTTTGTTTAAATTCCCAATGGATCAATAAATTACCTTTTATCTTATCTTATGTTATGCACACAGCACACAGTGACATTTTAATTTTCTGAAAAAGAAAGTTGGTTGTTCGCTTGTTTATAATTAGTGATGCATTAATGTGTCCATTGAATTTATTTGGCAGCTGTTAAAGGATGAGATAACATTAATAACTTGTTATACTGCCAGGTACTTCCATTATAATACATCTTAGTGTATTAGTTTATTTAATTTTTGTATTAATAATTAAAAACCTGCAAAAGTAACTAATGTTGTCAAATAAATGTATTGGAGTAGAAGTATAAAGGAACATAAAAAGACAGCAAATGTACTTAGTTACTCTTCACCACTGAGTATCTGCCCCTGCCTCTTTTATCTGCTCCAGAATACCCATGAAGCCCCCCTGTTTGTCCCGGACCGCCTGTTTAAAGTGGTCCTGGTGGGGAACTCGAGTGTTGGCAAGACGTCTCTGCTCCGCTCCTTCTGTGAGGGCCGCTTCCACCCCTCCACCACTGCAACTGTGGGTGAGAAGAGAAGCATCGTGATGATATTGTTCATGGGGAGGGTGGTGACCTCTGACCTGCATCACATGAAGGGGCTTGTAGAGTCACACTGCCTGGCACACATTGTACTGCAGATTATGTCACTTGTGATAAATATTTCCTCTTGCTTTCATCTTTCCCAAATCCTCACTCGAGCCTTGTTATCTTCACTTTGCCCTCCTCAAACCCCCCTTTCTTCCCTTCTTCCCATTTTCTCTGGAATGAGGAACAGTAAGTATCCCGACTCTCCAGACCCCCTAGTGGCCATTTTTGTGTTTTTCGCTCTGTCAAAAAAAAATGTATTTGACAAATTTAAGTTAAATCAGAGGTGGGAGAAGTACTCAGACTGTAGTACTTAAGTAAAAGTAGAAGTACCAGGCTTTAGGAATACTCTGTTACAAGTAAAAGTATAAAGTATTATCATCAAAATATATTTAAAGTACCGACAGTAAAAGTAGTCATTGTGCAGATTGGTCCATTTCAGAATAATATACATGATAAGTGTTCTCAAAGCTGGTAAAGGTGCAGCTAGTTTGAATGACTTTGTATACTGCAGGGTAGCTTGTGAATTTACTCCAGGTGGAACTCAAGTCTGATTTAACACTTGATTATATTTCACATCATTCATCCACATCTGTGAAGTAACTAAAGGTATTAAATACATGTAGTGGAGTGAAAGTACATGATTTACCTCTGAACTGTAGTGGAATAGACTGAAAAAGTAGCGTAAAATGGAAATACTCAAGTAATGTACAAGTATCTCAAAATTGTGCTTACACTACTTGAGTAAATGTACTTAGTTACTTCCCACCTCTGAGTATACTAAAGAGAAGTGTAGCTGTTCTGTATTAAACTTCTACTCAGATGACTTTGTGTGACATCCTTCTGGTGTTTTGTTGTGTCTCGATCAGGGGTTGACTACAGTGTGAAGACCCTGACCCTGGACAACATGCAGGTGGCCATGCAGCTGTGGGACACGGCAGGGCAGGAGAGGTGAGTTTATTCTTATATCTTTGAGATAGGAAACAAGTGCAGCCATGGGATGTTTTCTTCTTTTTTTTAAATATTCTTTATATTTTTGTTATTGTGATCCCTTATTGTAGTTTCTCAGAAAGAAAAGAAAAAGAGGGATGAAACAACTTGAGAATAATAACAGTTGTAGTAGAGAAAAATAACTTGAATATGTTCAGCTTAAACATAACTTGTAATACTATATAAAAGTATAAATACTTTCTTTAATCCCAGGTTAAACCTAAATAAATAAATATTTAAATCAACTTTAGGTGTTTTTTTCCTTAGTAAAGTACAAATCAACAAATATCAGTGTACAATTAGTATATATATTTAAAATATGAGTTGAAATATATGCACAATTTAAAGTAGATTTCCGTGTACTATTATGCAGAATGCTTTATTGATTGACTGAAGGAAATCCCTTTTGTTGCACTTTTCAAGATGTACTTTCAATACAGTCCAGTAGTCGTGTTTAGGGAGCTTCAGATAGTCATACATGTGTTGAGTGGATCAGTGTGGTGACTGCCCTGTGATTGGCCCAGGTACCGCAGCATCACCAAGCAGTTCTTCAGGAAGGCAGACGGGGTGGTGGTGATGTTCGACGTGACGGTGAAGGAGAGCTTCAAGGCCGTCAAACCCTGGCTCACCAACGTCCAGGTCTGACCTTTGACCTTTGAACCTTGACCCAGCACAGTTCAGTTTTTATTGAATTGAATATGCTATTCCTTACGCTTAATGTTAATAATATCCTACTTTAAAATGTGGACCTCACTGTCAAGTGTCAACATGTATGTATTCAATTGTTGAAATTGCACTTTTTAAGAAATGTCAGGTTGCTCATAATGTTTTTAAAACGATAGTTCATTCAATGTGAACATTTTCAATATAAACAAAGGGATGCATTTGTTGTCGTTATTATGCTATGATTTAATTGTCCAAATGTGGCTGTGTGGCCCCTGAGCTCAAATGAGTTTGATACCCCTGGTTTAAGTGTTGTTATCATTTGCAGGTTGTACTATTCATTATTCGTGCGTGTGTCTCTAGTAGTTCAACAATTGTACCATCCATACATGTAAGAAAGATTCTGAAGATGTCTCCTGTGCTAAATCAGTGCACTCCTCTTTTTTCAGGAGGCAGCAGAAGAAGGGATCCCCATCCTCCTTTTGGGCAACAAGATGGACATGGATGCAGAGAGGGAGGTGTCCTTCAAAGAAGCCGAGCAACTGGCCTTCGTGAGTTTATTTCCAAGCTTGTCGATCATTCTAGTTTACGTGCTCACTCAAAACCATTCTTCTGTTTTGATCCCCGCGTAGGAGAACAAGGTGATGTTCTCTGAGGTCAGCGCGTACACTTCTAAGAACGTGACAGAGTCCCTGACGCACCTGGCCAGGTAAGAGGCAGACTGTGAATCACTTATACACCAGAGGTGGAAGAAGTACTCAGATGCTTGAGTAAAAGTACCAATATGTGTGTATATAATTATACTTGACATTTCTAGATAATATTGCTGCAGCAAGTAGCATGTTACTGTTGGAGACAAACAAAGTTCTGATGACTTTGAGTAAAATATTGAAATAATGTATTTTTTGTGACCCAAAGAGTTAGTCCACTAGTTTAGTTTATAAAGATGTTTTTTGTTAGAAGTAGCTGAAGCTGTTTAATAAATGTAGTGGAGTAGAAGTATAATGTAGCATTACATGAAAACAATCAAGTACCTCATATTTTTACACAAGTACAGTACTTGAGTAAATGTACTTAGTTACTTCCCACCACTGCAAAAGTATTACCAGCAAGCATCATTTAAAGTATAACAAGTAAAAGTAATTATGGGACAGAAAAACTGCCTTTATGTGTATATAATTATATTTATATAAGTGACATTTCTAGATAATATTGTTACATCAAGTAGCATTTAACTGTTGAAGACAAACAAAGTTCTGATTGACTTTTAGTAAAATATTTAAATAATTTGACTCTTTTTGTGACTTAAAGAGAGTCCACTAGTATCCACCTCCACTATTATTTAGAGATGCATTTTGTTAAAAGTAGCTCAAGCTTTAAATTCATGTGATGGAGTAAAATTATATAATTTCCCTTTTTAAATGAAGTGGAGCTGAAGTATAAAGTAGCATTAAATGGAAACACTCTGAAACAACTGAAATGTTGACTTTAATGAAATGTATTACATCAACAGATTCCACATAACTGTATTAGGTTAGCAATACTATTAAGTTTAAATAAACAATATGTAGGTTCAACTTAATATTATTGCTTTCAACTAACCTAATACAGTTATGTGAAATCTGTTGACATAATACATTTAATTAAAGTCAACATTTCAGTTTTTTTGTTTACCTCAAAATTGCAGTTGAGTAAATGTACTTGGTTACTTCCCACTCTGCTCTACACACTCTGCTCATGATAAACAGACGGCGTGTGTGTGTGTGTGTGTGTGTGTGTGTGTGTGTGTGTGTGTGTGTGTGTGTGTGTGTGTGTGTGTGTGTGTGTGTGTGTGTGTGTGTGTGTGTGTGTGTGTGTGTGTGTGTGTGTGTGTGTGTGTGTGTGTGTGTGTGTGTGTGTGTGTGTGTGTGTGTGCCCTCAGAGTGCTGATGGAGCAGGAGGACAGGGTGAGAGACACCACAGTGGTTCTGAGTGCTCAGCCCGTGAAGAAGAAGGCCTGCTGCAAGTGAAGGGGACACTCAATCTGCCAAGTGCTACATCACTTTTTGCCGTGTTGTAAGACAGCAATGAAATCATTGTTGGACTTTATCGTAGAAGGTCTTCTAGCAAACCGTCTTTTTGGCGCAAACTTGAAGAACTGCTGTTTTAATTAGGCTCAGAGGAAGACTTAATTGATAATAAGGTGCTTCTATTTCCTGTAAATAATGCTGTGCTGCCTAATCACAGTAGTGCTGTCTATAAGATTTAAAATGGAAATATATTCTGTATAATAATCACTTTTAATCTTTACCCAATATGTTAATGTAGTTTTATTTAATGTTGACTCTCAAAATGAAGTAAATAATTTGTAATTCATTATAACTGTTTCAATGAAAATCACGTAAAAAGTCAGATTCTTTCACACTTTATTCATCGTCGTGTTTTTTTTGTTCGTTCGTCCGATCTAAACAAAGTGGAACATGTCATATTGCATCTTTGTTTTTGATCATTCTGTGTTGTTCTGTTTTATTCTGGCACCAAAGTACATTTTGCTCTGAACTATCCTTAATTAAAGAAATAAAGAAAATTACATTCGGCACCTTTTCCAAAATGAATGAAGCAAACATCTTTCACTTGCAAATCAACAATAACAGAATAAAACACAATTATTTACTGCTTCTATACAACTACACACGGCATAATAAATCAGTTACCCTCAAAACTTGTCAATAAGCTGCACTAACTATAGAAAGACTCAAATGTTGTTTTTAAATAATACCCAAAAAAAGGATCAAGTTCAGTTAGGATGTTACATTCAGTGTGCCCGAGCTTATCGCGTTGGTACAGCTGACGGCACTATTGCTGATAGAAACTGCTCTGATGACATCACTTGGGCGCTGGCAATACGGCATCCAATCAGATGCGTGTGTTCGCCCTGGCTGGCCAACTGGAATCGTTGTTGGAGAGCGTGTGCCGTCCCCCCCTCTCCGAGTCTTTGAGGAGGGGGGGGGGTGCTGAGGGTAGTCGGTTGGTCAACGCATTTTATAGTCGTGGGAAATGGCCGCCTCGCAGAGCTGCCCTTTGAAGTCCAGCTCCAGGGTGAACTCCAGGTCACGCTACAAACATAAAAAACATAAAAACATTTTGAGTTGATTAATGTAGAAATTAGTAGGTTAAATCCATAAAAGTGTACAAACATTTCCTAAGACAAAAAAATGCACTCACCTTTACTTAACAGTCTGTTTGGCAGCTTATAGAGTCCTATTGCCGCATGCTAACTTGCATATTTGGGCAATTAGCATAATTAGCATAAGTTGCGTTAATATTAATTAGCATTGTATCTTTTGTTTACAATTGTTTAAAAATGGCTTGGCAGATTTGGACAATTTGTGAGTGGTTATGGGGGTTATTGAGGAAGCTTAATCTATGTATGACATTTATAGGGTCAAAAATTGCCAGTTTTGTACTCCCGGTGGGTTGATTTTGATACATTTTGGGTCAATTTGGAGGGTTTAGGGGACTCATTTGAAAAAGAATTTTCCACAGTAGAGGAAATATTTTTCATCTTGTGCTCTCTATATCCAATGGTCGCAACACTACTCCTGGTAGTCAAAATCAGCCCACCGGGAGTACAAATTAATATGGCCACTTTCTGGTTAAAACTGCCATTTTGGATCCTGTACATTCCTGGTTTCAGCATCCCTAATAACCCTCAAAACCACTCCAAAATTGTCCAAATCTGCCATGCCATTTTTTAACTATTGTCTTCATGGGCTATCATTTAAATGAACACAATTTATGCTAATTGTGCAAATTGCCCAACATAATTATGCACATTAGCATCCGGCAATTTCTATGTGATGGGGACCCTTACTATACATTTCTAACATAAAACTTTGGGGTACTCCACATTTCTGTGTTCACAACTAGACTATTACTGTAGGTACTAGTTAGGTTACAAAGAATGAAGATGCCACACACATACAGTAAAAGATACTAGAGAAATGTGTATTTACGACTGTGAGATTTTCGTTTTCTTACCACATTCTTCTCATTGGGCCTGACAGCGATACTGCCAAAAATCTCCTCTCCCTTCTTGACAGTCAAGTAGTCCTCTAGGTAGAACACTGTCTGCTTCCAGTGTGTGGTGGCAGCATCTGGAGCTGAGGAGAGGACCGGAGGAGGAATATATGCATAGGAAAAAAGAGAGAAACAAGTAGAGCAGAATGGAGAGGCAGAGAGAAGAAGAAAGGGATATAAAGGGGAGCATAAGGACTTTGAAAAAACTGGTTCCATTGGGCACTCGGCTCCCTTGGGCAAGGCAGCTGAAAATGGCTCACCCGGTGGGAGAAATACAGAGGCTGACAGGAGAGAACTCCTTCAGTAACGCTCAGCCTCAGGCCCAACAGACTCGGCCAAACATAGAACCTCCTCTACACAATATTATGTAAGAACTGGATGCATACATGTATTAACATAAGCTTACATAACAGCTTAGCAACTCTATAATGGGTGTCCTTGGCGCCATGGCACCAGGAGCGCTGTGCGGTGCAAATGTAACACCTGCAGAGTGTGGCCAAGAGCTAAGATGCTGTGAAGTGCTATAAAATGCTTATATACTTCGAAGGACATTTGGAATATTGGCCGGATAATTCACTAGGGGAGGAGAAAACTGAATGTACTGGTGGCACTCTTAAATAATTCTGTGGACGTCAAGCTTAAACCATTGCTTAACTGGTGCGATGAAGAACATTTCTTTTTAAAATAGCTATAATGTTGTCTTTCCATGGGTTTTGGGATTTATGCCTTACCATTTTTAACAGTTTCCCTAGTACCATTTATTTGGTCGAAAGTAGTTCTGACCGAAGCATATTCTGTGAATTGTCAAGACATTTTCTGCAAAGATAATGCTGCCTGTCTTAACTGTCTCAAAGTCTTCTGATACCTAGGCATTTTGAAAAAAACATTATAACACAGCTTAGATGAATACTTGATGCTGATTGGTCAATTCGGACATTTCAGAGGTGGTTAATACTCGATAACACACAGCTGCTAAGCAAAACAATTACTGTAGCTAGGGATGATCAAGGGAGAGAAAAAGGGAGGTTAGAAAAACCTCCAGAAGAAGACAGACGGGTTCTGGCATTGTTTAGGACTATTTCTTGGAAGATGAACTCTAAAAACACTTGGACAGTGCTGCCAAAGGTAAGATCAGGGGCCTCATTTATAACGCCTTGCGTAGGATTGACGTAGGAAGGTTGCTTACGTAGTACAAAGCACAAAAATAGGTACATACATTTTCTGCCATTTTCCGATTCACAAAACATTGCGTACCGGCGAGGGAAGTGCGTACGGCACTTCCTACGCCTGTTTCCCTTTATAAATCACAATCGACTCGTAACGCCCATATTTGCCTATAAATAGTCAAAGAAACGCCCATTCATTCATTCATTTTAACTGACTGCATGAAGAAGATCGCAGGAAATGACGACAGAACAGCTAAAAAAGACATCTCACACCGTGTCAGATTTAGGTTATTTTGGGGAGGTCGAGATAAATCATATTGTTTGGTGGATGCAGTTTGAACCAGAGTAGCAGCATGGAGGTCGGATCGTCACCAAAATAAATAAATAAGTGGTCCGAAAAAAGTTAATGACAAAACAAATACACATAACCTTCCTCAGGCAGTGTGTTTGTCCCGGGGACAGGAGACACCCCCTTGATGAGAAACTGTAAGAAATGATCGGGGAATCCCTCCGGAGTGGAGTCATGACGACTGGATCTGAATTATTGTGTTGTATTTGGTGGTTTGTGTTCCAGCTGTCGATCAGCAACTATATATCCATAATCCACCAGTTAAAGGAAATACAACTAATGTGTTGTGTTATATTAGCTGTACAATTTACCACATAGGGTGTTCTTAGTTTCCATACCTCCTGTGTTTTACGAGCGACTTATCAAGTCTTGGCAAACGGCATAAAACACGATTAAACGTGATAGTATATAAAACCATGCTCGTATCTACAACCTATAGAAATGCAAAACGGCGTCAGTTTAGACGTTATTCTGTCCTCCTGCTTACCGCATCATTTATGAGAAAACATTTCATAACATTAACACAACATATTCGAGGTGGTTTTAAATAACATATCCGTATTTATTTATTTCTCCAAGTTATGTTTTTGTGTGCACTGAGGAGTCTCAAACAGGCGTTTGTTTAATCATTTTAAGATTGGCTTTAATCAATGTTTGAAAATGAATTCTTCATATTTGATAAATGAGAGGTAACATTTTATTTATGGTATTATTTCCACATATTTCTCTCCATTCTTCCTTCTGCCAACGGTGTCGCAGTTTCTCGTCCCTCCCGTTGTTGTGCTTAGTGCGTACGCATGGGTTAGAGTTTGCGTGGAGGACCGCACATTTTCCCGTCAAGTTAGTATTTTATAAATCGCAAACATTGCGTAGAAACTGGCGTACGCCATTTTTTGAGCGTATATCCCTTTATAAAGGAGGCCCCTGGCAACAGTTTATCTATAATATTATAATTGGACACATTCTCATTGATGTGTCTGCTTTCCCACTATCCAATGACTCTCTTTGTTCTCCTTTCCCTCTCCTCTGAACAGTGTGAACAGATATCACCTGTGGAGAAGCCGGTCTTCTTGTGACACTTGGTGAACTCGATGTTGAAATAGGTGACCAGGGCGTGGACGTAATCGTTGCGGTGGATCTGCAGACGGAAGGCTGAGGTGAAGGACAGGTCCTCGGGCTTCACGGTGTAGATGTCCACTTCCTGCAGGAAAAAGGCAAACAATCATTTATTATTGCTTATTTTGTCCGTATTTTACAATTCATGAAATGCTATATCGCAATAAAACAGCGCTCCACAGGTACGAGCACAGACACACCACCCACATGTAGTACATTTATATGTCAAAGCCTCATGATTATTCACCATTGTTTGTGTGTGAGTGTATGTGTGTGTGTGTGTGTGAAAGCCCACAGGTTGAATCACGGCTGGCAAACTGAGCCTGCTCACAGTACACATGCTGAGTGGGTGTCCTCCCTCGAGTGTGCAATGGAGGGTGTGTGTGTGTGTGTGTGTGTGTGTGTGTGTGGTGTGTGTGTGTGTGTGTGTGTGTGTGTGTGTGTGTGTGTGTGTGTGTGTGTGTGTGTGTGTGTGTGTGTGTGTGTGTGTGTGTGTGTGTGTGTGTGTGTGTGTGTGTGTGTGAGTGTGTGTGTGTGTGTGTGTGTGTGTGTGTGTGTGTCTATATCAAGCACTGCCTCATGAATATTGCCCCACAGTAAAGTATCACATGGTGTTACCCGGCAGGCTTCATTGTGGCCTCAAAAAAAGGATTGGAACTGGTTATGCATGTACATGATGTTGAATTAAAGGGGGGGGGGGGCTGGGTACACAGATCACTGGGCCATGTGGCGTCAGCATGACAGATTGTGATTTAACACCTCCGTCCTTTCCAGTGACACCAGGCCAGTAGCAGGAGAGAGAAGAAGTCTCCGGGAGAGATTCTGTAATTTTAGCGTGTGAGGAATGAGTGACAGTTTGAATTAAGAGGGGGTGAAGTGGCTGGCAGCGGGGAGGTGGGTTGGGGGGGGGTATATATTCATGTGAAAGAGTTACAGACAGTAGGAATTATATTAACTAACTAACCGCCCTCTAACCGGACATGTAAAGCACCCAGGTGGGGAAGGTACTCAGATCTTGTTTTTACGTCAAAGTACCAGGGTGTAGGAATACTCTGTTATAAGTAAAAGCACAAGAGTATATTGGCATCAACATATACTTAAAATACCCCCAAAAATGGTTATGCTGATTGGCCCGAGAATAATATATATGATATGTTTTGATTATACTTATTGATGCATTAGAGTCTTATTAAAGCCAGCGGTGTAATGTAACAAAGTCTATTTGTTCAAGTACTGTAAACATTTTTAGGTAACTTATTTTCACATTACGCTACTTTATACTATTACCCCAATACATTTATTTGACAGGTATAGTTACTAACTACTTTATTAATACAAAATATAAATCACCTAATACATTATTATATATTATTATAGGTTGAGTTATCCAGAAGTATATAAAGTCATTCAAATAAACCCCACCTTTGAGTAAGTGCAACATTACAGTGTTGAACATATTCATTCATAAATAATTTGAATACAATTATTAAAATATTTGGTGCTTAATCAGCCCAACCTGCAAAATGAGTACTTTTACTTTCGGTGCTTTAAGTTTATTCTGATATCTTTGATTTGCTAATACTTTTGTACTTTTACTTATGTACAATTTGAATGCAGGACTTCTTCTTCAACCTCTGATCAAAGCTGGTAAAGGTGCAGCTAGTTTGAATGACTTTGTATACTGCGTCTATATATTGTGAATTTACTCCAGGTGGAACTAAAGTCTGATTTAAGACTTGAATATATTTCACATCATTCATCCACATCTGTAAAGTAAAGGTATTAAATAAATGTAGTGGAGTAAAAGTACATCATTTACCTCTGAATTGTAGTGGAGTAGAAGTACACAGTAGCATAACATGGAAATACTCAAGTAAAGCACAAGTAACTCAAATGTGTACTTAAGTAGAGTACATGATTCAATGTACTGAATGACTTTACAGCGCTGAAAGCACCTTTGAACACAGAGGAGGGTTGGTGCTTTTATAAGAGATGGAGAATCCTCCAGGCTGCTCTATGTGACATCACATGGAGAGTAAGAGCTCTGACATTAGTTCAATCAGAGAATGTGACAGGAGATGGAGGGAAGGAAAGTGATTAGGAAGGAAATAGCGAGCACTAAGCGTACCAAATGATGTGAGAGAGGAATACAGATATGTGATATACTCAAAATGGAAATATAATGCAATATAAGGCAGAGAGAAAAAGGATAAGGAAATATATAGATATTACAACAGTTATGTGATATGAGAGTATATGGTCTTCGATTTTTGATGTCGTAAAGACTCTTTTCCTGGTTTTAAAGGATTCATTAACTGGATGACATTCTTCTGAACATACCAAACCATTCAAACGGCTCTATAATTTGCTTCTACCTATGTAGCCATTATCTCCACATTAGTGATGCCTATTACTTGAAAAATAGTTTTTATAACATATTTTGTGAAAGCACCAACGATCAACCCTACCATATCGTTGCTATATCGAGATAAATGGATTTTACCAGAAATATTTTGAAAGTTTATTTACTTCATATCGCCCAGCCATAGAGAGAAATAACAGCGAAAGATGGAAAGAAATAAGATGAAAGGTAAAAGGGACAAACAAACCAAAAAAAGGCAAATGTACTTTTTATTTGTGAGATGAAAAACAAGCAACTGTTGGAAAACAGATCTGCAGACTATTACAGCTCCCTGGAAACTTCTAGAAAACAGTCTCAGCAGACTGATCGGGATTGATCGCTTTCTCTGACTTCATTTAGGATCCATGTAGTTAGTGGCAGAACCAAAAACGATAAATACCTCAAACATGCAGGCTTTGCAAGGACTCGAACGATGAGGGGGACAAATGCTTGAGAAATATTCACACTCAGTCACCGTGCATTATATACACAGAGACATACAGTAGACTAACCTTCAGGAGGCAGGCGTTAGTCACCACCTGCTTGGAATCTACCATATCCACCAGAGGCTCTTTGATGGCCACGTTGCGAATGCAGCTCATGTCGAACCCGTACACGTTTTCCCACCCTGTGTGTACAAAACACAGTTACTTTGTGTAACTTTAAATCACTTGCAAAGCTATTTTGCCACTTCTTGACAAGCAGTCAGGGCAACAACAAGTAGGAGAACAAATTAAACAAAGCAGAAAGCAGTCCCAGTACTGTCTGTCTTTCTGTCCGGCCTCCCTGTGTGGAGGATGACAGGGCCTGAAAATAGACGTCCTCCGCCTCCTCCACCATGTCTGGCAGGCTGTTTTTTATTATAATTTGGGACTGAGAAGGCTTTCCCTCCCCCAGTCCCTCTGTCCCTCCACTCCACCTTGCCTTGTCACAGGGCCAGTGCTAAATCTGAACAATGAGAAGGTGGAAAATGCCACCGACGCACAGAGAGACTAAAAATAAGAGCGCAAGAGTTTGGGTAGACTGAATTCTTTTGGGATTTATGTGAAAGCATGAACCTTTTGTGTGTGTGTGTAGAAGAAAGGATGCCACCTGTGCAGTCAAAGGAAACTCAGCAGGAGTTTTTATTCCATGCCTAAGTACATGGCACCTTTAATATCCACTCCTGCTGTGAGAGATATTAGAACACATGGAGTGAGTTCAGAGCAGAGGTTGTACTGTACTCAAGACACCTGATGGGGTAAATACTGCCAGTACTGCTTCTAAATACGGCAAATCTGTCACCGGGCTTGTCATTTTGAAACTACTAGCTTTATTAATGGTTAATAAATTGTTTGTATTGCAGTTGTATATATAATTTGCTTTGCAAGATTGTGCAAAAATGATTGTATATCCTAGCATAACTTGCTTTGTGTCTTCAGCTTACTTAAGTCAACTTAGCCAGAAATGTTGACCTCATATTTAAAAGTGCTGAAGACCAAAATCCAATTATCAATAATTTTATAAACAGTTCAAACCCAAACCTGATCATTATAAGGTGAGCATTGTTATCATTAATACCTGGCTGAGCATATTGATCAACCTATGAGCTTTTTGCAGTGAGTTATTAATTCCTCACAGTCTGCAGCCCAGCTCTTTTAGATACAGCTTTAAGTGCCTTATGAGAAAATGGATATCTAACTTGAGTTTTGTTTTGATTTCACTCGCACAGCGGTCATTAATAATGCACTGCAGCGCTGAGCGTGAGACGGAGAGGGAAACAACTTGAGAGCATATCTTCCATAATTACTCACAATGAATCTTGAAGTCCTTGTACTGCCGGTCTTCGATGGCCACCACGTAGAGAGTCGCCCTGTCGGGAAACATCAGACCTCCGGGTTTCTGAACGAGAGAAAACTCAAGGTATTAACACACACACACACACACACACCACACACACACACACACCACACACACACACACACACACACACACACACACACACACACACACACACACCACACACCACACACACACACACACACACACACACACACACACACACACACACACACACACACTACACACACACACACACACAGAAAGGCCATTAATCGCCTTTATGGTTCACACACCTGGCATGTACTGTAAGATCTTGTGTCGAGTTTGAAGCCTGAGGTCAGAACCACATCAGTCATGTGCGACCTCAACATCTGGGCAGTAAATCCTCTACTTCATCTCTGCTGTGTTTATGAGTCAAAGGCCTTTCATATCTCCAGCCAGCTACACACACTAAACTCAGTGGACATTTTTAAACGACATTTTTGTATTGTTTTATTTTCTTTATAGCTTTTTACTTTTTTAATTTAATTTTACAATTTTCTGAGCGACCTTTATTATTCTTAGTATTTATTTTGTTTTTATTATTGTTACTTTATTTTTGTTTTATTTGTTATTTTATAGGTTTTTATATTTTATCGTATTTTTTGGGTTTGTCTTCATTTATTTTACCACATTTATTTGTTTACTGTGTTTTTTTAATGTATTATCATACCTTTTGCCTCCTGTGTCTGTTAAACTCTTAAACTGTTATATCATATTGCTATGGCGCATATGTGCCAAAAGGTTTTAACGTCTAGCCTGATGTGAAATTCTTGTTCTGTTTCATTTGTGATGTGTGCCATGTTCTTAAAGCACCTTGAGATGCACCTGCTATATGAAAAGTGCTATACAAATAAAGCTTTATTATTCTTAAACCCAGCAGCATCATACCAGCCACTTGTCCCTGGCGAAGATGACGGTGTTGAGCATGGACTCGTAGAAGAGGCAGTAGCCCATCCACTCGGAGATGATGATGTCCACCTTCTCCACGGGCAGCTCCACCTCCTCCACCTTTCCCTTGAAGATGGTGATGACTGCCGAGTGGAGAGACACAGAAACAGCAGGCAACAAACAAATGACTTCAGCGCATCTCTATAACATTAATGCAAAGAGATCGATTTTTAAAAGGAAAACATGGCCGGTGGTCCTGCCTGACTCTCATCATACTACTTCCCTGATGGCTCCCGCAGGATTGTTGGCATCCTCGTGGATTCATCTTCTTATTATAGACACATGCATTTCCAAACATTTGGTCTACCTACGCTGTAAAACGTATTATCTCTTCGATTTACACACAACATCTATTGCACGTCTGTCTGTCCTGGGAGAGGGATCCCTCCTCTGATGCTCTCCCTGAGGTTTCTCCCATGTTCCCCTTTAAACTGTGGGGTTTCTTTGGAAGTGTTTCCTTGTACGATGTGAGGGTCTAAGGACAGAGGGTCCTGTTGTGAACCCGGAAATGTGGAGTCCCCCCAAGTTTTATGTTAGATATGTATTGTAGGGGTCCCCAGCACATAGAAACTGCCGGATGCTAACTTGCATATGTTGGGCAATTTGCACAATTAGCATGAGTTGCATTAATTAGCATATTCAGACGAAAGCTAAAGAATGGCTTGGCAGATTCGGACAATTACAGAGTGGTTTTCTAGGTTATTGAGGATTTCGAATCAGTTTTTGACATTTCCAGGATAAGAAATGGCAGTTTAAGCCAGAGGTGGCCATATTTGTAGTCCTGTTGGGCTGATTACGATGGATTTTTTTGTTGATTTTAAAGTTTTAGGGGACTCAAAATGGCAGAAATGAATTCAACATCCTCAATACGTCTCCAATACCACACCAACATTTTCCAAATCGGCCAAGCTATTTTTTTTTTAGCTATTGTCAGCCATATTCTAATTGACGCAACTTAGGCCAACTGTGAAAATTGCCCAACAACCTGTCCTATAGATTTCTATCATAAAACGTTTGCGTTTTCAACATGTCCAGGTTCACACTGCTGGCAAGTAAACTAATTATATAGTTAATACTGACGATGAGCTTTTAATTCTTTAGAACAGGAAAGATGAAACAAAAAGAAAAGCCTGATGAAATGAAGCCCACTAGATTGGGTTGCCACTCTGTGAAGTTGAGTGTGGTCTTTTACAATGGTAATCAGCACCAGTAAGGGACTTCTGATTGATGTCAGGGATTATAGGTATTTGACATCAGAGGCCAGTTAACCATCAGAACTGAGTCCAAAAGTGTCGAGGGTGGCGGTCACGATGGAAATATGCAGATTTTTCACAGCGCTTCTGATCCAGAATTCATCATACTGCTCTGCATTTAGACAAATGGATATAGGAAACATAATAGCAAGGGAAAACCTCTTGGACTTACCATTGTGTAGGTGATTGGACTTTATGATCTTCTCTGAATATTCTGATATGCTTGAGCATTCAATCTGTAGGCACAAGGACACAAGAAAGTGTTGAATGTTCGTTGCAATATCTACATTTTCTAGTAAAAGAAATAACACATTTATGTTAATAATTCATGAGAAATATGTTAGCTGGGAAAAAGATTATTTCGTGGTCAAGGGTGTAAACTACCATATTTCTGCCCCATTCCCTATATACTGTGGGGTAACCTTTGGGGTGATATCAGAAGGGCAAATGTAATCAAACCATGCCGATCCGTCCTCACACTAATGTCCCTGATCGCTCATCTCAGACCCTGTGCAGCATGAAAACGAATACATCATTCTTCTCTCCCATCCATAAGTGTCAGAGACTCTGCCGGCAATGTGTAACCTGTGATTTACAGCCAGATGTCTCTCCTTGCCTCTGTGCCTAAGATTGTTTGAAACAGATTCACAGTCTCTCAGAGGAACACTAGAAACTGGCCCTTAGAAATAAATGTCTTACTGTTTCATATGCAAAAAAGAAAGGATACGGATGAGAGATACTGTGTCGGCTATTCTTTTTGACACTAAAAGGGTTAAAGCCTGAGTAGTACGGTTGGAGGATTCTAAATGAAGAATATAAACTGTGGAGTATTTGTCTGTGGTCAAACTGTGTATCTGTCTCACCCCGTAGACGTGTTTGGCGCCGGCGTTAGCGGCAAACATACAGAGGATCCCCGTTCCGCTACCCACATCCAGGACGATTTTATCTTTGAACACATGCTTGTTGTGGTACATGGCATTCCTGTAGGTCAGCGTCCGCACCTCGTCCTTCAGCATCTCCTGTTTAGATTAGAGGTCAAATGAAGAGCCATGATACTCAAGGACATGCAGTCTTTAAAGGTCTCCTATTAAGCTATTTTTAGGCATATATTATGGGTCTCAGATATATAAAAATATATAAGAAACATGTCTATGAAGTGTTCTGCTCAAAATACCAAACAGATCTCCCATCCTAGCCATGCCTCATACCCCTCTATTTCAGCACTGTTAGAAAAGTGCTGATTCTGGGTCCTTAGCTTTAAAAAAAAAGAAAAAGGGGGAGGAGCTTATGCTGAGTATCTGATCAGGAGAATTCAGATACAGCTAAATGCTGCCGTGATTAAACGCCATATCATGTTCCAAACCACATCAAGGATTATTTCTGAAACAGTATGGAGCTCAAATGCTTTTTCTCTCACAGGTTTACCACAAGGTGAGTACCTATTCCCTGCTTTTTTACAAATACTCTCTCCAGTACAGGTTAGCTCTGAGTGTTAGCGATGCTTGCTAATGTAAACAAAGACCATAACACTTCCAAAACGTTGTGCATTGTTTCTGATAGCAACGTTTCTGATAGGCCCGTGGGCGTAAAGCCAGCCCACATTTCAGATATCACGTTATATCGGACGCAAATCTGGATCAGCTCCGTTGTATCCCCGTTTTTAGAGATGTGGGTACGGAGGAAAAGAGAGAGGGTTTTGTGTTCTGACACTTTGTGAGTTCCCTGACGCACCGGGGACACATATTGATGTGTAAAAGACATACAAAAGTGCATTTTCCATGATAGGAGACCTTTAATAACAAGCAAAGCACTATCCTTCTATATTGAACTGGTATAGACTACCTAAAGAATAGTGTGACTCATAAATGCTCAAAGGAATACAAAGAACATAATGGGCTAGAGTGTAATGCATATTCTCCTCATGTGAATAGCTGTTTTTTACATGTATAAAGAGATAGATTAGGCAGTATTTAGGCCAAGAGCCTGTGTGACAGTGGCAGTGGTTCTTGAAATAGACAGGAGTACAACACAAAGCCTTTGGGGACGGCTGATATCCATATCCCTGAACCCATTCACACATCCCACTTTCCGGGCTCTGCACTGCTCTAATCAGGACATTCTCTTTGTGTGCAAGACGACAAAAAGCTGACCCACATGCTACGTTTAAACAGGTTTATACGTCCCCAAACTTTTCCACCACCACTCCTTTCGCAAATCAAGGTCGTTGTCTTCGGTATAGCTTTCCAAATATACAGCGATTCACTGGCTGTAAGTCGGACACAGCTTGTTTTCATTTCTGGAATACTTCACATGGACTATTATCTTGCTTCTGGTTTATTTAATGTGAGTTGGTGGTGGAAAAGCCTTGTCTTTTGTCAGCTAAGACACACTCTCCTCACAAAATTGTAGGTGGACAGCTCCGTTTGAGGTTCATGTTCGAGTTTTTGTCTTATTTAGGGGAATCATTAAGTTACATATGTGTATTTTCTACTGGATGTGCTCTAAGCTGCTTCATATGTTGACTTCTGAGATATGTCATATTCACAAAAGTGTTTGGTTTAAGTAATACTACTGCCTATCTGTCAATTGGATTAAACAGCCGTGGTGTTTGACATATCCTGCCGACAGAAAGCCAGACTAACAGGGTTGAAATTCCTTGGCGAGTTCAGGTTAGACATCTGGTGTCAGCATTTTCCCCTGCTCATACATACCAAGCTGCCGTCTGTCAGCCTACCTCATGGATGCCAAAGTGGGCATAGGAGTCGAAGTAGTAGTCCCGTGATGTCATTTCCTCCGGGCTCAGGAACTTGGCAATCTTGCCTCGACCAGGACAAGTAGCCAGGGCTGCTACATGAGGCGCGGGGGGGCCGCAGGGCACATGGTGGGCAGTAGGCACTGGTTTAGGCAGTGGGGAGGGCTGGGCAGATTGAGAGTGAGGGGACGCGACCGGCTGTTGCCTCTGTTAAGGAAGAGAAAGGAAAGAAAATAGTTTGTATCAGGATTTAGAAACTACAGTATGGGCTAATATGGGTTAATACATTACAAGTAAAAGGGGATTCTTATAATAAGCAGTCTTGGATTCACATTCAAATAGGAGACTCTAATAGGACCGGTAAAAGATGCAGGCAGGCACGTGCTCAGATAGACATTGGGTAGCACCTGCCCTTTGCCCTGCTATTTGAGAAGTGCCCTTTTTCAAATGTCATTTATAATGTTTGTGCAGGTTACCCAGTTCACAAAGGGTTGGAGTTCCTAAACCTGTTAGCATTAAAGGTTGGATAACTTTATTTCACTTAAGAGAGTATAAAATCGTTGCATAGAGGGTTTAATTGCAGTGTTATATTTGGCTGAAGCAACTGACCTATTTTAACTCTGATCAAAATGTGTTTTGTTATGTATTTAATATCAGGTGTAGTGAATCAGATTTAAAATGAAAAGACATACAGTACAATTGTGCCAAGTTACACTGTATGTATTGTGTTTGCTTGCCTTTTATGTAAAAATGATCTGAAATCAATTAAATTATTTCATTTATCTGGATTGATTTTGAAACGACTGTCATGCAGCAGTGTGTAACCTTAATCGTGGATTTGTTTGAAATAGCTACATTTTAATATTACTTTAACATTGTCGCAAACATTGTAATTCCAGCCATATTTTTTATTAAATTAGTTATAAAAATCGCCGGTGTGTCCTTTAATGCATTTGAGCCCCTTCCTCTCTAACATCCGCTGCACGTGCCTGGATGCATGGTACCGTTTCAGCACCAAGGACAGTTACTGCATCCAAAACCGGTCATGTATCCCCCCTGCAAAGCCTCTGCGTGCATTATCACTACTATTGCAATCAGAGTGGTCTACTTAAACCTCCCCGCCCCAACATCTGCAGGACCATGCACTTTGCTTTGCACGCACGCGATGGTGCAACATTGATTCTAAGCGTGGATACGACAATGATAGGCTAGGAAAAACACAAGATGCATAGATAACATATCAAATATATCGCTCCCTACTAAAACAAGTATAGTGAGTGTCCCGGTCCCGCTATAGCCGGGAGCAGGACAGCACGAGCTCCCTACCTCCGAGCTGTCCGCCTCCGCCATCTTCCGCCGCAGCAGCAAACACCGCGACGAGTGCCTCAGTCCCATGAGAGCCGACGAGATTTCAGGCTGCAACTCTTTAAATGTACGGAGAATGTAACAATCTTAATAGAAACGTGTCAAAAATAACACTAAACAGCCAGATGTGTGTATGCAACACGCGTAAAGATGAAAGTCATAATAAGAAAGGTATCAGTTTCCACCGAATTAAATCCATTCCTCGAGAAAAGTTGGTTAATTGATTTGTGAAACGTACCGTAATCCATACTGTAAATGTGATACAGGCTGTTTTAGTGGCAGAGTCATGTATTGGGCTAAAAGGTTGCGGGTTCCATTCCAGCAGGTGTCCATCAACATCCAGGCGCCCCGTTTAGGTGTCCATGTGCAAGCAATGAGCACCAAAAAGAGAGCGCGTCTTCTCCTCTACTTCTCTCGGAATCCCTTCACATCTCTCATCTTTGTGACAGGCACACAGACATTCTTATCTTCGTGTGGAAAGTCCTGGCTGCGCGTAATCCCGAGGGCTTTCCCGGAGAGAAAGTTAAAATGGGTTCAAACTGTGCGCGTGTGCACTGCCGGCCGGGACACACATCACACACACGAGCCCCTCGACTGACAGGAAAGTAATCGTGACAAAAATATATAACAGTAACAAACCAAGAAAAGGTGGGTAAATCTCTGCTTCCCAACCACAGATGCGCCCTCATAGCAGACTCCCCCCCCAGAAACCAGCTCTCCGGCAACCAATGAGCTTCAGCCGCTCCTTACATAACAGAGGTGTTCTACGTGTTGGGAGATCATACCGTTGTTGACTACGTGCAGTGGTGTAAAGTAACTAAATTCATTAACTCAAGTACACTTCCAAGATACTTGTACTTTACTTTCGATGCTACTTCATACTTATAATGTATGCATCTCAGAGATGATTATATTGTACTTTTTACTCCACTACATTTATTTAACACTCATTTATATAAAAAACACATGATTTGCTGATTTAGTAGGTATAATACTGTACTACTAATGTACACATTATCTAAATTTGGTCCAAGTTGACAAACAACAACACTAAAATACTCTTAAATGTATACAATCAAGATAGAATAGTAACTAGTGCCCTCAAGAATTATTGGCACCCCTTTAGAAAAATGAGCAAAACAAGATGCAAAAAATGTCTTTCCTCATGATATTTCATTCAAAGATATTAACAAAAATCGAACCTTTAATTGAGGCAACATAATTGAAAGAACCATTAAATTCTTATCATGAAACTACAATTATTGGCACCCCTTCATTTAATATTTTGTGCAGCCTCCTTTTGCCAGGATTCAGGCCCGGTTCCAGAACAAAATGACTCAGGGTGCATCTGAGATTAGAGAGGGTGCAGTGGTAAAGTGATATATTTTTTTTTGTGAGGAGTGGACCTAACACCCTCTAGGCGGGTCCTCACCTCCTCTAGGGGGTTCCTCACCTCCTCTAGGGGGGTCCGGAGGCATGCTCCCCCGGGAAGATTTTTTTTAAACCATCAAGTTAAAACCATCAATCTGGTGCACTTTGAGAGCAAAATGAAGAGATCTATGGATACATCTCAACATCCATATGAAACAGAACTGTAAACAGATGTACTTTTTCTTTATGGATATTTGACAAATCACTCCCCTTTTAAGACCGAAATGTCTACATGCATAGCAGAAGATGGCATCTTTTTTACATGAATATTCCAGCCAATCTCTATTTTGAAACCATGAGCTGCAAAATGAGCGCCTTACCCCACTGTACAGGCGAGTTGGGTACTTTTTTTAATATACGTGGGCAGGCTCTGTTTTGCCGAGGTCCTCTGGCACTTGCGGGCCGCTGAAGGGGTGGCGGTGTTTGGGGCAACGAAGACGGCTGCGGCTGCTCCGCCTCCGTGGGCGAGTCGGGCGGGAGGACGTTAGTGTCCACGACAGTGGCCGCGGGTAATGTAATGTCCCCATGATCTGAACTGTTATTACAGTACCTGCAGTAGATGCAGTGTTACTGCTGGCGATAAGGGCTGGTTGTTTTACCAATTTTCTGATGTCCATCATTGAGTGCTGTGTAAGCACCTTGCAGATGACGAACGTGCAGCGGCACAGGTCACGCGCACCTGACATAATAACGTTACTTACCGTTTAAATTGACCAAATAAATGCAGCAGACAATGTTATTTAACCACAATTAAAAAAAAATTATTTCAACTATATTCTTCTTCTTCTTATTATTATTACTACTATTATTATTATTATTGTTATTGTTATTATATATGTAATATTTTTCACTTTTCATTTTTCAAATGAGGGTGCATAACGACTCAACTGAGGGTGCAATGCACCCTTATGCACCCCCGTAGAATCGGGCCTGCCAGGATTACAGCTCGTTCTCCTGTAATGCCTGATGAGGTGATCACATGGCACGGGATCTGAGACCATTCTTCCATACAGAATCTTTATTCTGTGGTCAGTAAACCATTTTTTTGTAGATTTTGAGGTGTGCTTCGGATCATTGTCCTGCTGGAAGGTCCAACCACGGCCCAATTTAAGCTTCCGGGCAGAGGCCATTTCTCTAATTCCCCTCCTCGACTCCCCTCCTCGACTCCTATCCTCGTGTCCTAGTCCCGCCCACAGGAGATGCGAGCGGAGGAGTCGAGGAGGAGAACCGAGGAGAGAGGAGGGGAAGCAGCAGGCGGTTAGAGAAATGAGAACTCCTCTCCTCTGAGCGGTCATTTTAAAGAGACGTCCATTAATGATAACAGGAGGCACAGCAGCACTCTGTCTGATGGACAGATGTGTTCATGACGACTTATGTACTTTTAATTAATTGACAGTGCGGTATAATGAGACAATAACAGGCTACAGATGCGGACATATACACACACATATTTATATAAAGATATACAATTTCAGAATCAAACAAGTATGAGAGCACTCTCATAATAACGTAGCCTAACACTATAGTACAGCGGATAAGCTCTCATATTATAACAATTGTGCATTTTATGAGAAAAGCATAACATTTCTAACATAGTTAGAGCATACCATAAGGTTTATTTTCAGATGTGGAGGGAAGTCAGATTTGACCCGTGAGGACCGTGAGAGGTCAAATCCAAGATGGCCACCAGTCTCTCGGGTCAAATGTTCAAACACGCTTAATTTTGGAACCAAACATTGTAGAAAAACATTTAAGGTGTCATATCCAACTAAATTAGGGATGCCCAATCATTTGGTGATACTTTTGAGATCGCCAGAATTCAAGAAAATGAATTTAGTTGAAGATAAAGGTAGAAATTGACCAAAATAAGGTGTGTGTGTGTGTGTGTGTGTGTGTGTGTGTGTGTGTGTGTGTGTGTGTGTGTGTGTGTGTGTGTGTGTGTGTGTGTGTGTGTGTGTGTGTGTGTGTGTGTGTGTGTGTGTGTGTAAATTAGGGATGCCCAATCATTTGATGATACTTTTGAGATCGCCAGAATTCAAGAAAATGCACTTAGGTGAAGATAAAGGTAGAAATTGACCAAAAATTAGCTGTCAATCAGTTGAAATTTGCAAAATGTGTGTGTGTGGTATATTCCAGTGGATTTATGGTCACCCAGCGCTAGCATTACTACAGAGACTGGAGGAATATGGCTTTACTTGGCACAGTCTGCATGCTGATGAAAACATTTGTTTTTCTCTTCAAATACATACTTACATGATTGTGACGAGCATCATATTTGTTCCCCGCCCAACTCTCTAAGTCTAAGTGCTTGAACTCCGTGACAGGAGGATGAAGTATGTATAAATGGATGGAACTATCAACAAAACAGCGTTTTATTCCCCAATGTCATATTTAATAGAAAAATAATAATAATAATGTAAACCAAAGAGGGAGATGGAAAACAGTTCCATGTAGAGCACAAACAGCTCTCTTAACCCTCGCTGTTAACAAAGGGCTGCACTCAACTATAAGGTTCACCGCTGTCCCTTTCCACTTATAGAGGGTTGGGGTTCGATTCCCTGCCTGTCCACCTATAAAGCCAAGGTAGCGCAGCTTTTTTTCTGTTCTTTAGTGGCTCACATGGACATTTAGAGGTCATGCAAAGAAAGGGTTATGTATGTTGTGTGTGTGGCAGAGAGAACATTGGCAAAGGGGATTTGTTTGTCCTAGCATGGCTGTACAATTACAAATACAAAGGTTTACCCATTTAGACTCCATGGCATGGAGAAAAAAACTCATTTTAAATGACTCTAAGGATATAACAAGTTTTAGAAAATTGAAAGATTGATGGATTTTTGCCCACATGCGGTAAACATCTTAATTGAATTTTCTATGTGCAACATGAGGACAATAACCACAAGTGTACTCACAGTACCTTTTTTCTCTGGCACTGAAGTTGCAAGGTTTCAGCATGTTGTCTCTCTCTAAACCTTTCTGTTCCCCATTCTTCTTTCTCCAATAAGTGGTGCATCATTATTTTTCTATTAAATATGACATTGGGGAATAAAACGCTGTTGTTTTGTTGATAGTTCCATCCATTTATACATACTTCATCCTCCTGTCACGGAGTTCAAGCACTTAGAGAGTTGGGCGGGGAGCAAATATTATGCTCGTCACAATCATGTAAGTATGTATTTGAAGACAAAAACAAATGTTTGCTTCAGCATGCATACTGTGCCAAGTAAAGCCATATTCCTCCAGTCTCTGTATTAATGCTAGCGCTGGGTGACCACACACACACACACACACACACACACACACACACACACACACACACACACCAAATTTCAACTGATTGACAGCTTATTTTTGGTCAATTTCTACCTTTATCTTCACCTAAATGCATTTTCTTGAATTCTGGCGATCTCAAAAGTATCATCAAATGATTGGGCATCCCTAATTTAGTTGAATATGACACCTTAAATGTTTTTCTACAATGTTTGGTTCCAAAATTAAACGTGTTTGAACATTTGACCCGAGAGACTGGCGGCCATCTTGGATTTGACCTCTCACGGTCCTCACAGGTCAAATCTGACTTCCCTCCACATCTGAAAATAAACCTTATGGTATGCACTAACTATGTTAGAAATGTCATGCTTTTCTCATAAAATGCACAATTGTTGTGCTTATCCGCTGTACTACTATCAGAGACTGGATATATCCCCGTGGACTGGCGCGGAGGACCCATCAGTGTATCCTCGGTTATAGCTCCTCCAGAGAGCCTCCTCGATGCTCGATCCTCGGTCCTCGAAGTGCATTTAGAAATGAGATGTCCTTCAACATGGCGCGCTGAAATCCATTTCCGGGTCACTACCGGAGGACCGAGGATTCGAGGGTTTGAGGAGGGGAAATTAGTGAAATGAGAAAGGGCCCATGTATCCTAACAAGATGTCCAGGGCCTTTGGAAGAAAAACAGCCCTACAACATCAAAGATCCACCACCATACTTCACAGTGGGGTCTACACCAAACCCACCTTTGACGTTTGTTGCCAAAAACCTCTATTTTGGTCTTATCTGACCATATAACCCTGTCCCATTCAAAGTCCCAGTAACGTTTGGCAAACTGTAGGCGCTTTAGTTTGTTTTTAATTGACAGCAATGGCTTTTTTCTGGCAACCCTCCCAAACCACTTGTGGTGAGTATACTGTACTGTAGGTGGCGTCTGATGGTAGTTTTGGAGACTTTCTGACCCCAAGACTCAACTAACCTCTGCAATTCTCCAGCTGTGATCCTGTGCGATTCTTTTGCCAGTCGAACCATCCTCCTCACTGTGTGTGGTGTCAATGTACACACACGTCCTCTTCCAGGCTGATTCTAAACATCTCCTGTTGCTTTAAACTTCTTCATTATTGCCCTGATAGTGGGAATGGGCATTTTCAACTGTCTCAAGATTTTCTTATATCCATTTCCTAATTTGAAAACAACTTTTCGTCGCAGATCATCACTGTGTTCTCGGGTCTTTCCCATAGTGATGAATGACAAAGGGAATTTTGGCCTGTGTCATGGTTGACCAATTAAGAGTTCTTAGTCAAACAGGTGAACCTAAAAATGCAAGATATGACTGGAAATATACTTCAGTTAGATTTTAATCATAGGATGTTCAAGGGGTGCCAATAATTGTGGCACACATGTTTTGGAGAAAAATATTTATTTAAAGTCAACTTTCTTTTTTCTTTCAATAAAAAGCAAAACACAATACCTCAATCTTTTCAAGCCTCAATTATCCTTCTTAGGGTCACCAACACCATCACCTCATTTTCATGTAAATTATTTATTTAAAAAACAACTGATATTTTGATGGACCCAAGCCAGTGGAAGTATCACTCTGTACTTTTATTAAGACTGCCACTTAGTCACTTTAGGTTGCAATTTCCCTCTTTATGTGTGTATGAATTGTACATTGTACTGTTTATAGTGAGTGTTGTTTTATCTTATTTGCCAGTGCCAAAGACACATTTCCATTATATGTAAATGTTATGGACACTGAAGTATTCTGAATCTGATTGTGCTGTGGCTCAACGTACAAAAAGCTTGCACTTTGAATCCAAAGACAGCATCACGATTGGTCATTTCAACAGCTTTTCCAGGAGTCTTCCAAAATGTGCTGCCCCTGTTTTTTCATGCTATATAGAGTGGTGCAGCGACGCGTCCTAAAACCCGGAAGTAAGCTGCTTCCGGTTCCCTCGACAAATAAGCAATGCAATTTCTCCATAGGATTTTGGAAAATAGCAAATGAAAATGTGAGAAATGCAATGAAAAGAAGACATACGTGTATTATCGGGACCGTGCCTTTGAGGTGGTGGCCCCAAGGCTTTGGAACAAACTCCCCCAGACACTAAGAGCCTCTGCCTCAGTAGAGATTTTTAAGGGGCAGTTAAAGACCCACCTCTTCCGTCAGGCCTTTGGGGCATCGGAGGAGGTGAGTTAGTAGCTGTCTTTTATTGGTGTTTTATCGTATGTTTTATCCTATGTATTACCTGCTGTTGTTGTATGCCTTTTTATGCCTTTTATTCTACATTTTAGTTATACTGTGAATTGTGTACTGTACTGTAAAGCACTTTGTACATTCGTGTTGAGAAGGGTGCTATATAAATAAAGCTTTACTTACTTACTTACTTACTTATCCATTTTGAGTTCTCACTACATAATGTTGTATTCATATCCACACTACATGCTGCCTTCCTCCTGAGAATTCGGTATAATATATCCTACTTCTAGATGTTTGATTTCCATTTTCACGCTGTCTACACCTCCATTTCATTTTTGACTCATTTCGTGCTGTGTCAAAAGCTGGAACCTTCTCTGAAAAATATAACAAGACATTTGTCACTCAGAAAAAGGGGCTTGAATCACAAATACAATGCACCAGGTTTTAGTCATGGATGAGCTCCATCCGTGGTGCTTAAGAACATCGGCCCACGCAACACACACACACCTCACTGGGACTGATTTATATTATTATTATCATTATTATAGTTATTATTATTCATAGTATTATTATTGTTATTTTATTATTACTATAGTATTATAATAGTAAATTATAATTTTTATAATATTATTTGTATTATTATTATTCATAGCATTATTATACTTATAATTATTATTATATTATCATTATTAGATGTCTTTATTGAACAAGGACCATGCATAAAAATACATCAATATCAAAAAGAGAAGAGATGCTATGTGCCAGATAGTTTCCATCTGCAGTCTAACAAACATTAAAACATCTCCTAGTAACTATCACCCTAACAATTATAACTGAATAAAATACAGATGTATAAAATATAAAAATGTTGTCAATATAAATAAAATTGTTACAATTTATTTAAACTAACATCTCATATTACAGAATGTTGGCAAGACTGGTTACCTGGAATGCGTTTTATGCACTAAGGGAAAAAGTGTGAAAATCTAAGCAGGTTTTAAGATCAGCTGGAAGCATATACAATGTGTGATGGCCTTAAAAGAGAGAGCAGATATAGTTGAATTACTTTAATGTCCCACGTTCAAACATCTGTCTCTCTTTTGTGTTCAGGCGCTGAAATAGAGACGGTCCAATTAGAGCTTGTAAATTCATCCTTTTTCTCTATAGGAGAACATCAATGAGCAAGAGTTGTTCAAATGCTTTACAACGATCACTTTAATATTAAAAATACTACAGAATTAGTTTACATGTACAGTGCATTCAGCAATATTTGTCAAATACACAAAAGAATCTCAAGAAAACAACATTAAGAATATATACAGACTTCTTTCCAGTAACGTCCCTTTTAGTGATTCTCCTTATGATGAATCATAGCCAGGGAAGTAGTTGTATTTATAATGTCTTGATTCAAGTGGCCAAAAATAACATGTCATTTTGCAGGAATGTTACATTTGACTGCATTTAACTTGTTTTATCAGTGAAATATCTTAACAAAGTAAAATGACATTGATAACCTAAACCCTTGTGATAGAACAGGATCTGACAACATTATGTAACATTAGTATCATTAGTTTACATCTACACACATACAGTAAAGAGAGGGAGGAAATGCTAATGATGAAGCAGTGTCTTACTTCTTTCACATATCCATCATGGATTGAATGTAATTTAGATAATAAAGAGGTGTTAACTGATTTGAGACCAGTGTTTTCTGTGGTCTTTAAACAAGTAATGAACTCAGTCTGTTTGCAGTACAGGGGTAATGATGAGAGAAGCAGAGTTTGTTCCATTGTTATTTTCGTAAAGGCAGAAGTATGAATACATTTTCTCTGTAAAGTGCAAGCCGGTATAAGAATGTATTTGTGATTTAGAGTTCACGTCGTAGAAAGAAACCACTCCCTGATCATAGTCCATTTCCGGGAACAGAGATGTTTCAAAGAGTCGTGACGCACGGCCGGACTTATCTCAGCCAATGACAGCTCTGCATGCATCCCCTGGATATTATTTTATTAACTGCTTTCATCGTGACGCGATGTTTACAGTGAGAACAGCTGTGAGGTCCGTGCAGAAAGCAGAGCAGTGTGTAAAATATATATCACTCAGTATAACAGGCCTACTCTCTTTATTTGCTTTAGTTTAGTAGATATCTACAAACAAAGAGTTGATATTTTTCTAAAACCATTTAGTGCTTCACATAATAAAATACACAACAGCTGTAGCCTGATGATATGCTTTAGGAGCTGTAGGTGCGTGTGTGTGGTGTAGGTGTGTTGTACAGTGTGTGCGTAGATGCAGCGGACAGACAGGTCTCAGTTGGTTTGGTGTCCTCTGCTTACTTTTAATACTTGTAAATAAAACTTTTGGCCCGTAATTTATTTTCCTCACCAGAGGGGGGGGGGGGGGGGGGGATATATCCAGTCTCTGATAGTGTTACGTTATTATGAGAGTGCTCTGTTTGATTCTGAAATTGTATATATTTATATAAATATATGTGTGTGTGTGTGTGTGTGTTTGTCCACATCTGTAGCCTGTTATTGTCTCATTATACCGCACTGTCAATGAATTAAAAGTAAATATATAAGTGGTTATGAACACATCTGTCCATCAGACAGAGGGCTGCTGTGCCTCCTGTCATCATTAATGGACGTCTCTTTAAAATGACCGCTCAGAGGAGAGGAGTTCTCATTTCTCTAACCGCCTGCTGCTTCCCCTCCTCTCTCCTCGGTTCCCCTCCTCGGCTCCTCCGCTCGCATCTCCTGTGGGCGGGACTAAGTCTTGAGGATAGGAGTCGAGGAGGGGAGTCGAGGAGGGGAATTTGATGAAATGAAAACGGCCCCAAGTCACCATCTTCTACTGACATATATATGTCCTTCTTTCTTTCATAGGACTCTCTCACCACTCCAACAATCCACTCAGTTTTTCCCTTCACTTGCACCTCATAGTAAAACTTCCCTGCTGTAAACTTTGACAAAACTTCTGGATACACTTCAAATCTCTTTGGATTGGAGGGAAGAATCTGCAATGTGTCTGCATCTTCCACCTGTTTCCCATCCTGGCTTATGATCAGTGAGCAATATGCTGTGTCAGGGTCAAAGGTGAAGTCCACTGCATGCTCATTCTTTTCATCTTGATCTCATTTTGAAGCTGCTCCAATATCTGATCAGCGTTCTGTTTCAGCAAACCCACAGCACCTCTCACTGCCTGGAAGGACAGATGGCAGTGGACACCGACGTTAGTCCAGTCCTTGTTTAAAGGAGAGCACAGGGTTTGGAAAGTCTGAACACATTGATGGTGATCCTCAGACTGTGACAGCTGTTCCAGCTGGCTGCTCCTGCTCTGGAGATCAGCAACTTCCATCCTCAGATCTGTGAGAAAGCCGTCAGCCTTCTGCTTTGTTGCTCTGTACCTCTCCTCAATCACCTCAACAAGCTCCGCCTGGTTTCTCTGAAGGGAGCTGATCAAGTCGCTGAAGACCTGCTCACTGGCTTCTTTCTCTCTCTCTGCTTCTTTCTGGCTCACATCCACTGAGCTTTCTATCTCAGCTATCTTCTCGGACCGGGATTGTATCATCTTTTTGAAATTTGCCATGGTCTCATCTTTTTTTGCCATCGATACTTCAAATTCTTCCTCGATCGGGACAACATCGTGACTCTTGTGATGGGTTATTATACACAAGACACAAACACAGGCCTGGTCAGTCCTACAGTACAGTTCTGTTATCTTGTTGTGCACTTTGCACATCCTGTCTTCAAGATTGTTCACCGGGTCTAACAGTGTGTGGCTTTTCAAACCAGCAACCCTTCGATGTGGCTCGAGGTGCACTTCACAGAAAGACATTAAACACGTCAGGCAGGATTTAACTGCGTTTCCCTTCATCTCGGAGCAGATATCACAAAGAACGGCTGCTGTTCCAGGACGTGGGGGGTCTGCTGCTGAGGCTTTGATTTGAACTAACGTCTTAAACACAGCAGCTAACTCAGACACAAAGGTGTTGACGTGTAGTTCAGGTCTTTGAGAGAATGTTCTTTGGCACAGTGGACACTTGCAAATATCATTGCCATCCCAATACTTGTGGATACATGCAGAGCAGAAATTGTGTCCACATGGCGTTGTAACTGGCTTAGTGAACACTTCCAGGCAGACAGAACATCGGAACTTCTCCTCGGACATCAGACTACTGGCAGTGGCCATTTCTGCACAAAAAGTAATACAACAATTACAACACTTACAATAAAATGATTCGCTATACAAATACACCATGTTCATCTTCCTCTATAATAATATGAATCTCTTACCTGTAAAGTAGCAGGTTAAAAAGCAGCTGTGCTCTTTGAAAGCTTGTCCTGAACTCCTGGTTGAGTTTCGTTTCAGCAAAAGCCTCCCCGACACTGCTCTGGGAGTTTACACTTCCCGCTTAAATGGAACTCTTTAGGTCCAATTCCAAACCGCCCCCTACACACTTATCAAGCAGCGAGTCTGCATCGCACCTGACTTCAAGTTCGTCCCAAAAGCCATTTACACCCTCCACCTGAAAGGAGGGGAGAGGGTAGGGTGTGGTTTGGAATTGGGCCTTCACGTGCTGCCCCATCTATGTGCTGCCCTACCTGACCTACCCAACGCTGTGTGTGTCACTTAGGATAATTTACTCATGTTTAGTCGAGAAAATTGTAAAAGTTTTGTATATTTACATGGACTGTTGCAAAAACTAAGCAGCTTCTAAACATCAGATTCTTCATATTGATTTTTGCAACTTTATTAGCAGGGAGTTATTTTATCTCATCCTATATCATGAGGAGAAGAGAAACATTATGCTAGCATCTCCATTGAGTCACAGTGCTAAAGTGCAAACTCAGAGCAGTAGTAGCTTACAATGACAAAGCTACATTTTATAATGTTTATCATGTTAAACCATTTGTTACATTTACATGAGATTAGCTACAACCACATTTACACTCTCCATATGTTTACAGTCATGAATTTTATTCTGTGACAGAGTTAATTAACGTCCCGGTTGTGGGTGTAACGGATAACGTAATTAGGATACATTAAAAAATCTGATTACTTTGTACATTTTTCAAAAATGGGGATAACTACAACACAACATTATAATACATTTTGAAATAAATATCAATTTATCAAACATACTTTTTAGTTTTAATGCAGTAGGTGGCCACCTGATTAAATACACATAAATACTGTGTTTGCATTTAATAAATGTTTTAAACTAATAACAGCATTAGTAAACTATTCTTTGGGCCTTGCCTTTAATTTAAAGGAAACCTATCATGCTATATTTAAATGATATATTGTAGGGCCATACCTATATAAGGTATATTTATACGTTTTTGTTTTCGAAATACCAAACAGATCATGCATTTTAGCCATGCCTCATTTCGCTCTATGTGCTGTTTGCTGTCTACGGGTCTGATTCTGCTGACCACGCCCCCCTGCAAGAGAGGGGAGACGCTCTGATCAGCTGCTGGGCTGTCAGAAGAGGGGGAGAAAAAGAGATCTCCGTCCTCCGTGTTTTATTATAGCCTATATAGAGTCGTTATTCATTTGTTTTAAAGCTCAATAAATAACAAAGAAGACCTTTGACCGGCACTTTTCTAATTTTGTCCGGAACATTTAAACTTTAACGGACATCTTGACCGGCGAAAGAAACTGAAACTGAAACTCTGCCGCACGGTCCCCTCGTTCCTTGGAAGAGGCGGAGAGGTGGGTGTTTGTCATCTGCTGGTGGACTAACCGGAGAGAATTACAGTGCTTGCCTCGACGGGGAGGGATTGCATTGAATTAAAGCAGCGGGAGCAAATGCTTGCCTCGGGGAGGGAGAAAAAAAAGCCACAGCGGAGAATAAACAGAAGGGTAACCATGGTAACCAAGTCTTCTTCGCTGCTTTTGTGGCAGACTACAGCGCCACTTACAGGCCTGGCATATGTACTACAGCGTCTCCAGCGCTTTCGAGCGGCAATGGCCGTGGCTGTCTCCTCCTGATTGGTGGAGTTGGCCCAATAGCCGTAGCGCCACCGTCCTGACGTCAAGACAGTGTTCAAATCTGGATCAGTTTTGATCAGATCCGTTGCAGCCCCTTTTTTAGAGATTTGGGTATGGAGGAAAATAGAGAGGGTTGTGTTTTCTGACACTTGGTGAGTTCCCTGGAACACCGGGGACACATATTCATGTATAAAAGACGTACAAAAGTGCATTTTGCATGATAGGTCCCCTTTAAGATGACTCATTTTTTATACTAAATATCTTGGTTTCTTCTTTTTCTAAGAACATATTGTTTTGTTGCTTTAAATAAAATAAAAAACATCTTATTGTTATTTATTTTCTCTCTTATATATTGCATTGCATTTGATAATGAGGTAACCAAAATGTAGCGACATATTATTTAGTTTACATTACTTTCATATTGTGATACTAAGATTATGTTACTGATTTTTTTAAATAATATATAACTAGCAATTGTAAAGGATTACAGTTTTCAAGTAACTCTCTCAACCCTGTAAACAACCCAAGGAAACTTCTTTGTTGAACGCACAAATAGAGAATATCACAGCCAATGTGAGCATTACTTGTAAATAATAATTATACTGTAAGTCCATACTTTTTTCTATCACACACACACATTCTAAAGATGTTCCCCAGTTGCTCTTTTTAAGGATGCCAGTCAGTCATGTGGCCTCCAGGTGAGTCTGACCACAAGAGGTCAGCCACAACAAGCACAAGCTGAGTGACAAACTTTACACCATTGCACTTTTACTTCTGGGAGTTGATCCTGTAATTACTGGTTTAACTTTTCATACAAAACATATAAAATGTTAAAACATACTATCTCTCAAAGTCTTAAGTCATTTTGATAAAAGAATAGCGCTCAAGCAAGAACATTGTATTTACCTATATTATCTTCAAGTATTCTAACCAATTATTAACTTTATATAAAACTTTCACAATGGGACAAACACCATGCTGTCCATTTAAAAAGACAAGCACAAATCCAAGCAAACAGATGCTTAAAATCAGTCAAATATTGTTTGAACTTTTAATGAATGATGCAAAAGTGTGCAGGCTTTGTTGTTTTTCTTTTTTGACACATCATTCTTTTCTTTGTGTCTCATACAATCACACATGCACACACTGATTTTGCACATTATGTTAGCTTTCCCCTCAACCATTTTGTGTTTCGCATGCATGATCAGTCAGTCATGGCCTGCTCCTGTGGGAGAAAGCATTATCGGGCGACAAACTAACTACAGGAGAATGTGACTGGACACAGAGGCTCTGGCTAGTCATAGAATTGGCATTCGGGGAAACCACATTTCTGTTTGTTCTACCATGTGTCGCCTATGCAAATATGAGGAAATGGAAAACAGACAGTGTCCAAATTCCCACAGAACGATGATATTCTGTGCTTTCATTTTGTTCAGGTAGAATGATCATTACAAAGGCAAACTATGGATCACATCTTCTGTAATGTTGTTTTGGTAGACTGATTGTCTCCAGTCCAGATGTCCACTGCAGAGTTCCTCCCACTTGAGCCACAATACTCCTGATAGCTTGCAAGCTTATTGAATTACTGAGGTGGAAAAAAGAGGCAACAACATAGTCAATGATCCGAGAGGAAGTTGTGATGGGAATCCATACAAAAACAAAATGGGACAGGGACCATTTCATTGACTTTATTTAGAACATAATATTTGGCTTTCATGAAATTATAACAATCATATACAAAAATCAACAATAAGGGCTTCAACTGTAAATGCATTCATAGACAGTTATTTATGTACAAACTAGCATTGCAAGAAGCCTACACACACCAAGTGACTGCGTTTCCTCCCTCTTTATCTCTGTTTATTAATCTAGACCTCATTGAGAAACTGTTCCTGTGGTATTTTGTTACATTGTAACCAAGGTTATGCCGTTATTAATGGCACGTGGTATTCAGGCCATATTGTGGTTAAGGGTATCGGATCAACTCCATTTCCTTTACTGTCAGTGACCCTTTCCACAAGTTCACACTGTGCTGCCTTCAAAGACTATCAGAAATCTGATAATGATCGTGAAGTAGAAGTCAATTAACACGTCTATGTTTTCAGCATTTCAAAGAGCCTGATTTATTTATATCTTACGTATTTAGCCATTAGTTAATAAAACCCTTCCAACATTACACTTGACATTATTTGTATTTTCTTATATTTAAATATCCCAAAAATATACCTTAGGCTAACAATATAGGCTAACTGACCTATGTTGCTCTTTATCTATTTAACATGAACATATTTCTATTTTATTGCAAATTAAATGGGGGTTTGATTAACATTGACCTTGCTGTAACTTGCATTTGCATAAAATACTGTACATGTTTTTATCGTCTCCCTGGAAAATTAGACAGTAGTACAATTTGTTCAAAGTATATATTCTCTTTGTTTGCATTGAAAGAAAAAAACTTCAGAACAGTCTTAATATTTAAAGCGAGAAAAGCTACTTCTAGATCTCTATGGTTGCTGCGTGCGCGACTATTATTGAGAGCAAGAGCTCTGTAATGCTTATCGAATTTGAAAATCCGAGCTGCACCCAAAGGCGTCATGCACACAGCCCTGCTGTCGGACCCCCTGAAGCCTGAGAGCAACAAGCTACTGGACAACACGCCCCTGCTGCAGCGAAACACACTGTGAATTAACGGGAAACACAACAAAAAGAGGCTATCTATCTTCACTAAACCCTGGTGTGGTGAGTATGTTCTTCACCTACGTTACGAAAATGTTGGTTTAGCAATGTGACGCTAAGGTTATCTGGTTAAACTTTGTCCTGCGCATCAACGACGCAGGTGGAGGGATGTTTTTTCTCGAAGGATCATCACCAGGATGCTCGAGCATACACCCCGCCTTGTAAAAGGAGGCAGGAAAGTGTGTCCCAACGCGTAAAAAGAGGCATATTAGCTTGAGTTATGTCCTGCTTGAGACTAGAGGACACCTGCTGTGGTCAAAGTCCGTCATCCCCAAGGCATGTGTCATAGAAGAAACCTTCGTATCGTACCGGTAAAGTTATCTGCATCTGGACGGGAAACGGTCACAGAAGAGCCTTGCTAAGTTAGCTCAGGTGCTAATTCACCTGTTACCTATATTCTATATTCAGTTTTTTTTGTTCTGAATTTAAAGTCAGAATTCTATGAAAAAGTCAGATTGACTATAAACAAAGAATTCTGAGAGTTTCAGGAAAAAAACAAGTATTTTTTTCTCTCAAAACTGACTTTTTCTTAGTATTCTGAGATTACAGTCGCATCCCAAATTGTTATCCTCATGTGGCCCTAATCCTCTTCCGTAGTTTTCAAACATCAAATAGAAAAATAATTATGACATAACTCGACTAGTAGGCTATTAGGTAAACCGCATGCTTCTTCCCTAAGCAACATTCAAGACCATTTCTGTTTGTTTCGCTTTTTTTCTTTTAAGTAACTAACTAACATTAGCTAAAATCAGTCACAGGTGGACTAATCAAGTGGACATAAACTATACTTTATCTTAGGGCCAATAGGAACACTTGTTTTGTGGTTCTCACAACAATGACAAAAACAACAGCAGCCTCTACTGTCATATGTAAAGGACTGGAGCTGCTGCATGACTCCATGGACAACAATCACAAAACCTGCACCATTACTGTACCTTTGGTGGATTCACTGGGAGACACCCTGCAGATCAATGTTATGGGTCTAAGTGCTTCCCACCTCATGGCCTTTTATTTACAGACATGAAACTGCTCATCTCAATTACAGATTAAAAGTTTTATGGCCTGTTCAGTGCTATGAATATTTTACATGTATGGTCTGTGGCCATAATAAGAGAAGTTTATTGTATACCTCGGAGGCTGCAACACTTTACCCATTAGCAACATGTGCTTACATGTGCTTACATCTGCTATACATAGTAAATGTATAGCAGATGGAGTTAAAATTCACATCCAACATTTGCAGTGGCATACTTGTAAGAATGATTAATTGTTTTAATAGTCAAAGTTAATTGCCCTTTGAGACAGCTACTTGATACTACTGTGTGATCAGCTGGGAGATATGTGCTGTAAAGAGTATTTATTTTAACTTTGCCCCAGGTAAGACCTGGTTGCTAAAACAAAACTTGAGTAATATAAAAAGGATAGAAATTGAATTGTATTCTGACTTTAGATTTCGGGCAATATTAGAAATATTAACACTTCAAATTCATTTTCACATTGTTTTTGGAATACTTTGTTACCAAAGGGTTAAACAATTAGTTTGAGATTTACAGTTAATTATGAACCCTTGACGGTTTGGTGTTAAATGGATAATTGAGGTCAGTCTGGAAAATGGCTCATTATTGACCACATCCTTGCAGAGTCAAACTTCATAAATCTGAGACAATATTTTTCAATACATCTTTTTGTTCTTTTCCTGAGCAATATGCTGACTGAAAAGTGTTGTTTTGTGTAAGCTATTCAAGCAAGGATCCAATCTGTTTGCTGTATCATTTTATATTTCCCATTATCCTCTTGTAACTGCACTTTCAGGATTGAACTGAAGGAAGATGACGGCAGTTTATAAAGATGAAGAGGCGGACTGGCTGACTGTGTGTCTCAAGTACCTGCTCTTTGTTTTCAACTTTCTCTTCTGGGTAAGTGACAGCTGTACATGTAGTACTCACAAACACATAATTCTTTCCTCTCTATCGACTTGAGTTTACTACCAATGTACTATACTCACACAGCGTGGCACAACATTTCAATTCATCCTTGTCTATAGGTCTCAGAGTGACTGTAATATTTACATTACATTTTTTAATGGATACAGTGATTCCAGCTTCATCACCAGACATGTTTATTGAAAGGGAAATCCAAATGTTTGCTATAAAATAGTAAAGATGTTCCTTTAAACATTGCATGCGTAGAGGCATTAGAGGGAAACAGGGAGGGAATAAAGCAGAGTTCTGAAATCAAAAAGGCTGAGCTCTGGACTCGGCCCAAAGTGAGTCATAGATTATTTAAGGCTCTGTACGATGGGGAACAGTCTTGCTCTCTGGCACCACACTTTATGATACTGCAATTTGCTGCAGAAAGTGTGTGCTCTTACAGCTAATGTACAGAGTTTGTCGTGTCGCTTTGAAACGTTCAAAGAAAGGCAAAGAGAGTACCGGGATGAAGAGGGACGGAGGCAGATCAGTCTGTAGTGGAGGTTACATAGAGGAAAAGGATCAGGCTTTACCCTCATGCTTGGGCTACGCTCCGTCACCTCCTTAAAATTCATCCCTTGAGGAAACAAAATGGCTGACTCCAAATGTCCAGCCTAAGGACTCACTGGGACGTGTTCACCATCATCACATCGAGTCTGCTTGCTTGTTTTACGAGTAATACTGTTGATTGTTTGTTTTGGTCTGAAATTGGAAAAAAACGACAATGTTGCATCTGTAAAGTAGTCAGAACATAAACAGTTCCTTTTCAATTGTTTTTGTATCCTTGCATTCTATGCCATTCATCTGTAAACTTGCCACTTCCTGTCTTCTCTAATCCAGATTGCTATACTAGGAAGTGTTCTTTTCTCCCTCTTCCATTTTGCTAATGTTGAGAGTAGTTAAATGAGGGAAGTGTGTTGAATTCTGCACCCAATGGCATTCTCTAGATGTCTGCAGACAGTTCGCCTGAGGCCAGTTGTGGACTGGATGAATTGTGGATTTGGACAGCACTCGGCACTTGCAGACTTCCTGGCAACGCGCCTTAAAGCCTGCAAGGCAGTGAAATCTTGACATTTAGATTTAGCCATTGTCTCCATCTCCTCTTTTGCCCTTGGTACATGTTGGATTTATGCATCCCTATTTAAAATGATAAGAAGTATTTGTGTTGAACTGGTTTTGATACTGGAGTTAGATTTGATTAAAAAGCTAAGTCTTCCTATTTAAAAGCACTTTAAAACAATAGTATTTTGAATGCTTCTGCCCACGTTCGGAGCTCTGGTTGAAAACATTTGATAGTTTTCATTATTCCAAAGAGTAATCCCCCTCAGGCATGTGAGTATCTAAGCGGTACTTCTTGGTTGAGCATGTGTTGTTGTGAGTTTGTGGATCCTGCTTTTGACGGAAATGGACTGGGAGGATTAAGGGGAGAGATTCTCTGAGGCATTTCCTCTCGTTCCGCCTCTCACTGATGAGAGGAACAGATCCTGGACGTCACCCTGGGTCTGTGATCCAGGATTGTTTGTCAGGAAGTGGTCATTATGCCCTGACTTGACCGTTTAGAGGCCTGCTGTTGCCCTGGTGGCTGTTATTCCTTATGTATGGCCTCTTCTGCCTGTTTCTCTTTCTATTTCCTCTCTTTTCATTCTTATGTCCCTTGTAATTCACCCACTGCGCCCTCATGTTGTTGCATTTTGTGACTCATCAAGCATTGAACTCTCTTCCTATTTGTCACTTCCTGACCTTCATTGTTCTCACAAGATTGTTTTATTTTCCTGAACCAAAAGCTACACCCAGTTTTATAGTATGTGTTCTTTATATTTATATTTGAGTATTGTTTTAACCCCACCACCTCCTCTCTCCTTTCTGTTCCAGGTGGGAGGAGTAGCTGTTTTAGGTGTGGGAGTCTGGACTCTGGTGGAGAAGAGTGATTATTTGAGTCTGCTGGCCTCCAGCACTTTTGCTGTCTCGGCATATATCCTCATTCTGGCCGGCAGCATGGTGGTGGTAACCGGCTTCCTGGGCTGCTGTGCCGTCATCCGGGAGCAGAAGAGCTGTCTGTCCATGGTGAGACCTGGGGGACGATGGAATGGGATTTTTTTTACAGATTTGCAAACACGAGTGCTTGTTTAAAATCTTCAAATTCTTTCATGCCTTTTTAAAAAAGAAAAAGAAAAAATGTTGCACGTAATGTTTTGCCCTTACAAATGTACAATACAAAGAAAGAATTGTTTGCTCTAAAGGTGCACACTACACAAGAAGAGAAGATTTGCATCGCTTTATTGCGCAAGTTTCACCGCATCATTTGTCTTTACTAGCGTCATTCAAACTAGACGCACTGGCGAGGAGGCGGGGCTTTTCTCCATGTAGATACCAACAACAAAATGAACTTATTATGCCAGGATTTAATTCTAATACACAAATCAAATTGATGCCGAAATAACTATACTGATAAATATGAGGGACTGTGTGCCGCCGCCAAGATCCGGTGTTTTGTTTTTTTGATTCAACAACGTCAGTGACTACAGGCTGAGATTCTCACTGCTGATTGGCTTTTAATTCATCGCCCGAGTTAAACAAATGTAACTATCGTGAATTAAGTGGCCGTGTCTTTTGAGGCGGGGTGATTTTGTCGCTTCGCGTTCGGTTTGAACGTACCATAAGAATTACAATGGGCAGGTGATAATAAATGTCCCTATTAGCTGCACTGTAACTGAGCAGTCTCTAGCAACTTGGTCAAAAGCACTCTAGGTTGGAGACTGAATTCACATTATCGCCATGTCCTTTGGCAGATATGACTTCAAATGAATATTAGGACATACAGCAGTATCACATCATACCTTGAGTGATGAATGAAACATTATCACCATCAGACATTAATGCTCACACTGTCGATCAATTGATGGTCCATGACCTGGGTACTCACACTGAACACGAGTCATCTTTATTAGAACAAGTTGGCTGCATCTCTAATGTTGACAAAGATGATGAAGATTAATATGTAGACAGGACTGTATTGCAATTAGTATAAAGCAAATAATGAACTTGACCTTTTTCTTTACTTTCTGCTTAGAACTGATGTAGAAAGGTTGGTGTTTCCTCAAGTTGCACATAAATACTGTGCAGCTGTAATATTATTGAAATGATCATGTATGCCACAATCAGAATCAGAATATAATATAGGGGACATTTACGTTGTTACAGCAACAGTAAAGAGGCAACATATTAATTATGCATCAAATATTACAGATAGAAATTACACAAATTACAGTTGTACCCATCCAGGTGGACAACAATAAGTCTTTTATAAGTGTAGCATGCAGAAGATTGTGTTACATTTGAAAGTAGTTTAACCAAAAGATAGCAGCCAGTAAACATAATAATTATAAGTGACATTTGACAACAGATGTGTTAAAGTCTGATGGTCCAGGCCATGGTTACACTAAGCTAGCTGGGTGCTCGCCTTCTTGTTAACAAAGCTTTGCCTTCTCTTCCCAACTATGCAACGACATAACATGACGCCCCCCCCCACTCCCGCCCTGGGCGAAGGTCTGGATGATGACAAATGGCTCTGACAGGGACCTTACTGTCCTCATTATTTCACAGAGACAGGGCCCAGTGGGAGAGAGGTTAATGGTCACTGCTGCAGGACTAATTATAGATCTTTCTATCTGCTGTAATGGATGGAGCTATAGGAGAGACACAGAGCTTGATGCGTAGAGGATTCGGACTCCGTGGTGCATTTTGGTTTGATGTCAGCTGTATTTATCTACTATTTAGAGCTATTTTTTCGGAGATTAATAAGTATGGGTTAAAGTTAGCATTTTGTGTGGGCAGCAAGCTCACAGTTTTTCTTTTTTACATCTTGGAACCAAGAGTTATCGAGCAGGCTGTGTTTCTGCAGTTCATAATTACTGCAAAGCAGAAGGGAACATTTGCTGAAGTGTCTTGCATATTAATTCAGAGAGATTATCGCTCCCCTGCGTCTGTTTGTCTGACAGGTAGTGTAGCATCGCTGCAAGTCACACATAGTAGCATCTGTGTCTCCATAAGGGTCTCAATGAAGCGGCACTGTTGCTACGGTCCCACTCTGCCACAGTTGGCCCTTATTAGTTGTTTTCCTGTGTTTGCATTATATGGCATGACCCATGTTTGTGTGCGGTAATTAACCATTTTATCAACAAGTTTGGGATTGTGTTATTTAGTCTGTATATAGTACTATACAACTTGTATCTGTCATGTTCTGTATTCTCTGTTTTTCAGTACGTACAATTGTGCTTCCAAGCAATTAGAGCCACCGTTTGTTTTTTTCTTTGAATATTTTGTGTTTAGCTGATGAGGCACAGACGCTTATTTATGAGGTAAATAAACCATTTGATTCCTTGTTTTCCACAAGAATACGAATGTGTGCTGTTGTGGTGATTCATATTTAGATCACCTTAATTTAGTTTCTGCTGCGATGGTGATTTGGAGTTAATTATGAGACATCATTAGTGGGTTTCAAGCAGCGTTGAAAACTTTAGAAGATACCCTAGAGAAAAATCTGCTTCCACAGGCTGTCAAATACATTCCTGCTTTGTCTCTTTTTGTGGAGCCTTGCCATCTGTGATAAAAGTGACAGATGCAGAGCCATGACAGTTGATGGACGTTTTTATTGAGCCGTCACGAGTGTGAGCAACTTTCTCAAATGAGTTGGGTCAGTGGAGAAGTGCGGTGATGACTATGAAGCTGAAATGTCTGGATCAAGGTGACTTTCTCTGTCTAATGAATTGAATTGCTTCCTTTTGTACTCTCTCCCTGTCCGTCCTGTTTCTCATTCACAGTATTTCTTCTGCCTGCTGGTGATCTTCTTGATTGAACTGGTGGCTGGAGTACTGGCTTATGTCTACTACCAGAGGGTAAGTATTCTTTTATTTTTGGTAGCGGATAGAATACATCAGTTAGGCACTTTTTCTGAAAAAACGTTTGCATCGCTTTTTAGTGTAGTGTGTTACAATGACTGTTGCAGATCACATCTTTACTGGGGGGGGGGGGGGGGCCGTGCTTGGGCCAGTTTTTGAAGGAGAGGGGCACGTTAAATGCTGGACAAGAGAGACAAAGATAGTGTTTAAGATTTAAACTTGAAATGTTTGTTTTAATAACATAATTTGTGTCATTGACTTCGTGACAAGTTTTAGTTTTACCATGAACCTAAATACAGTTTGGGGTAATAAATACATTATTTATGCAGACAAATGTTGTTTTTGTATTTCTTAATATTTGTTGGTATTTGTTTTAGTCACATAATTTGTTTCAGTAACTTAGTTTAAATATATTTAACTGAAAAAAACCATTCCTGTTATCTTAGTCCCAGGTTACAGCGCAGTATTGGCTGCAACACTATCACACATTGCATTATCATAGATGTAGTCTTTTGGAGGGGGGCCACAGGGGGGCTCTGCAGTTAGAGAGTAGTTTCTCTTCTTCAGGGGAGCTAACTTATCTCTCTATTGCCAACAGTTGCCATGCAGGCGCATTACATTTGATGATAGCAATGCCATGTGCCTACCAATGAGACTATATGGATAAATCCATTTGTTTGATGTGTTTTCTTGGCTCATGTAACCTCCTGTTTTAAGTGAAGTCAGCTAACTTAATTAGATTTGAATGTCATTTGTCATCAGTTTGAAAAGCTTTCCCTACATGTTGATGAGCTACTGGGTAATCTACAGTATATCTTTTAGCTTTTGTACTGCTCTTCCTTTTTTCTATGTGTGTGGGATTTCCTGTTTGCCACCTGTGCTGAATTCAGCTCTTAGGATCCTGTTATCTCACACACATCTGGCTGTCAGTCAGCCAGAGCGCCGTGCTCTCTGCAGGCTCAGAGATTTATGATAATGGAAGAGTGTTCAGCACAGGATAGAATCACTGTCAGGATAGAGCTCTCATCCTGTCTACCTGTGTGTGTATCAAAGCACACCAATATGCGCACATCACAGGCTATATTTAAAGTCTGTTTTTTTGTGATATTTTTTTTATCTCGTCTGCATCTCTCACAGATGAGTTGCCACTGGTATATCTCGTCCTGATCCACCCACACTTTTGTCAAGTTTCACCTGCCTTTTAAAGTATTTTTCTCCTGCAAATGTTTGCATTTGATGTGTTTCCTGTGTTATAAATGAAGCTGCTTGTGGTTACAACATTCATTGTGTTTTTCACTGTGTGTGTCTGCTGTCTCTCTCCTTTTTCCTCTTTTCCAGCTGAGTGAGGAGCTGAAGCAGCATCTCAACCAGACTATGACAGATAACTACGCCCAGCCAGGACGGGAGGCTATCACTTTGGCTGTGGACAGTCTACAACAGGACGTATGGACTATATTTACACCAGCCTCCAAGGCTTTGTTGGGTTTATGTTAGGTTGTATGATGTGCTGTCCTTCAGATAGAATACCGGTATATATTGGCGTAGTGGTACTTTGTTATGGATTTGTTTCCCATGACTCGGTCTGCAGCTACCATACATGAAGTAGTTATAATGATGTAGAGATTTAGCTGGAGGTATTTGTGCTTTTTTAACAGTGTGGGCTATAATCAAATAAACCCTTTTTCTTCTCTCCCTGCAGTTCAAGTGCTGCGGCAGCAACAACTCCAGTGATTGGATGGTGAGTGTGTACGTTTCATCAAAGCAGGCCGAGGACAGGCTGGTGCCCGACAGCTGCTGCAAGACTATCACCCCCCACTGTGGCAACAGAGACCACCCCTCCAACATCTACAAGGTGGAGGTCAGTGGACTGCACATGCTCCTTTTTCAGTCACACTCAAATAGTGACACCAACAGAGAAGCCCTGTAGTTTGAAACATGTATCTGATCAAATGAATGAGCTTTCCAATGCTTATTCATGCTGCCTAAACGTTTTTATACTATCTTGTATCAATACCTTCAGTTTCCATCCATGTATCCTTGGGAAAGATACTTGACTCCAAGTTGCTCCCGATGGCATGGCTAACACATGTTTGTGAATGCTAGCTAACTTGAGCAAGTTGCTTTGTATGAATGCGGTGTGAATGATGCAGTGTTCCCGTTAGCCGGTAATTACCGGACTATGACCGGTAAAATATGCTGAAGACCGGCAAATCTAAATCTCTCCGGTCAAAATGTCCGGTCAAAATTATTTCCCCTTAGCGCAATACCGCATCAGTTGCGCCACTTATGTGACAGACAAGAATAGTATGTGACAGACAAAAGAGTATGTGACAGACAAGAATAGTCAATTATAATGTCTAACACTTAATGTGGAGAAAGAGATGTCCTGTATGGTTTGATTGTGCGTTGATCTGTTGGTAATGCCTCGGGGTTCCGGTGGGCATGTAAACAAATGCATAATGCTGCGCTATACTTTGTGGCCTCACCCCGTTGCATAGCGACGCTTATTGTTTAGGTGTCTTTTAATAAGCAGGTAGTCATATCATTAGCTAGAACTAGCTAGATCTGATCGATATGGAGATAAACGCGAGTGAAGTCTAATCTGACGGGAGAGATCAGCTGCAGTCGACACGCATCTCTGCATGATCAGCTGCAGCGGTGAGCGGAACAAAACACACACTTCAGGTTAGAATATCACACGTAGCTATTTTAATTACCTCTCAAACTACCTAAACTAGTTATAGATGTTTTTAGTTTTACTGTCGGGTCACTCATTACTGGATCCGCGAGCTGCATGAGATACTGGCGTGTTGTCAGGAGAGGGGGAGAGCGCTCCGTTTATTATTCCCGTGTTATTGTAAATTACTGTACACGTTTGAATAGTTAATTAATCTACTATAATTAGTTTGTTTAATATCGAATCATATCAATTTGTTTCAAAGCTCAATAAATAACATAGAAGACCTTTGACCGGCACTTTTCTAATTTTGTCCGGAAGATTTAAACTGTAACTGACATGTTGACAGGCAAATAATTATTCTAACGGGAACTCTGGAATGATGACTTGTAGCGCTTTCATCATCATCATTTATTCACAAGTTTGTTAAATATAATACAAGTACAATCATAAGACATAGAGACCTGTGAAATGGGATACCCCAATTTGCTATATGAAGCTTGAGAACCCAGACAGTATTTACATACATATCATAAATACATATAGAATTGAGAGAGATCGTGTATTATTCAGAAACATTACAAAAATATACTCCACAATAACCAAAAACCAGACTAAACTACTCAAACCCTTACTACTAAATGGTCTAAAATGTTTAATTCATCAGTTTAAACATTTGATTAAAAATAATTAAGATAATAAACACAGTCATGTTGTTTGGGAAATGTATGGTGCATACAAATGCATTTCAGAGGAAAGTGAACTTGTTAGAAGTTCACAGCCGTTCACCGATTCAATCTCTGATATATTTGTTGAACAAGTTTCACTTTAAGGATTTTTTTAAGACGGACAAAGACATTTTTATAGTGTTATCAGTGACTCTAAATCCACACTTGATGACCTCTGCAGACCACACTGAAGCTGGTAACTTCAAGTTCGTGCTATTTTCTCTATAAAATCCTTATTCCTAGTTTCATATGTATGCCAGGGTTAATGAGTTGGGGTAAGGTCTTTGATTTAACATATCTACTACGTTCTACATTAAACAGGCATTGTGAAAGATATTGCTTTGAGGGGTAGTAAAGACTGGATAAAGCGCTATATAAACACAGTCCATCTACCATGAACCATTCCTCTGTGTTATACTTATGTCAAACTTCAGATTCTTTGTTCCCTGCAGGATGTCTTACTGTTCACTGCAACCATGTGGCAGTTAGCCATGGAGAGCTGCAGACAAAGCAAGCTCTGAAGACTCTGCAAGCTGTATGTCTATCTGTGCAATCGTATGCATAATCTAATATATGATTTTAATTTGCCTCTGCAGGGGGGTTGCATCACGAAGCTGGAGCAGTTTCTGGCCAATCACCTGCTGGTCATCGGCGCTGTGGGAATAGGAGTGGCTTGTCTGCAGGTAAGTGAAATATAATATGTAGTTTAGATGGACGTTGGAGGAGCAGAATCCTAGGTCTGCTTTTTGTAATTACATTTTTTTATTTAGCAAAAATGTGATATTAGATATTGCTTTTACCTTTGTCGAATAAACCCAGACAGATGGGTTTTCATTTTTCCATTACTGGATTTGTACCATCGCAGGTTGACAACCTCTAAATGGACATTTCTTTTCATCTCTCTAGTCATCATCTCATTTAGTTCCTTCCTGTTATCTGATTCGTCCCAGTTTGAGGTGGTCTTTTAAGTCTCACAGAGGTGCTCTTTATAATACTCTGCTGGCTGAATGTACCTCCGCCCCATCTCTTTATAAATGAACTGTGAGGTGAAACTTGAGAAAAAACAAACCTGCATTGATTCTTTCCAGTTGTATTCTATGTCTGATACGTCCTTGAATATCCACCATTTCACCGTACATGCAGCTTTAATGAGAAACATAGAAACTGTATGAGGCACAGACGCTTATTTATGAGGTCATTAAACCATTGTATTCGTAAAAGGGCACCAGACATCCAAGTCTGTGACAAAGTAATTTAAAAATAAAGACTTCCATTAACTTTTGCCGTGGAGATCAAGCTTTCTGCGTTTTCCATCCCCTGTGATCTGAATGGATTATGCAAAACATATAGACGAGGTGTTGGATATATAGAACTTGCCTGGAGAAATGGATACACATGTGAGCCTGTGTAGTGTGATTTAACACATTTCAATCCAAGTTGCCTTTCCTTTTGTACTGCAGACTTACTGTTCGTCTTGTCTGTGTCAACTTTTCCAATCTGTCTTAATGTCGGTACACTTTCCTGTCTCTAATAACTGTCAGAAAATAATATAGATCTGTTGAAATGTAGAGTTTTTGTCTCTTTGTGTTGTCATATTCGTTCCCTCATTATCCCCTGTTGCACTGTCTTTATGTCCGTGTGTGGTGTGACTGGTGTGACTGCAGCTGGCCGGGGCAGTGTTGACCGCCTGCTTTATCTATCTGCTCTATAAAGAAGAGGAGGAGGACTTGTGATTTAGCTCCAGGGCAACTTTGTGCTTTAATCAACCGGAGAGACAAGGTTTGCAGGCACAGTGGGAACCTGACACCCGTCTGCATGTCTGTCCCTGTGTGGCTGCCCGCTCTGTGTTACATGTGAAACGGCGTGGTTACTCAGTGAACATATTTACATTCTAACACGGCGTGTCGCCGAGTGATGCATGCGGCTGCCTGGCCTGTGTGTCGCAGCTTGTTGCTCTGCATGTTGTTATTGTGGGATGTTGAAGACGTGATCAAAGTCCAACGCATCATGAGAATGGCTCCATTAATTCAACCTAGCTTCTGCACACTGATTTTGTTTGCAAGAGTAATGTTCTGTATTTGTGTACAGTAACGTCTCATTCATATTATCTGTGCTGCGTGGGAAAAGGAATTTGAGATTTTGCTGTATATCTGGCAGTTTCAATCATTATCATCAGGATTCACTTTATTACTTTTAAATGGGAACTAATAGTGGGGGTGGATTTGGTAAGAGATTTTGAAATATTACTAAATCATTCTGAAATGATTCATTACCCTGCTTTACTTTCATGGATCTTCCTTTTAGAAGCGCTAATGCACCATATTCTTATTTTCTTTCTTATTTATTCGGACACCTCCTAGTGCATAATCATTTGGAAAAGCATTAGTTCTGTTGCTATAGTTACTAGCAATCTAAAATGGGCTATCATGAACATTTAAGCTTCTTTAATAGTGATTGACAGACGCCTGCCGTCCAACAGGAAATAAGTGTTTTGCTTGTTTCTTCTTCTCATGCTTCTCGCAGCCAGAATATTGTTTTTCTACATAGCTGACACTGGTAGTGGTAAAAAAAAGTGAAGTGTTTCTTAAAGAGTGTGATGAGTCAATACACCGTGCAGACTCGTTCGATGAGGCTTTCTCAGAGGGCTTTTACAGAGGCAGAGATTGGATCTGGGCACATGCCTGTTCCTCCATTCAGCCTGGCAGGCTCAGCGGCTCAGGTCAATATCTGCTCCTGCTGTTCTTTATTTCTGGACCCTCCATAGTGCTTCAGTACAGTATGGAATACTAGTGCTTATGTAAGTCATATCTTGTGAATCCTTAAATGTTCTGCATGCCTTTGTTTCACAGACCCCAGCATCAGATCATTAGTCTTTATAGGTCTACAAACCTCCTGATGAATTTGAATTTTGTTTAATAATACTTTTGTATTGTATTACCTTAGGTGTTTTAAATCGGAATGCTTTTTGTTAATCCTTGTGACCCCTTATAAGATATAGCTAAAACGAGCTAAATGGTTGCAGTCCAGCAAATTAGCTTTTTTTATTTTTTATTATCAGGGATATTTTAAGTATAGTCACATTTTTCCCAAACTGTTCTGATCATTATTTAATATGGTTTGTAATTGTAAAATTGGTAATATAACATGATGTATTCAATGTTAGCATTAAGGCTGTGATGGTCCTGCTTTCTGATGCAGAATACAACATTATGTAAACCGACCTATTACTGGATACATTTCTTCTTTTAGCCAACACTTTAATTTACCAGATCATTTGATTTAAGTTTTGTATTTGTATGACATTTGCTGTAATTTTGCCCCCCCGCCATTGCTTGTTTTGTATCCGCTTGTGCACACACGTGTTGCTGCAACAATGGCTGCTTACCTCCTGCCATCGCCACAGTAACCAGCTATATACTCTCCAGCTGTCTCTATCCCCCATCACCTATAACCCTTCTCTGTCCTCACAGCCAATAGCATTCAAGCTCCCGGCAGTCTGCCGTGGTGACACACAGCAGCTCGTTTTGACCCGACACTTCCTGTTTTCAGGTCTGTGGCATGGTGTTCACCAGCTGCTTATACAGAAGGATCAAGATGGAACCTTACTGAGCACACCAGACCCACAACACACCAGACCCCCAACACACCAGACCCCCAACACACCATCTTCAGCAGGAAGACCACCAACCAAAACCTCCAAATCTTGAACTCTGACATAGCGATCTAAGCCAAGTGATAGACACTTGCCACTGACCAAAGGGGCTGCTTATTGTTCCGATCCAGGATTATACATGACTGAAACCTGATTTGATGTCGGCCAGCTGGAACAACACGTCTGTTTGCATCACTTCCTTGGCTTACATGCACGGGACATGCTTACTATAGGGCTGTTCTTGACTAAAGGACTTATTTGCTGACTTCAGACAAATCCATTTGTTGATTTGATTTGCAAACTGTTTATCCAAAAATAATTATGCATAACACTTAATCAGTTTGCCTGAGATGTGCTTCTTGAAAAAAAGGGGGGAAAAATATGAATCAACTACAGAAATCCTTGTTGACAAAGACCAAAGCAATACATTAGAATATTAAAAGAAGCCAGCCTTAATACTAACTCTCAATACATTCTGCTCTGTTGAACTAATGATGAGCTAAAATGAGTTATGTTTTCACTGCGCAGAGATTTATATAATATCAGTGTTATTATGCGGAGTAATGGCACTGTTTACCCTGGTGTCACTGCTTAGGAAGAAAGGGAATTTCTGGTTGTGTATTCTGTAAACACAATGTGCCTCTTTCACAAGTCTGATGGTAAATGATTGTTAATAATGATGTGCCTGAAATATTAAAGGGATTCGACAATGCACTGTGATAAACGGCAGCAAATTAAAATCTAGTTTTGTATCTTTATATTTTTAGTTATATCTATATTCTGGAAAATAACTGCACTGCTTTTTTAAAGACAGTTATTAAAATAAACATTCTTTAAAATAGTCAAATAAGTGAATAAAATAGTGAAAGTATTTATTTTTAAATGGTTGCTAAATCCTTGAATCGATAACCCCATCTAGTGGTTGGCACTTGACATATACTATACTGTGTGTGATATTTAAAGGTCCCATGACATGCTTTTCCGGTTATTACCCGTCCCCTTGTGTGTTTATGAAGGTTTTTCTGCATGTAAACGGTCTGCAAAGTCACAAACCCTCAAAGTACACCCTGTAGCGAGTAAAACTCTAACACAGAAAAGACCTGTCTGTGCTGCCCCAGAACGCCTCGTTGGAGATTTATCTTTTTCTTCCTGGGTACAGTGACGTGCCCATACCCAAATGGACCAATCCGTGGAGCCGTTACGTTATGTCTGCCGATTTCTCCTCCCTGAGACGGCGGGACGCGGCGAGGCTGTGAGTCGGTGTGTGAGCACACACACTAACTCCCAGCCAGGCTGCGGGTGTGTGCAGGGCCGTATCCACCATTGAGGTCACCGAGGTCCGGACCTCGGTAATAATTTCCGAGCTGTGTATATAACAAAACGTGTGAAATAACTGCACTAAACGGGGTTCTTTGTAGTAGTACTTCCATTTACTGCCGATGGGGGCGCTGCATAACTACGTAGCCTCGATTAAAGCAAACAGAAGAAGACGACATGTATCAACAAACCACCGCAGCCCGAACTTGTATCGGAGCAGCAGAGGAGTGATGAGGTATCTAGAGATCAGAGTCCAGCGGGCTGCTTGTGTTTCTGTTCCTCACAGGACATCATATGACTAGCAGATCCTGTGTGAACGCTCTACGTTAGTCAGTGGACGTCCGACAACATGCACACTAACTTATATTGCAGCTATAGGCTATACTTTGGTTTAAATTGCGTGAATAAACTAGCTAGAGAGCTAAAGTTAATTACATTCATCCAATGTCAGAAGGATTACCTTTTAACAAACGTTGTAATGCTTTTCTTTCATTTCAATTTGAGTAAAACATTGAAGATATAACATTGTATTGTTTTCTTTTTACACTGACTCAGACATAATGAAAAGACTACGTCAGTCGAAGCTCAGTTTTGGTAAGGAAGAGACAGGACAGGCAGAGAGAGAGAGAAAGTGATGGAAGTCAGGGAGGAACTGCAGGTACAGTCACACAAAAGAATGTAGGCTTAATAACCCCATCTATCTATATATCTATCTATAACAATAGTCTTCATTTACACTATAGACAATAGGCATACTTTTAAAACAACATATATATATTGCAGTTATGATGTCATAATAACATACAATTGTATGAAACCACACAATTTGCTTACATCTTTGTTCTCTTTTGAGAATCAAACAAAACAGATTTAAATAAAAAAAAATAATGCAAACAAACAAGTGAAATGAACTAAATTGCTGAATTGCTTTTAATTCACTGGCAGGAGCGACAAGTGAGGAGGAGCAACAAGTGAACAACGAGGGAGAGATTGAACAAAGAGAAAGAGTAGAGGACAGAGAGAGTAATGAACAGGAAGAAGACAGAGAGACTAAAGAAGATGGAAGAGAAGGTGCAGGTTATGGAAAGGAGAGACACATGAAAAATGAATGTTGACAATGTTTTGGGATCATTTTAGCCTCTTCTGCATGTCCAGATCATTCATAGTAACAATCAACTGATTCTTATGCATTACACTTTCAAAAATAATTGATGCTGCAGCCCACTGACATGGTTTGAAATCAATATATTATCCAATTTGTGACCCCCCACAGGACTTAAAAAGCACCTAACTAGATCATGAAAATCCCAAAAATCTCAGGGGGCGTATACCCCCGAACTCCCTTATCATGTTTGGACCTCGGTATTTATGAAATCCTGGATACGGCCCTGTGTGTGTGTGTGTTCGGGCTGGTTTCGGGCTGGGTTTCGCTGTCTCGCAGACGGCCACTGGGCTCACAGGGTGGGGGGGGGCAGGAGCTCCAACAAGCCGTGTAGGACAGAGAGTGAATACACATACTATACAGAGATGCTGTATGAGAAACCAATGTGATTTTGGAACATTGAACAATGTAAATCTATTCTAGTAGACCTCAACAATGGAATTATGATCAGTAGAAATGGCCATGACATGGGACCTTTTAATGCTACAGTTCAACAAATAAAAATGAGCTATTCATCCTTAAAGGTGGGGTAGGTAAGTTTGAGAAACCGGCTCGAGATACACTTTTTGTTATATTCCATGGAATGCTCTTAACATCCCGATAGCAATGAATATCTTAAGTGCTTTGACAAAAAATCCATAAAAAAATGTCATCTGTGGAAGCCGTACTGTAAAAAGTACGACCAATCAAGCCGGGCCGGCTAAAATAACTGGATGGCCTACCTGCCTGTCAGCCTTCCATCTGTGCACAAACTTATCTCATGCCCTCATTGGTCATGTGCGCGTTCGTGTGTGTTGGAGGCGGGGCTCTGTAAGGAAGTGGCAGATTTTTTCCGGCTGTGTATTTTCAAATTCTAGCGATCTCGAGCTGGTTTCTCCAAAATTACCTACCCCACCTTTAATGTGTAACGCTAAATATATATGTATATGTGACCGAATCATTTTAACATTAACAAACCATCATTCTGTGAATTTTAGACTTATTTTCATTCTTTCTTTGACACTCCGGTTTCATTCTCTGCAGGGAGAAGCAGACCTTTGTAAGCTAACGAAAGGTTGATTTCCCTCTCGTATCTATCATTTGCCATCCCTTTTCCCCGCAGCTATTACTTATAGAACAACCAGTGGCCTTGTCCACACTAACCTCAAACATAAAGTGATAAGAAAAAGATACTGTGTTTCTGTTATAAGGATCAACAAGTGCATTTTCAATTATTCTTTTCAATACAAAGTACTCTGTAAAGGGACCTCAATGGTTTTCTGTTATAATCCTTTAACTTTCATATAAAGTCAGCTAATGTATGTAGATTGTTGTTGATGAGACAATGACCTTGGCATGTGCACCGACTACTGACTGCTATCCAAAAATATTGATATCAAATTCTTAAATAAAAGTTTAAATATGAATGCATTAAGAATTTGCATTTTTTTTTAATGAAATCATACGAGATGATTTAGGCTATGATGTCATGATTGCTGGAAAATTAAGTCTTTTAATTGTCTCATCTGGTGAGAATCACAAGTTGACACTACTTCATGTCAGCTGGCAGCTGGAGTAGCACACCACTAGAGGGAGGCAAAGCTCTTCTAATTGCAGGGGGTTGTAATAATTTTGATCATGTCAAAGACCCTGCTGTGTTTTATTTTAGAGCCGACCCCAATGAGCCAGTCTGGTCTCACTTGATGCTCAGAATTGTATTTCCTAATAGCAGAGGTTTCAATAGCTGATTGTCTTGTGTTGTCTGCTTTAAAAGATACATTGTGTCCCCACTGTCCCTCACAGAGACTTGCCACATTTGAGCAGAGCATGTTTGATATAATTAGCATGTGTCTTTTGTTCTGATACCACATCGATGATGCCTTTTTGTTACACACTAATCAAATCCTGTTTTCTCTTCATGCATCCTCACTATTCTCGCCGCAACTGTTTCGTGTGAATCTTTTTCAATCTGTCTCTTTGCATTCACTCTGTGATCAATAGTGTACACACATGCAGGATAATGTGAGCCGGAGGGAGATCCTGGGTCGAGATTGGTCACATTAGCAGGAAGTGTGTGGGGAAAACAATTGTTACGTGTGGGGTCTCCCACCATTCCACTTTGGAAAATTCTTCTAGTGTTCCCAAGTCAAACCACATTTATTCATTACGCAGAGCTAGTGCAGCGTTGTGTGGTCTTACGCTCTTGTTGAGGCGAGGTCTTCGTTTATTAAACACCCTGCCATGCACTTATATTGTTTGTGCTGTATTGTTGCCATATGACATAAATATTTGTCATTGAAGCGCCACTTTTCCCATAGCTCCAGATTACTTGCAAGACACTTTGGGTTCAGAGCGATCCATCATTGTCACCCATTTAGGGGAAAAGATTTTGGATGTTCTCCAAAAGTTTGGCTTCATAGACCCCATAGATTCTGTCAGTCCCTTTGTCTTCATCAGCTATAGGAGGATGGCTCTCATTTCCTGCCCATGTCACACATACCAAAAAGTGGCACACTCATACTGACAAGATAGAATCACACACACACAAGTCGGAGGTTGCACACATTAGCATGCGGTTTACACACTTATCCAGAAGAGACCCATGAGGGAGAATTAGAAGCATCTGGAGATTTACCACTCCCATGTGTGGAGGCCTCTCTGCGCCACAATCTCACACCCGCCACCCTCATCACAATGTAGCCGTAGGGGCGGTATTCCAAGCTGAAGAAAGTACCTAAGAACACATGTTGCAATATCATTTATCTGTTGAATGTGTGTGGAGAACTATACAACAAGAAACGTATTCGGGAATGAGCAAAAACTAAATATATTGATGCCATCTCTGAACTAAACTATAAAGAGACGTTCGCCACGGCTGTTTACTTGAGTGAAAAACTTTGTTTATCCGCCCCGTGATTCAGATCCCTTCCAAAATGAAATGGTTTCTTCTTTGGCCCATGTTGCATCTTTCCATTAAGTCATGAATATCCTTTTTTGGTGACCCAGCTGACAAAACCTAAACCAAACAACGTCCTTGGTGAAGATGAAGAATGAATTGTCTCATGTACAACTCTGTACATGTCCCTTTGCCTGTGAGCGTGCACTTGATTTATGTCTTTTCTGCGTCTATAAGGCGTTTGTTGAGCTCTCGTAAAAAACGTATTCTGGCAGCTATTGTCTCACAATGTGCACCTGTGTTCAATATGTGCAGGAAAACTCAAGGCCTCAGTTGTGGTGATGGAATACTGCGGAGCTTTTAGCATAATGGATGTGTGGGAAAGG